GTGGGTGGTATCAAAGACCGGACAAAGAGTTGGATTGCCTGGAAATGGAGGTTGGATGCGGCGAATACCAGACCAGAGACGGGCGGTACACGTCAGGCTAGAGGGCGGGTCAGATGGCACTGTTGCATTAGGTAAGCCAAGGCTACCGTTAAAACTTGCTGTGGCTTTGGCTTTTCAAGGATAAGGATCAAATGGCTTCTGTGGAACAGCCCACGTTATGGTTTTTAGCCTGATGCTGTCCGACCGCCTGCAGATTACAATCTTGCTGGCGTTTTTATGATTCTCTGTAGGAAAATGAGTTTGCTATTCATTAGATGAAATATTTAAAACAAAATTCTACACTGAATGAAGTCATTAAAACAGGCAATCTTTCAAATGGATCCAGCAAAAGCAAAGTGCTGATCTCATACCTCAAAACTTGACAGCTACAAGACACAGGGAGACTCAGCAGATGCACCAATGACGGAATATTACACAACACAGCGTAAAAGAAAAGCAACATGTGATGTTCCAATCTGAATTCATTACATCAACACATCTATGTGGATATATGCACCCATATACTTATATATATATATATATATATGTTCTCGGCCTTGTCTCCCATCGCCACCAAAATGCCAACAAGTCGCCTATTCCATCCTTTTATTACTCAGTGTAAAAGAACCGCCCAAACTCCGTACCCAGGGAATACTGCCAGCGCCATATCATGAACCCATAAACCCATTATAAGCCAATGTCTAAATCGGCGCAATCAAGCCAAAGCAGATTGCAATCGAGGGAGGAAATGTACAAAAGAAAATCATCAAATCACCCAAACCTAGGGAAGTACTAGGGGAAAGCCGCAGGCAGCGCTGCCAAAGCCTGTTGCTGCCGCTCTTGTTCCATTCGGGCATCCTCAATGTCTTGGATGATCTTCTTTTGCTCATTCTCAGAGTACTTATCCCAGTTGCCGATATTGTCGTCCCACTTCTTGACGCACTCAGGCTCCCAGTTGCAGTCTTCGACCTGACCATAGGCAGGGTGTTTGTATCGAGGATGGCGGCTGGGCCAGTTGGACGCGTGGAAGTGATGCTTGACAAGGGCGTTTCGAGCGTTGTGATTGCCAGAGTCAGAATGTCCTTGTCCGGCGCAGAAAGCCTCGACGGTGAGGACGAGGACGCCGCCCACGAGCTTGGACTCGTCCAAGTTATGGAAATTGTCCCAGGTGACCCTCGGTCCCTTGGACTTACGGTTCATCTCCTCGAGTATGGCTTTGGTGAAAGCAGAGGGTCCAGTGCCGCTGATGACTTGATCAAAGTCGAGCTGCACTTCACCCAGCGGCACACCCTGATCCCTAGCAACGGCCTTGAACCACTTCATGATGTTTTCAATCAGACGCATCATGACGGGTTGTTCAGGGCGCGCCGCAAATGTCCACTGGCAGAAAGACATGGACTTCTTTCCCAGAATGGGGTGATCTTTGAAATCGGGCTGGTCAATCTCAACGCCGACAATCAAGTCAATGTCCTTTTCGTTGTATCGCTCAGGAATAAACCGATGAAAGGGCTTCATGGTCTCGACATCAATGTCTGCGTAAATGCCGCCCTCAGCATACATGATCATATATCGCAAAAGGTCGGCTTTGATGATGGGCAGGTTGATCATTTGGTAAAATTCGACAATATCTGGGCGATCGTAGCCATCTGGACCATACCGATCCTCAATGTATGCCATCTCGTTGGCATCAGTAACAACCTCGTACCGCATGCCCGGATTCTTCTCAGTCCACGTCCGCGCCGTCAACAGATCGCGCTCCTCGAAGTGGAGAGGATCGACTTTCCATGTCTGCCAGATCTTCTGGGGAAATGTGCTGCCTGGTACCGGAGGCGGCTTTGGCTGTCGACGGAGGACGGATGCAGGATTGGGTATCGCTAAGACCCAGTCGAAATTGAGAATGACAAAAAGGGTGAAGACGAGGAAGAGATAGGCGGGGAGGCATCTTCTCATCTGTGTGGGCACCTTGTTGCGGAAGGGGCGGGCTGAGGACATGAGCCTCGGAGATCCGAGAGGAGAGCTCATCGTAACGTGCTCGATTCTTCCCTTCTCAATAGGTATGAGACAAAGAAAATTTTGAGACGAGGAAAGTCGAGAGAATGGCAAGCACCGCTTAAAGGATGAGTATCATGCTGTGTACGGCAATAGCCGCAAAGGGAAAAAGAACCAAAGAAGTAAAAAAGAAGATTTGAGGCGATAGCAGCTAGGTAAGGTCAAGGTTCGATTGTTCGAACCAGACCTTTGCCTTGAATAATCGCAGTCAAGACTTTAGAAAAAAGTACTCGAGGATTGGCTTATCCGTACGTCCACTGAAGGAGTGCAAAGCCGCAAGACTCTGCGAATAGGTACTAGAGCTCTCAGGCTTTTCTAGAAATCTCCCTGTATACAGGTACCTTGATGGTAAGGTTAAGGAGATAAAGTATGCTTTGTGCTTTGTTGAGGAGGCTGCTTATAGTTTGTCCTGATTGTCAATGCTGCGAGCACGCGTATATCAGTGGAAGGATACCCAGTGTAAGCAAACCCGGGGGGAGGAGAGATCGAAAAAGAGTCATCTCGCCCGGCCCATGCTCATATTATACTCTGCTCCATATCAAAAGGGCTGTCCGGGCCGTCCATGGGCGCAATTACAACAAACCTCGCCGCCTTGCTGTTCCGAACGCTCTCCTACCTGCCTGGCATGGATTGAGCCACAGGCCCTACGGAGTCAATGTACATGTGCCCAACCCGCAAGGATGAGCTAGTTGTTAGTTGGATGGCGTGAAGACAACCGGGGATCCATCACACTCGAGTCTGCTCGAACCCACACCGGCGGTGGATCCCCTGCAAATCTGCCAGGGGACTTGGTGATTACGTTTGGGGCCACAGGAAGAGACAACGACGTTACTAGAGCCGGACACAGCTTCCAAAAGCGTCCTAAGGCAACGGCACAGAGAGGTGAGGCCAGTTTGGGGAACATGGGGAAACAAGGACAAGGCCTGACAAGACGGAGGTGGAGAGAAACGGCGAGACCTGCCTGCAATGTCCACACAACGGTCATACTGTACTCATCGGCATAATACGGACGCCTTCCATTTTTCTATTTTGTGTACTACATGTGGCTGACGAGATTGAATATTCTGTGCCACCCCTCCACAGCCTTGGGCAAAGCATAGTCTGAGTTGAATAGATAGAAGCAAGACATGAATTGTGTCTTTTCGCAATGGCTCGTGATGGCCAGCGGATCCATTCCGTCAAGTACAGGTACAGGCAGTACTCTGCAATGTGGAAGAGGATTGACTGCAGCTTACACGTTAGCGGTGCTTTAGAACCAGGCACCTGGTCGAAGTCGAAAGGATTTCTCTCTTCTAAGCTGAGACGGCGCGCGGGTATGGCCCGACACCGGCAGCATGTACTTGCACTTTGTACATGTACTTTGCTGTCTCAAAGGTCCGCGGCTTTGAACATTGTCACAACTGAAGAGAAGCAGGATTTTTATTCATCAATTGCGCTCAATTACTCCTCTAGGTAACTATGCTCCGTACAATCTTATCTCTAGTATTGCACCAACTCATTATTTTGGCTTCTCGAGTTCCAACTTCTTGTCGAGTGGCTGGCACAAAAAAAGCCTCCAAAACCAAGGCTTCCGGACAATTAGCCCTAGACGTACAAGTACATGTACCTAACTTCCGGGCAACACAAGACATCGCGTCAAAAGGGGACAGAAAATTTGAAATCTACTCATAAGCCAGCTGAAAATGCATCTTGGGTGTCCGAGGCGCCGATCAGCCACACACACACATGATGTAGCTCCCGGCTTGTCAGGTCCCCGAACGAACGCTCGTATGCAGAGGATTCCCAGTCCATGCATTTTTTTTTTTGGTGTGAGGGGCGCCCACCAGTACAGTAGCAGCTCCCATGCAAGCCACAGAGACAGGGGGTCTGCCGTCCAATCCACAGTCGAGGGCCGTCTTGACTTGGCCCTTGTCTTCTGCAGTCTTCCGCAGTCTTCCTTACGAGTACCTTGGCTTGGATATTCCGTTCCTTGGGAGGCGTTTTGGAGGCGTTCTGATGGCGTCGTGCGGAGTAAGATGGTGTGGCCATGTACTTGTACTCTCGGCTTCTTTTCCCACTTACACGCAGCCGTGGCCCAAAATAAACGTTTCATGTGATAACGGACAGCCAAAAATACAGGTTCTTGCGCTTGCTCGTCCACGGCATTGGCATACCTATCCAGGCTATCATATCCCGGAACAGCGCTTGATGGGGCCTCAGTTCTTTTCCCCCCCGACCCATGCGTCATTGCGTGTCTATCCTTGGCCTCTTTGGGCAGTCTTCGCACCACCATCACCCTGGCATTCTGGGTCCTCCTCGGCATCGACACCAGCTGGTCCTCGATATCTCATCGACTTTCTCTCGGGTGATACCGTCAGCCGCAACTGCGGTCTCTCATCTAGTCGACCTATAGTCCCGTAACCCCGCGTCCATCCTTCGCCTCCGCATGCTTCTGACCTCGGGACGTCCTTTATCATCTGCCTCGAGCTTCTGATTTTCGGCTTGTGAAAGCTGGGGAAGCGTCTTTGCCGGTGGGACTCGTGGCCGCGTGTCATCGTTTCTGATTTCAGATTCCCGAGTACGACGTGTTGTCCGTGACCGCTCGAAGATCGGATCGATCCTGGGGTTGCCGTCTGGGGAAGCGTGGAGGTTCCTTGTCGAGCAATACGAACAAAGTACACGTACGGCACAGCCGGCATTGTCCAGCTCTTGCTCCGTGCGAAGCTTGAGAGATTGAAGTTGTGGACACTTCCAGCGTCTTTTCTCCCTGCGACCACTTCTCTCTCTACTGGTTTGACGCTACTCACAGCATCGTTACCAACGCCAACATGGCACAAGTAAGCATCCTTAACACCAGCAAAGACTGGGAAGAGATTCATTCTGAAGAATCCGACTACGACCCAGAGCTGGCCAAGGAAGCAAACGGGTATACGATGTGGAGGGCAGCCAGCTATCTTCCCAAGCACAAGCGAGTCCTGAACCGCGTTGTGAACACTCTCTATCAACTACCCACCATCTTCCAAGTGGCTGAGAAACTGCGGCCAACATCGTACCTAGACGGCCTCCGAGGCTTCGCGGCCTTTCTCGTGTACTGGCACCACCACGAGCTGTGGGCTCACGGCTGGGAAAAGCAAAATCCCATTTTCGAAAATGGCTTTGGCTACGACAGCAAATACCACATGGTCGCGTTCCCCTTTATACGCAACTTTTTCACAGGCGGCCACTATGCCGTCTCAACCTTCTTCGTCATATCCGGCTATGTCCTCTCCCTGAAGCCATTGACCCTTATGCAAGCCGGCGAGCACACAAAGCTGGGAGACAATATCGCATCGGCCTTTTTCAGGCGATGGCCACGACTCTATCTTCCCATCATTGCGGTTGTCCTTGCGTTCATCACGATGTGGCACATGCTTGGCATCTGGGTCAATGGACAAACAATGGCGGGAAGCTGGACAGAGGAACTTTGGACCTTTTACGTCGATTTCAAGAACTTCAGCTTCGTCTTCAAGGAGGGAGATCTGTGGCTCAAGTACAACGTCCACTTATGGTCCATCCCAGTCGAGTTTAAAGGCTCCATGGTCGTCTACGCCTGCCATCTGGCCCTTTCAAGGTGCTCCAAGGCTGCACGACTCTGGTGTGAAGCCTCTTTGATCTTCTACTTCATGTTTATCACGGACGGTTGGTACTGTGCCCTGTTCTGTACGGGCATGCTACTCTGCGACCTCGACTTGCTGGCCAAGAAAGGCGAGCTCCCGTTCTTCTTGACTCGCCTAGAGCCAATCAAAGGCTTCATCTACTACCATCTGCTCGTCTTCAGTCTCTACTTGGGCGGAATTCCAGCCGAAACCGCAGACGTTCGGGACATGGCAAAAAGTCGCGGCTGGTACTACCTGTCCTTGCTCAAGCCTCAGGCAGTCTTCGACTACAAGTGGTTCTACCTCTGGTTGGCTTCAGGCTTCTTAGTCGCCATCATTCCGCGCATTCACTGGCTAAAGAGATTCTTCGAGACCAAGTTTTGCCAATATCTAGGGCGCATCTCCTTTGCGCTGTACATTGTCCACGGCCCCGTGCTGTGCACACTTGGAGACCGGCTTTACATGGCCGTGGGCTTCAAGGGAGACGACCACGCGCAACACATCCCGCACTGGATGAACAAGATTCCCCTGCCAAAGTCTGGCCCGCTGGGGCTGGAAGTTGCCTTCCTCATCCCCCAGTTGATTTTACTGCCCCTGACTCTAGCGCTGGCCGACGGCGTGACGAGATGGGTGGACACACCAAGTGTCAAGTTTGCCTCCTGGCTATACCGGAGCACACTGGGCGGTCCTTCTACGGAGCCGGTGCTCGCGACGAAGCAGGCTAGGGCGTGATTTCAGATTACATACATTCTTAATGTTGGCGGTAATATGGGTTCGGGATATTTCATTTCATTGTACTTACTTAGAAGGATTTCATGATTTGGCGCAAAGGGGGGAACATTGAACGGAATACTACTCCGTACTGGTACTGTACTTACATGGAGATGCCGGCGCTTGCACATTCCTACTAACTCATAGGAGTGCTTGCAAGGGGGCAACTTCAACTTGGAATTGGATCCAACAAGGGCTAATGTCATCAACGGTTTTCACTTTAATTAATTAAGTGCCATCTCTTTTTTTTTTCCCAAGCTCCCACTCCTATCCCACTCCTCCTATCCCCCACGTAGAAAAAATTCGAGTTTTTTTTCTTCTTACCTTCCTTCCTCCCTCTACGCGACTTCTACGCCGTTGCTACTCTCGGATTAGTCAGTGTTTGATCGTGGAGCCATCCAATCTCCTGATTCATTGCAAAAGTCGGTTCATGTCGTTGGTTGTTGTTAACTGCGGTGTGAGAAAATCTCCTTACACAGGTATGTACATGTACTTGCTGACTGGGTTGTTGGTCTTCGGCGGATGTGGCTGCACCTTAAAAATTGGCTTTCTGGGCGCTGGCGCTGTCAACCCAAGCGATCTCGTCTATCTTTCTTGGCTTGTTGGCGCTGGGCTTGTGCCTGGGGAGGTACAGGTACAGGCACCAGCATGCACGTGCCACAGCATCAGCCACAGAAGGACTTTTGAGAGCTGCTACAAACTTGTGTGATATTCTACAACTTGGATCCATCAATTGCTTCTGAGATAAGAGCAAACATACGAACACAGCAAAGCAGAAACCATCGTCATCATGGTGTCACCAGCATTCAATTATTTCCCTCCCCCCTTCCACACTCTGCCTTCTTACTGTATTATGGTGCTTCCTAATTTCCCCCCGCCTCTTCCTCCTTCCAGACAACCACAAAGGCACCAGACGGCGAAATATAGCCCTTGTTTGACACCAAAACCTGCCAACGGCCGTTTCTCCCGAAGCAGCACAAGCGCGTCTCCAGCGGCCTTGCTGGTTTCCGGCATTGTGCTCTGCCGATCGCTTCTGATCTGCGCAGATTGGTTCGATGCCTGTTCCCTGCTCTCGCCGCTAATGTGCGGAGGTGCAGCACTAGGGGCCGCCCCTGTTGCTGTACATCCTACAAGTTGCCAGGTTCTTAGCAAAGGTGCTTCTGTGTGTGCTGCGTTTTGGGGGCGAGAAAATAGAGCGAAATTGCGTTTTCCCTCGGCTTGTGCCTTTTGGCATATGACAATTGCTGCAATTCTCTGCCTCTTCTATTCTCGTTCCCGCCGCCAAGTCTTTGGATTTGCGGGGTAGCGCCGGTTTCGTTTTCGTTGATGATGATGATTTCTGTCTTGTGGTTTCTGGACTAATTGACGGTCTTGTTTCCTTTCCCCCGTCTCGTCTGACCAAAGTGTCTCAGAGTTGGCAGCGGTTTGCTGTATAGGCTCTTATCTTCGTATATTAGCGGCCACACGGTGAGGTTACATTCACAATCAAGGCATCCCGCCTGCCGGGCTACCTGGTCGAGTCCATGGCAAGGCCCGATTGAGGCCACTGTGCTCCATCTAAGGGCCATGGGTCGTGTCCACTGCGAAATGCACGGCTGTCCATCTTCATCAAACCCAGCTCGCTTAGGGATCCATTGAGATGCTTGCCAACACTAATACTAGTGGTTAATTACTTCTCCAATATGGCATTTTCTTTTACTCATACCAGCACAAATGAGTATTACAGTACGAGTACTCCGTACTACTCGTCCGAGTTGGTGGTGAGTGACATTTAGAAAAAGAAGAATCTAGTGATGCTTTTTTGCTGCCGGAAGTGTGTGCTAGCCCTGGCTCTTACATCATTGCCCTTGAACTTTGCGACTCAAGACTCCATACGGGTACATACGAGCCACATGAAATCGACCATTGGCGGCAAATGGTGACTATCAGTGTGTCATTGCCCTCCGCTAGGCTCTTGTTCGCCTCTCGCCCTCTCACCGCCGTATCTCGGACCATAACAAGGGATAATTGAGCCCTGTAGCTAAATCTTTTTCCATCGCCGTTCAGCCGGGTCTGGCCTGCATACAATCTTGAATCTCCATCCACATGTACGAGTACCTACTAGGCCGTACTACCTCGTCATTTTGCCATCTACTCCAGCGTCACATCGCCGTACCCGGCCCGCTGCAGAATCTTAATCGCCATTGATCTAGAGAGCGTGGCCTAATTAGTCTTTAACTGGTATCGCTGGTACTTTCTATCAAGGTATGTATGGTATTACACTCGGTATTCATGCTGTGGTAGCATCAGCTTGCATATCCAGCCTCACATCAGGCATCTTGTCTAATTGCGCATTTCGCATAGCACTTACATACTGTTTAACACTATTACGGCACCAACTACGGCACCCGTCCAAGTGTTGATAAACGGTTACCATCGAGAGGCACTGCTTAATCACCGTGTTACGAATTGGCATTGGCTGCCATTTGAGTGGTAACCTCAAAGGATCGCCAGCTTATATCCTAGGGGCTTGTCATAGCTCCCCCACGCGCAAGCCACGAGGTCGGAGTTTATCCCTCTCACTCTCTTTTAAGCTTCCATGGCCTAAAGTCTTTCTTCGTATTCTGTGCAAGCAGTCATACAAAGTGTATCTGCATACTTCTTGGTCGAACCGAGTGAGGAACTTGACCCTTGTCACCAGACTCTGACCACATCCTTAAACCTACAACTCACGTCATATCATCCACATATCTTAGCTACAGGAGTTTCACAATGTTTGTCAGAGATATCAAGCGCTTGCTGTTCCTGACAGTACCTATTATCATTCTTCTCTACACAATCATCACCTTTTATACGCGGTCCAAAGGAACAGAATGGATTCCGCCCATCATCGACAAATTCAATGCGGGCCATGGGGAAGGCAATGCCGATTTAAACAATGAACATGAGGCCCAGGCGCCAATAGGCCTTGGAAAGTCAGAAACATTTGAGACTCCAGCAGCAAATGCGCCACCGTCACATCTGCCATTGAGCAATAGTTCTGCTCTCCCCAATATTCAAGTTACTCACCAGGAAATCTTCTCAATCTCCACCATGGACAAAAAGTACTTTGCCATTGACTTTGGTGAAGGGCACAAGGGAATGAACCCAAACATCATTCCTCATCCCACGCTGGGAGATACGTGGATCGTGGTAGCCCAGCTGGCACGGGGAGCAGATGAACAAAGCGTTTACTTCACAGAACTCATGTGTCATGCTACTTTCCAGTTTGGAGTCCTGCGGTGCCTTGAGCCTCCGACAGCACTGCCCGTTCAGCCAACAGAAGGCGGGATATGTGAAGGCAAATTAGATTACTTCTCTGCCAACATCGGCCCTCACGATGCCCGCGTTCTTTACGGGCCGGAATCTCCGTACATTGTTTACGGGTCGAATTCCCAGTTCACTTGCTTTGGCCAATTTATTCAGGACTTTCGCGAACTTGTGGACTGGACCGGCCAGTGGGGTGGCTCAAAGGCTTTCCTCAGAGGTACAGAGCTACAGCGACCTCTACCATGGAATGCTGTCGAGAAGAACTGGTTCCCTTTCTGGGATACCGCCGGCCAGATGTATATTCACCACGATGTCGCACCAAAACGAGTCTTTGCTCGAGTTCTCTCGGATGGCTCAGCCAGTGTCAACCTGGCATTGCTCACCGAAGAACAAGATAACAAGTGTCTGGAGAAATATTTACCCAAAACAATCTCTGAGAACGAGTCAGTCCACCAAGCAAGCAACTCACTCAAGGTCACCATGTGCAAGCGGATAGACGCAATTTGCATTGCCGATAAGTCCAACACCTTTATCTTCACCATCTGGCAACACAAGTCCTTTTACAACTGGCACGCAGTCTACGAGCCGTACGTAATGCTCTTCCAAGAGCAGGCGCCCTTCGCCATCCAGGCCATGTCGAAGCGGCCAATCTGGATCCACGGCCGCCAGCAGTACCCGGATCGCCTTACTTCGGAGATGATTTATGTTACGTCGATTGCTTGGAAGAGCCCTCTTTTGACGTATCACGGATATCTAGATGATGAGCTTTTCATTGGATTCGGCATTGAGGATAAGGCGTCTGGAGCTATTGACATTACCGCGGAGGAGTTGTTGGCGGGACTTGGGCTCTGCACTGAGGCATAAGGCAAAGAAACATAGGCACAGTATACCCACCAAGGTGCCTTATTTTCAATGCTTTCCCATTTTTATTCTAATTTCATGTCTTAGTAGATATTTCTGTTGTTATTCTTACATTGAGTGTGATAGAATCTTGGCTGCCCAGCGAGGTAGAGAGAGGTTTATGATGAGACGAATACACTATACTGTTAATCAAACTCAATTCAAAATACAGGATGCATATGTCCGGAACCCAATAAATGCTAATCCGAGAACGTATCAAATATTCGAGTTTCTTATCCTTGCCATCGCTTTATGATACGGTACTCCTTATTCAATTTACATCATATACGAAAGGGGAGGCAATCTGCGTTTTATACGGCTTTTTCCCCCCTCAGGTACGTACCCGGATGGTTCCTGATGCCCCTCGCCTCTAAAAGGAGCTGCATATGTAAGCAGCGCCACCATTTCCCCCTTTTGCCTAGCTCCTCCTGTGGCTTTGCAGTGACGTTTGCCCACCAGTTGATGAGGCTGTGCACTCCAATATCCTTTCTGAGGCCTTGCTGGCATTACAACATTCTCCCATTCCACATGTGATTGAGACGAAGACAGCTTGAGTTGTTCATCACGCAGCAGACGGAAGTGCCCGCCTTTGCGAACTCGAGATTGCGGAGAGCTGTGTTGATAGAATCAGCGACGTTGTGCCTGTAAATCACAGCTATCGCTATCTGCAGCCATGGCGCACCTAGCAGCGGCCAAGCTGCCCTATCGCGACATCAACCTCAGGGTCACCAGCGATGCTTATACCTTTACCTCGCCCTCGTCTCCCGATGCGCCCGCCTTGGTCATTGACCGTCCCATGGGAGACGTCCGGCTGGTCCAGGGCGGTTTCAATTCCTCCAAGCGCGCGACACGCGTGTCCAGCATCTCCGGAATCCTTGGCATCATCCAGCTCCCCCTAGGTCAGTGACAGCTCCATACCACCGACCATGATACCTTATTGCACCTGGGACTAGCTCTAACCATGCTCTAGACAAGTATGTCATCATCATCAACAAGGCCAAGCCCATGGGCAGGCTCAAGGGACAGATGGTCTACAAGGTTATCTCGACCGAGATTCTCCCTATGCGCGAGCGACAGATCCACGATCCAGACGAAGACACCTTTATAAACCTCCTCAAGACCTTCCTTGCTCAGGGGCCCATGTACTTTTCCTACTCGATCGACCTCACCAACTCTATCCAGCGTCAATCCCATGCCGACACCTCCCGACCCCTGTGGCTGAGAACAGATGATCGCTTCTTCTTCAACAAGTATCTGCAGTCTGAGCTGATCAAGTTCCGCACCGCAGGATCTCGTAGTCAGCCTGGCCCGCAGCCTGCCATTGATCCTTACATTCTTCCTTGCATGTTTGGCATGTTTGAAATCAAGCAGACCAAGTTCAAGAGCACACCCCTGACTATCGTATTGATTTCCCGACGCTCACGATACCGTGGTGGAACCCGATTCTTCACTCGAGGCGTAGACGAAGACGGCCATGTTGCCAACTACAACGAGACAGAGCAAATTGTCATCCTCAACGATAGCAGTAGCACCGGTCTTGGAGGATTTGCTGGCAGCAGTGATATGCAGAGTGGCAAGTTTGGCGCGTCGGCAGGCCAGGAGATGCAGATTCTGTCTTACGTTCAAACTCGAGGCAGTGTGCCCACATTCTGGTCCGAGGTCAATAACCTAAAATACACGCCGAAAATCCAAGTGCGTAGTACAGATGCTGCCCTCGCCGCTTCAGCCAAGCACTTTGAGGAGCAGATCCGCATCTACGGAGACAACTACCTCATCAACCTGGTCAACCACAAGGGACGAGAGTTGCAGGTCAAGGAGTCTTACGAGCAGATGGCCAAGGCTCTTGTCTCGATGCCCAAGGAGCGGCGAGAGGCCGATCGTCTTACCGACGAGAAGTTCACGACGATCCAGCCGGGCTCGAGCCGCCAGCAGTTTGATCGCCTTCACTATGTCTACTTTGACTATCACAGCGAGACAAAGGGCATGCAGATGCACAAGGCCTACGCCATCGTGGACAGACTCCGGGACGCTGTCGATGCGCAAGGCTACTTCCGTGGCGTCGAAATGCCAGGAAACAACGACGGAAGGATTGAAGCCCGCAGCCTTCAGACCAGCGTGATGCGCACAAACTGCATGGACTGTCTTGACCGTACCAACGTCGTCCAAAGCATCTTTGCTCGTCACATGCTTGACCGCATGCTTCAAGATGCTGGCCTGCTCGCAAAGGGCTCATCGTTCAAGAACGAAGACCCCGCGTTCGAGTTCCTCTTCCGCAACATCTGGGCCGACAATGCCGATGTTGTCTCCACGGCCTACTCTGGAACTGGAGCCATGAAGACAGACGTCACCAGGACTGGCAAGCGTACACCCATGGGAGCCTTGCAAGATGGTCGTATTGGTCTTACACGATACTGCCTCAACAACTTTATGGACGGCCCTCGTCAGGACGCATACGACTTGTTCCTCGGAGTCTATCAGCCTGGGGAGGCCAACGTTGGCACCAACCTCATTTTCGGCGACAGGCGGCCGGTCCTCATCCAGGCTATTCCCTATATCCTGGCTTTTAGCATCTTCATCGTTCTCGTGGGCATCTTCACCAGACGGCCTCCCAATTCGAGCGTCATCCCCATGCGCATCTTCATTCTCTTCTGGTCCAGCGTGGCAGCCTGGTGCTTTCACTTTGTCTGGACCCATGGCATGCTCTATGTAAGCGACCGTCCCATTATATCATGTTTCCCCCCTCCTTTAAAGTTGAGACTAACACACATTTTGCAGGTAAACTGGCCACGCTTAAACCCGCTCGGGTATGCCATCGATGGCTACACCCAGAACATCTCCAAGGCCAAGAAGGACGCCGTCATTGGAACCCTCGTCGCCAGACATGAGCGTGGCCTCAGCACCGCTCGGTTCATTAACGCCGAGGAGGGTAAGAAGAGGATTGAATAGATGTACGCTACACGATCTCGGGAAATAGATGATCTACGGCCTCCATTTCGACCCTTTTTGCCCTCCTTTTCCCCTTATTCTTCTGTTCCCTTCGTCGCTGTTAGACTTTGCTTGCAGATGCAGCGTTATTTCATATAATCAATCACCCTTTAGCTCCTACTGGGACAATTATCGTCTGCGGACGGGGAAAAAACTCTCTTTGTAGTCTTTTTTTTTCTATCTTCTTCATTTGTTGTTGTTACTATCGGTTCTGATCTTTTTTTTCTCAACATGGCCAGTGCCGTGGCCCCCTTTTCTACGTCCTTCATTTTAAGAAAGGAAAAAAGAGTCTAGACAAAGTCTTTTCTTAGACAAAGACTATTTTTCTCAGTCAAAAGATCAAAGAGGATGCAAAATATTAGAAGATACATAGTCAATATTATTATTTGCCTAATTTTTTTACTACTTTGTTCGAATTATAAAAGTTGTATGTTTTTTGTTGGATAAAAATTAAGTTAAAGCCCTGATAAGTTGAAAAAAACACGTACAGTTTTTGAAAAGAAGAGAAAAGGGGTTTTTTTGAACACGTGAAATGATAAACATGTGCGTATTTGCAAAGCTACCTCACTCCATGGCTATGCATCGGGGTCCTTAGAGTTGCCAACCGCAACACCGAGACAGAAAATTCGAGACTGTAGAATAATTTGGGGTATCAGACAGAAAAATTAGAAGAAGAAATAATGGAAGTAGGAGCGTATAGGAGGAAAGAAAAGGGGGATAGCAGCTACAGTGCTGGATATCCTGTGAGTGATGGTAATGCAATGGAATGGTTATGGGGATATACTGATGCTGGAGAGACTCGATCCAACATAGAATAAGGGGATATGAGGAGGTAATGGTTAGAGAGAATAAAGGAGACCAGTGGGTAGAAAGTGAGAATCACAGCCAGAGAAGCCATTTGACGCCCCGCAAAGCCCCCTTGCCGATGCCGAGGAAGATGCGCAGTATCATCACCATGAACCAGACATACCACATGAAGCCCACGAGCAGCCACTCCACCGTAAGCCAGAGCCCACGCCTCAACCACCGGAATCTTCTACGCCGCGTACGCAACATCTTGTCCATGGTGTCAATGACGTGCTTGATCTTAAGAGGCTGGCCGAGCATCAAGTCACGACTCGTCTCGTCCGCCTCATCAGCAGCCTTACGCGCCAGCTCAGACAAATCATCCGCAATATGCGTGCGAACCTCCCAAACGCGCGTGCGAAGGTCATGCGTCGTCTTGTCCCGGAAGTAGTCCGCCGAAGACTGCCATCGCTGGCCCCAGGTCTGGATGGCAACGCCCAGAGTACGAGCGGCGAGGGGATACACCTCGCAGAAAGGCACCTGCTGGTCGTGCAGCTGGAGGCTGAGCTGGGCTTGCTTAGGAGTGAGCCTGGCAATGTCCGACCAGGGGACGCCGCCGGGCTCGTTCGGGGAGGCAGCCGCGTTCAGGGCGAGATTCTCCTTGCTGAACGGCTTGTGCTGCTCGTTGGCGCGACGGCGCAGTTCCATCGCCTTGACGCCGGAGCTGAGTATCAGAGCCCGCATCCTAGCGACTTCGCGCTTCGAAAGCCTCATCTGGCCAGGAAAGCCACGGTCCGCAATCGACCAATGCTCACCCGGCAGTCGTCTATGCTGATTATCCTTGTCGCTGAGCGAAAGGGCTGAATTTCCACGCTTGTCGGCCGCATCGGGGGCAGTGCTACTGTTGTTCAACAAGGATTCGGACTCGGAGACGTCCGAGTCCCCTATGCGAGGTTTCTGTACCGGAGAAGATCCAGACGATGATGCGCTCCGGATTTTAATCAGCGGAGGTCGAAGAAGATCAAGTTCAGTAGCCCGACGACCGGGGGTTTCTGCGCCAGAATCAGCAGCAGCAGTAAGCTTCTCACCACCATTAGCGGTATGGCGAAAGCTAGGCATGCGATGAAACTGAGGCATCGTATCAAGAAAGTGCTTCGGCTGGTGCTGTACTTCTTGTGCCCTAGTGGAAGGTTTTCGCGACAGAGAAAAGGGTGCAGACTTTCGCCCCCTGATCCTATCACTATCAGACTCATCCGTTGTGTCGAGGTCGGGTGCTTCGCCAGATCCCTCTTTCTTACGGATAATGTCTCCCAACTTTGAAACACCGCCTCGAAGCACGTTGTCGATACGCGGCCCCTTGAACATGCCTCTCAAGCCAAGATTTTCGTCAGCTCTCAGTCGCATGCTTCCCGTGTTGCGAGCGCTTTTCCCGCTGTCGGCTCCTGACAGCAGCTTTCCAGCAGGGCTAGATTGACGCCTACCCAGAGTAGATGTCGAGCCTGAACGTGCCAAAAGTTTGTCACGCTTTGACGATCGCCCTTCTCCCTCATCTTCAACTTCATCGAGTATATAAGTGTCGTCGTTCTTGTCTCGAATGATTGACTTGATCTTGCTGAAGGGGTTTCTTGTGGGAGATGTTGATCGGCTCCAGGGTGGTGAAGGATCAGCGCTGGCAACCGACTCAGACTTGCCATTGCGAAGCGGCAGGATTTCAGGGGAGTTGGGAAACGAAGCTCGTTTGCCCGGAGATGACGAAAGATAATTGGCATCAAGACTCAGGCGCGAGGGAGAGCTCTTTTTGACCTTTCCAAACACAGCAAGTTTGCGTTCTGAGTCGCTTATTTCCGCCAGAGAACCTCTCCTGCTAGTAAATCGGGACGGCGGTTGTGAAATTCGCCTCATATCTTGTGCCTCGACACTCTGGTCATCGGCGCTCTCATTCGCCAAAGCCATATCTTCAAGTTCTCTTTCACGTGCTTCCTTGGCCACCATTTCCATCATTTGCTTCTGCAGTAGGTCGTTTGAGTTGCTGGAAATTGTTCCCTTGCGAACAGGTCGCATCCTCCTCTTTGGCTCGCTGTCGTCGCTGTCTGAATATTCAGATCCAGAATCTTTCTTCATTCGCATTACTATATCGTGGCCATGCCCGGCGCTTCCATGCCGGTGGTGGAATCCTTTGATGTTCTGTAGCTTCTGTTTGGCACGCTCCTTTGTACTGCTATGAGACAATTCCGAGCGAACTTTGGACAACCCAAATTCTTTCCCCTCAGTAATGGTTTCGGTTATCTCATTGTCTCTGTTGTCTCTTGTTGTGAACGGCGAAATCTTGCTGCTAGTATCATCTACTTCTCGAGATAAAGGTCTACTCAAGTCGGAGGTCGCAGGCGGCGGGAAAATCTTTCGCCAATGGCGGTCTTCAATAAGATGCTTGTGCCCGTTCTGCTCCAGCCAGTATGCATCAGCAATCACATCGCAAGGGTCCAAGATCCAGTCCACTCTCGGCCGCCGGGGCCTCGCTACGGCCTCCGAGGGCGAGTTCTGCAGATCGACATCTTCAGCGTATTGATAGGGCGGAATGGAAGGTCGTTCGTCGACAAGCGACGTCCCGGCCAGCGACATTTGTCGATAAACGGTATCAACCCATGATCTAACACACTCTACATCGCTGAACCCCTGCCGCTGTCCGTCAATGACCTTCCTCTCACGTGCCCGCACTTTGCGATTCCGAATATACTGCAAGGGGTTGTACTGCCTCCCTAGCGTGATAGCAAGCGCTTGGGCACCGGGTGCCAGCACAGGAGAGTCTGGGGAGCTACCCGACGACGGTCTTTCGAGTCCTGGCTTGAGGGGCGGCAGCACATCGAGTAGTCGCCTGTATTGAGCCCACAGCTCGAGGTGTACTTTGGCCTTGTGGGCTCTGGCCAGAGTCGAGGCAGAAAATTGCCAGCGGTATTGCGCATCGTGGGAGGACTCAAATGAGGACTGAAAGTTGCCGCTGTTTCTAGATACGGGAACCAGAGCCGACGGCTCTTGCAGTAAGCTGGGAGAATCGGTGCGCGAAAGCTTTCGCTGCTGCTGGAGATGCTGTCTGATGTTGCTTGAAGAGGATGCGTCTGGGATAGGTGTAAGCCGCGGGGGGGCAGCTGTCCGAGAGGCATTCCGTCGAGAGGCGAGACGGCGGTTTTCGCTAAGGCTGAGAGCCATGTGCACAATCTGAGTGGAATCCAGATCCGGAGCAGCGAGCGATTCCTGGTGGTGCGAGTCCGAGTATAGCCTGCCGTCGGCGGAATGCCCAGTGTTGGGAGGTGAGTTTGCAGGCTCTTCGCCAGATCGCCGAATGGGCGCAGACGAGTTTCGCATGCCCATATCATGTCCAGGGCCAGGAGAAGCCTGGAAAGCAGCATCACGACCGACGCCTAGCTGGAGCTGAGGAGCTGGGCCTGGCGTGTGAGTAGCCCGCTGTCGACGAGATCGTCCACCACCAAAGGCATCGTGTAGCAAGAAGCCTCCGCCCAGGCGGCCCTTGTGCTTCTTCTGCGCCCGCTCTTCTCGGTGTCCATGTCCGTCGTCGGCGTACGGGGAGGCCTCTCGGCGAGGGCTCAAGGCATCGTCGTCGTGGAACGAGTCGTCGTGGGGAGAGAAGCTGTCGTCGCGCTGACTGGACGCATTACCCGGCTTGCCCATCTCTTGGCTGCTATTCCGCCGGCGCTCTGGCGTCGCAGGGCCATCTCGTCGTCCGTCTCGACTCGCTGAATAATATCCTGCGGACCGAGGCGCAGGCATGTGGTGATCGGCCATTGCTTGGGCGCCGGTTCATAGTCACCAGCGCCAACCGGTTCTAGTGCCGTTGCGAATCGTCCCTACTGAAGGCTCGAGAAGGGACGCATGGCTAAGAATTCAAAAAGACAAGGATCGAAGAGAAGAATACAGCACAAATGGAGCTGGAGGAGAATCAAAAGGGGGCTGTTAATGAGGGGTGGAAAGTTCCACTAGGGATGAGAAACAGGCGAGAAAGCGGCCGTTTGGCGATGCGCCAGCCAAAAACAGGGTTCACAGAGTAGCAACCAAGCTTTGGAAGCTACTGTACAGTAGAGGCAAAGATGTGCAACCGAACTACTGATCTTAGCAGTACCACTACGCTCCAGTAGTAGCAGTAGAAACCAGCTGCTTCTTGATCGAATTTTGCAAATGCAGCCCGTCCCGGCGAGCGAGGCGCAGCGCAAGCCAAGTTTTGTTGGACGCGCAACTCGCTTGCACATACCCGGTTGAAACTCGGACATTGCAAAATTGGCTTGAAACGAAATCTATCTGGTACTTGTCCCTTGCTTCAAAGGCCCGGTTTTTATTATGCCGGCATGTCACTGGTACATTCGATCGTGCATGCGAATCACACATTGGAGATGCACGGTGATGTTATGCCGCCTTCAGTCAGAAGCCTAATTCCACCAAATCCGTCATTTGCAATTTGCATGTGGTTGTTGTTGACGGTGATCTGCGTCACTCACTAATGCCATGGGCGCATGTAAATTTAGATTGCCATTTTATTCTCTATAATTGTATTTATTTTCTTCCCACTTCTGTATCAAATCACATCTCTATCATACATGTAATAATCATCAATCAGGGGAGTGCGCTCGTACATACACATACCTACATCCAAACACATATACAGGTTTATGCAGCGATCGTCAAAGAATCATGAAGCTGTAGCGGCTGTAACGTCTTCGCATCGTCCACACAGTCCGTCCTCCTCCTCGGCAACATATCTCCAGCACCGACCGCATTTGCTCTGCTTCGGCGGCAACACATGCACAACGCCCTGCATGCCATCCACGGCAAACTCCTTCGAATAGCACCAATCATGATTGTCGGAAAGGGGAGTGTTGAGCTCCACAAACGATACCACAAACATGGCATCCAGCTCGTCTAGGTACTCCTTCAAAACCGTCGCCAGGCGGTCATCCGTAACAGAGATGCTCAAGGAGCACTGAAGAGAGCTGCCGAGCGCTTTCGATTCTCGGCCTTGCTCCAACCCCGCCTTCACCGCATCGTGCACGGCAGACAGTATGGGCAAGTGAAGTCGTAGCTGCGCCTGATCCAGCGTCAAGCGCGCGGGATCAATCACATGCGAATTGTAGAGCTGCCGTGCCGGGTGTTCGAATGACCTGTGTGGAAACTTTGTTAGACATGGGCGACACTAGTGACGACGAATCCTTTGCACGCAAAGAAAACTTACGCATCTTCCACCATCCATGACGGCCTGTGAGACCAGGCCTCTTCAACCAGCATCGGCGTGATTGGTGCCAACATTCGCAAGAATCCAACCAAGATGGGAACCAGGACACCGCCCCCATCACCGCAGTACAGGCGGTCTTTAAGCCCTTCCAGGTAAAACGCAGAGAGATCAGTTGCAATCCATCGGTTAATCAGTCCAGCAGCCTTGTGGAATTCGTAGTTACTATATTCCTCCCAGACCTGAGCCATGACGTCCTGAAGCTGCAAGATGGCGATCTGGTCAAGTTTTGTCAATGGTGCCTGGAGCGCAGATTGGTGCAGTGACCCAAGCAGCATCTTCAACGTCGTTCGGTATTTGATCAGTGCACTGTGAATCGGCTGTAAGATGGACGCTCCCACAAGAATGTCCGATGTAAAGTCGCTGCTAGCCGCCCAGAGTCGGAGAGCATCGGCACCAAGGGCGTCGTATCGTGTAGTAGCATCATTCCCTTTGCTCTTCAGAGGAGGCAACAGCTTGCCCTCCATGATTTCACTGGGAATGATGGTGTTACCTAGAGACTTGGACATTTTCTTGCCTTGCGCATCAAGTGTGAAGCCATGAGTGATGAGTGTTCCGAAAGGAGGTACAATGTCGGTTCCAGTTTTGCCGTCTGCTTTTTGAGCGGCAACAAATGTTAGGAGACTAGATTGGAACCAGCCTCGGTGCTGGTCAGAGCCTTCAAGATAGACATCCACGGGACGCCCAATCTCTGTCCAGCTGCTACCGCTATCAAACCAAACATCCATCGTATCAGTTCCACGTCGGTATGTCCCTTTGAGCGATGGCGCAATCCAGGCTGCATCGTCAGGGGCATCGGAAAACCATGCGTCCGACGTCTTTTGTTCCATAACAGTTATGATGTGCTCGATAGATTCATCCGTCATGACAGCGTTTCCACTTTCATCATAAAGGGCAGGAATAGGCACACCCCAGGATCGCTGTCTGGAAATGCACCACTCACTTCTACCTTTGACGAAGCTTTCCAGGCGAACTCGGCCAGATTCTGGGACGAAGCGTACCTGGCTCAACGCCTGAAGAGCGTCTTCCTTGATGCTTCCGACATCCGCAAACCACTGCGCCGTAGCTCGAATAACCACAGGTTTCTTCGTGCGCCAGTCATACGGGTACTTGTGTTGAAGTTTATGAGTCCAGAGCACATCTTCTCCAACCAGATCCAGCACAGCCTGGCTTCCACCGTCAAGAATAGATGGCGCCGAAGTCAGTTTTTCAGGTTCGTCTGGGTAGGCCTCGGGAGTAAAGTGTCCTTCATCCGTAATGGGGGCGAATGCTTCGATACCCAACGCCGAGCAAGCCTGGTAGTCTTCCTGTCCGTGTCCAGGTGCCATGTGTACGAGACCAGTTCCGGAATCGGCAGAGACAAACTCGGCATGAACAATGGGTTGCAAGGAAGAGGCGCTCCCTCTCAGCTTGTTTCGGTACATGAGACCCGTTAGCTGGGAACCAGGAATCGACTTGGCAATGACCTCTGCAGAGGGAATGTTCTTTGCAATTTCTTCAAGACGGCTCTCTGCGACCAAAAGTCCATCATTTCCAACCTGCAGCAAGGCGTAGTCGAGCTCGTTATGCACAGCAATGGCTTTGTTGGCGGGAAGCGTCCAGGGGGTTGTTGTCCAAATAGCAGCGTACAGTTGACCTTTGAAGTCGATCAGTCCGGGAACCGAGCTCCAATCAGACAGGATAGGGAATTTAACATAGGCAGCAGTCGATACATGATCGTCACGATATTCCAGCTCAGCCTCGGCCAAGGCCGTACGGGACGATGTCGACCAGTAAACAGGTTTATGCTTGCGATATATGAGGCCGCTGCGGACCATCTTCTGGAACACTCGAAGTTGTCTAATCTCGAAAGCGCGATCCATGGTTGTCCACTTATTATCCCACTCGGACATGACGGCAAACGACTGGAATCCTTTCATCTGATCCAGAATCGTCTTGCTCGCCAAACGCCTGGCAGATTCTCGAATCTTGGGCGGACTCAATCCCTTGGTACCACTCTCCCCAAGAGCCTTCATCTCAATGGGAAGACCGTGGCAGTCCCAACTCGGCCTGTACATGACTCTTCTGCCAGCCTGCACTTGTATCCTGTTGATCACGTCTTTGAGAGTCTTATTGATCGCATGGCCGGCATGAAGCGGCCCATTGGCGTACGGCGGGCCATCGTGGAGAACGAACGGGTTCTCTTTGGGCCGGTTACTCGTCTGCCATTGGTAATAGTTGTCGGTGCAGTCACGCAAGATCTGCTGCTGCAGCTTTGGATTCGGTCGAGCTCTGATCCCAAGTCAGCGAAATCGTCTCAACATCCCCATCTCTCCTCCGCATGGTCAGCTCACGGGAAGCTTGAGCGGGGCAGCCTCAGCGTCGATTTCCATGACTTTGACATGTTCGTACCAAAACCATGCCGGACGGCCGGTACGCGCTGGGCTGGAGCCTCAGTGGGCAAGATGCGACGTAATTGACGCTTTGCAACGGCGACTGCAAGAGAAATGAAGTTTTTTTTTTTAGAGATCTCGCGACCACACCATCTCCCCGCGCCAATTGCGATCAACGCTCCAATTGGGTCCTTCGGCGGGAGCTTATAGCGGCCTTGGACCCTATTTTTAGTGGATGGCGCGGGGCATCAGGTCCAGAGCCGCGATTACATCACCGGAGAGCTCAAGCTCCTTCTTTTCAACATTCACGCTCCCGCGATACAGCTCGTAGTAAGATTGAAACAGAATGGCACCCATACGCCGGTACCTGAGAATTACAAAGTATTCCGTTCTTGAATGCAGGATATACTTGGACAACCCGGCGCTGGCACAGTCATGGCTTCTAAACCCCCGAAATCCCATTCTTCCACAGGTCATCGAAGCCATCCGACCACTCGTGATACCCAAGCTCCGTGAAGAAAAAGAACGAAGTAAAAAGAAGAGCACGAAGAAGAAGACGATCAAAGAGGTCATCGTAAAAGGTAAAGATTCTTCTTCTCAAGCTTTTTTCCGCCTCTGCATAAATTGGCCTGGTCTGGAGCAAATGACGGATTCTAACCTACCAGCAGATGACTTTGAGGTTTCCGTCTTCTTAATGGAAACCGACACACGGCATTCTCTGCTCACGAAGCAAAAGTTCTTCCGGGACAAGGCCCCATCTGCACTGCAGTCCAACGCATCAAAGCTCATCACAGAAACTAATGCGACTCCCATTGACGTGGATGCCAACGACTTTGCGCCAATCCGTATCGAGGAGGACAGTGACAACGAAGGCGTGGCGCTCAGCGATATCCCCTCCGCCAACACCAACACCCGCCAGCGCGGCGCAAAGCGCCAAAGGAGCAATACCCTCGAAATCGACGACTCGGACGAACTCGAGGACGCCGGGGACGACGATTCCGCCTCGGTTGTCGATGTGGATTCTGACGGTCATCAGCCTCTGCCAAAACGCCCCAGGGGCCCCGTGAAACTACCAGCAGAGCCAGAGGGTGAGTTTCACGATGACTACAAGAAAAAGCTCGCAATGGACGTGTCATATGAGGGGTTCGCAATTTACGGCCGCGTCCTTTGTTTGATCGTCAAGAAGAAGGAGAACAAGACACAGCAAAACCTTGGGGGCCAGGCCATGATGGAGAACTGGATCGCGTCAACGCAAATACCAGTTGGCGAAGAGGCCGCATGACAAGGTGAAGGGGGGGGAGGGGTGGTGATTCGACCAAGAAGGCATTACTGTATTGATAATGCCAACAATTATCGCGTCCGGAGCTGGAGGATCGTTTGCGTCTCGTCATCGGCATAGTCTCGCATAAAGGATCCAATTCGGGGCGCCAATCACTGGGCTGGGCAATTTTCGCAATGCGGAGACCGTGTATCCAGGCGCATGCGGGCGATTCTGGGCTGAGCGATGCAATGCAATGCGATGTGATGCGAGGGCGTTTTTCTAACCATACTGGCACAACAGACGTACACCCACAGGTCAGTTGGTACTCATAGTACGAGAACACCATGCGGGATTCATCACCATCATGGGTCCAGGGCGGTGTTGAGAGTGTCCTGAGGCACATTATCTGCGGTTTCACAAATCGGTGGCCCATTCTTGGTTCTCCTCTCTTTTCTGTTTTCTTTTTCCATCAAGTAACACAAAGCGACAAGGGGAGCTGTTATCTGCCTCGGCACAATATAATCGGAGAATGGATCAAAGAAGGGTCTTGCTATCGCACCCATGCCGATTTTCAAACGTTTCAAACGGACCATCCCGCTCACCTTGCTCCGTATATCCTGTACATACGATACTCCCTCGTAAAAAAGTCCGGGGAGTGAAGTAGCAGCAAGCAACAATGTACGTAAAAGAAAAAGTGGTGGGGATATACCCCCATTGATAATTAATATCGCACAATGGCAGCATGTGCGGAGGATATACTCTTCGCGGCAATTATCATTTCGAGCTTGTCAGTTGAGATTGACCAAATTACCTTGCCCTGCCATGGGGTACGTTGTCTGAGGTTTGAACGGGTTTCCGGTGAGAGTCCAGATTTCGCCCGCGGCCTCCGCACGATAGGCCGAATTGTGCCCCAGAACGGGCCGTGATTTTTTCTGATCTCATACATGCGCCTGTCAAGAGGGAAAAAAAAAAAGGCACAAATCGCCGTGATTAGCCGGCAAAGAGTTAATTGCCTCGTCTCGAACTGCCACGTGAGGCGCCATGACAAGGCTGCGGCGCGTCTGATTGGTGTGGTCGAGGCAGAAGCTGCATCTAGCCTCAATGCTGTCGTTGATTTGGCCTTGTGCCTTGTCACTTTTTTAATTCACGACGAGAGAGATAACGCAGAATTGCGCCAGGATATCTCGGAGCAATGGATCATGTGCGCGCTTCTCCCATGTATGAGGTGGCATGTTCCAGCCGCGACGAACCATTGGTGCAGGTTCAGTTGCAGCAAAACAGTCACGTCACCGCAACTTCGCGGGCCGTCATATTGATTAATTAAATGAATTTTGATCAGAAAATCTGCCGTGTGCCTCGGAACGGTCGCGGCAACAGGTCGCATCGCATCCATGGATCGCATTTACAGCAGCGGGCGTATCGGCCGTGGTTGGCGATACTGCCAGATAGCGCCGAGCCGCAAGGTGTTGGGCGCCTATCGTAAGACGGGCTGATTGGTTACCAGGTCCCCCAAAGGGCAGCTGTCAAAGAAGGCGGCAGACATGGCAATCCATCGTACGGTTTCAATCTGCGTTGCAAGCAAGGCCGTGATTTACAATCCCACCGTACATGTACACTACCTGGGGTTGTTGATTGCACGGCCCCCCCGCAGAAAGCACAGGACAGAGGGGCTTTGCAACGACGGGCGGGAAGAGAGTCTTGAACTGGGTTTGCCGAGAATACCGCGACCCCCAAAAAAACGACATGCACAAGGCCAATGTACGGCATCGTTGCTCGCATGACAGCGCCGAAGATCCATGCATGCCTGGCGAGAAGCAGAGACGAGAAAGGTACTTTGGGCACAAGTATCGACCATTGATCACAACTCAACTGCTGCAGGCGTCCCGCAGCTGAGCCTGAGTTGGCACGATTTGGCTTCCCAGGCTCGGCCATACAGGCCTCGTTACGCTACACCCTCTTGGCGCGCCTTCCCCTCACCTCAGTGGGCGAGCAAAAAGGCTGAAGCTATCACGAAGAACCAAGGTGTGTAGCTCCCCGACTAGCGCCAGACGAAAAGCAGGCGAAAGCTTCAACTAAGTACGACTCATACTCTATTAACCATGGCCCTTTTGCCAAGGCTTTTGTAAATAAAGTTTGCATCGGAGCATCTCTGTGCCGAATCAAGCGAAGGAGTAAAAAGCAACCTGAATTCAATGATTCCTTCAGAAACGCTGCTCCTCACCTTGGGCGATACGAGGTTCGTGGTGAGTGGTGCCGTATTCGTTACGCCTCGTGGAGATTTTGACAAGCGCCCGCCACAACAATAAAACACCTACCCTGTAAAAAAAACAGCGCGGGAAAATAAAGAGCGAGTGTAACACAAGCGCTTCGGACGCACATGGCTTTTTTCTCCACGATCTGCCCACTGTGAGTAATTTCAACACGTGTGATCTTAACGGGTATTCTCTTGTGATGGGAGCGGCCAATTAACCCGTCCGCCGAGCTGTAAGTATGATGTTAGTGTTAGTGTACAATGTGCTATCTCGACACACCGGACGTTGTTCTCCGCACAGCTGTCGTCATATATCTCAGGCATAGAATGAGGGGGTAGACACCACCAGCAAGAAGACGAAAAAAGTCAATGCGACGATGGCGCAGGACAGCTCAGCAATTATCCCTTCATCCGCTGCTTTTATCGTCTTGTCGTGCTTTGCTTGGCAACAACTCGAACCACGATATGGCGCGAGGAGGAGGAGGGGTGTAGCATCCAACATTGAATCCAGACACATGTATGAAGCCCAAAGCGGCGCAATTCTACAGGAGGGCTGACAATCCTACGAAAAGGCTCTACTGCAATGCGCTCAAGTGCGGGTACAACCTGATACACCCTCACCTGTAGGTGATCAGTGACCGACTTCAACCAGCGCCCTGGATCGGCTCGCCATGAGCACAGCACGCACACGCTTCAAAAGGCGAGGTGTGGCAGCCTCTTTGATCCCATCGCTGATCGCCAGGGGTCCGTGTTTTGGGGAACGCCACAAGTAACCCCTGCCCACCACGTGGAAAATTAGTGGCTTGACGGCAAGATTTCTTTTTTGCTGGTGGAGCTGCGCCTGGTCACTGCGCCCCTAAGAGCAGCTCTCCACAAGCAGGCCTCGTACGAGTGCAGTGATTGATCAATCTCGCCATTCGAATCTACTAGGTATCGATTGCTGTAACTACGGGAGGAAAGGGGAGCTTTGATGAGCTCAACTTCAGGTCATGGCCCCACCCCTTCGCACTGACTCAAACGGCGTTAACGCAGCTAAAGACTCCAAGTGCGAGTTGAGCACTTATCGATTCCTGCGGCGAGACTACGGCTAGGGCTTGTGTGTTTCGGGGGTTAATCAGCTTCCGACATACAAAGTAAATTTAGATGTCCTTGTATAGACGATAGATAGGCACTAAAGCGGCAGAAACGACTACTTCGGCGATACCAATGGGTTCCAATGCTTTACTGGCGGCTCATGTTGTCTTATCACTGCTCCCGCAAAGTGCCGAGCTCTTGTCTCCGAGCCGCGTCATGCTGACAGTTGAGTGTTACAGTGACAGTCGATCTGCATCACTCAGGCGATTACCTATGCCCGAGCAAGCCGAATTCATTACCAAGCACGTTGTTAAGCAGAGAGGCAGCCGTGTGAGCCTTTTAACCATGTAACAGAGGGATGGAGATGGAGATGGAGATGGAGATGGAGATGACATGGAAAGAAGGCCGCCTTGCTGATGGCGGATCCGAGACAGAAAGCGGCAGGTGTATCAGGTAAAAAGGCACGACATCGAGTATTGGCACGTCATGCGGTGCGGCTGTATGCAATCCTGTGGATGACGCTGCAAAACGGAACATTCAAGACTCACCTTACTGCACTTGTGCGGCATGGACCCAAATCCGTCTGTCATGACAACAAACGCGCACGCCCAAGGGTACAGGATACAAACCTACCCAGTACCTCGTAGACACCGGTAAATCATCATGTAGGGCATCTGCACAGGGTGCATGAGGGATGCCACAGCGACGGTACGGGCCCCCGTTCTCAGACCAATAGCAGCGCACTCTCGCAGGGCTCTGGCGTGCCCGTTCCTGTGCCTGGTCCTCAGCTTTCAGCTGCGTGGCTGCGCCGAGGCCCTTGCGAGACGGGAGCCGTGCGGCTGGAGACGAGGGTTCGCAAGGGAGCAGCCGCCGTCGCATCGTCGCCGCAGCCCGCTCATAGTGCTATCCATAGTGTTGCTCATAGTGCCACTCGCTGCTCTGCTGGTGCCGTAATAGAAAGCGGCTCGTCCAAGAAGCGACGCAACATGGGCACACGCGCATGTATGAGTATCGTATGTATTTTCGTTACCAAGGGCCCGTCCCCAAAAATAATGCACGCATGTAATCCTCTCCTGCAGCTGCGGGCGTCATTGGCAAGGGACCTGCTGCATGAGGGTCGACCTGGGATGCTTGACTCGTCCCAGTAGAACGGTTTTGCCCGCACGACAAGGCTGAGCAAGTCTTTGAGATTTCTCTCTCCCCCGGCCCTTGGAGCCCCGTTGATGCCCAATCACCTGGGCTGCGCGCTGTGCGAGCATCACAAACGACGCCCTCTTGTGTCTCTCGATTCGAAGTAGGGCGGTAGTGTTGTATCATGGATCGGGGCTGGCCCAGCGAGACAGACGCAAGGATCCCCGCAATCATGGTTGTGATCATCTGACGATGGACCAGGGCCAAGCTGCCAATCCTACCATGCACGGTGAACAGCTGACCCTGGGAAGCTGTACCCCAGAGATGGCAGATTTGCAATAGCTTGGACACATCCATGCCGTATCTCTCGAAACCAACTGGCTAGCACGGCGAGAGGTGTGCAGTTCAGTTCGGTGGCTGCGTTGCTCTTGGACAAGGTACGAGATAAGCGGCGAACGTTTTGACGGCCACGCCGTTTCGCTTAGTCGCCAAGCATTTGATGATTTTCGTCGACCAACAGCATCTTGGGGAGAAATGAGAGATGATAAAGGAGAAGAGTGCCTGCTGAACTCTGGTTAGAAGGCAAATGGAACGATTCTGCGGCCCGGCAACCGAGTCAAAGCAGCCAATGGCATCCAATTACTGGACACACGCAAATTCAAGGCCCGAAACCTTGAGCTCCAAAAAAAATCAGGGCAAATTTGGCCAGCAAAGCTCGGGAAATGCGGAGGGCAGACGAGGCACGGTGATTGGCAGGCGCCAGTTTGCGCTAGGACGGCCCAGTTGGCTGGAACCCCCTGGGAGAGCTGGAACAAGGGGCCTGGAGGAGAGACATGGAGGGACGCCACTCTCGCTTTTTTTTCGATCAGCTTTCACTTTTTCGCTGGGCGCTGGGCTGTGATTCGGCGTCGACTCTTGTTCTCGAGATGGTAGGGCTACGTGTGTTGTCGGAGCGATGCTACCCTATGCTTATTATGTACAACCGCGAGATCTCTCTGCGTGGCATTTCACTCCGCAACCCGAGCCAGACCAGGGAAGAAAGAGGACTGGCGCCAGGAGGTGGCGAACGTTGGACCGGGCAGCGACGGGCGTTGAACGAGCTGGTTCCTGTCAGAAAGTTGGCTTGGGGGACATTTTTGGAATTGAGTTGCGACGGCCGGGGGGATGATCAGTCAGAAAGGCAGACTTGAGAGGGTGGTGGTGAAGGTTTGGAGGTACGAGTACCTGCATAGGGGCAACCTCTTTGCAGCGAATTCGCTTGGAAAAGCACACTTACCAGGGGAGGGCAGAGAAAGTCAATTGCGTCTCATCACAATCAACCCCTGGACACGTTGTAAGTGTATACTTGGAGGTGGTTTGGTTATGTATGTATGGTTTGTATGCTTCGCACCTAATATGGCACTTGTGCACTTGTTTATACAAACATTGATATGGATGCCGCCCCAACAAAAAAAAAAATAGGAAAGATATGGCCACAGGTCATTTTACTGCTAGTGCGTACATATTCGGGACCCCCATTTAGCCGCGATTGCCTCATCTTACAAGTTTTGCACTAGAAGACTTTCTAATTTCTGTTCCCTTTTCTTTCTGCCGCCGGCAAAACGGCAACCAAAATGACAAATACCGACCTCTTGGTAAGCTGTTGGTTTACTATTCACGATTGAGAAATTGCGAGCAACAAAAAACAAAGTGTCAAAAGGCCGTAGCCTCCGGTTTCACGTTTAGCTTAGACAGGATGAAACAGCAGTTTGTCGATACTGTTCAGTCATCCGACACCCCAGTCACCTCCAGATGCAAGGTATCCGACCATCGCGGCGTCATGATCTGTCGTAATGAACTCCTGCTCCGCACGCAATTTTGTTCTTGCGTCAACGATATCCGAGACTCTCGAATTTGTGTGACTTTTTTTGCTTCTTCTTCTTTTAGAAGGGGGGTGGATCGATCCACCGTACTCAATTAAACCTTGCCCACCCCCCTGTCCCAGTCCCGGCACAAAGGCAGACGAGACAGAGAGAGAGAGAAAATAGTACGGCACAGAAATCTGCCCGCAGCCTCGATCAATTCGAAACGGCGGTGTACTACGTACTCTGAGTGTGTGACAGGCGTGTGGGATGTACCGATTCGGTTGATGCCAAATTTGGGAGATTGGGAGGAGCGCTAGCTGTGGGACAAGGTTCCACGATGGGCTCTCTTTCGATACACGGCACTACTGCCTACACGTGCTTGGAATACGGCAGCCTCTTCGTACTGCAATGCATTCCTTCCATCCTGCAAGGCGGATCCTGCGGGTACTACCTTGGACCAGCTCGCCTCTGAGGGGACTGGAGGATTCTCTTTGGGGAGATGCGATACGGATAAGCTTGCAGGTCCTTTGTGTTGCCATGTGATTACCGGGTAGCATTGGCGATCGGCTCGCAAGGCATCCGTCTGCCTGGATTTCCTAAATACCGTCGTACTGTAGGACCAGAGCACGAACTGTGCCACCCAAGGGCTTGCATCCTTCAATTCTTTTTTGGCGTGTTAAATTAGTAGTGCTCGTACGGAGTGGCAGAGTACAGTATTACACCGACTGCCGATCTGTCAAAGTGTAAGACCTGTAATTGTAGTCCGGTGCTATTACTTCGTACTTCGTATACATTAGCAGCATGTACTATACCATCTAGTACTGGCACTACGAGTACGCGATAATAACGGAATCCAGAGTGGCCGAAAAGGCCCTGTTACTGGGCAAGCGAGACATTGGAATGCCAAGAAACAAATGTCTTAGCTGTGCCGTCTTGTTGTTATTTCGCATCACATGCGAGTACGAAGTACGCGTAGTCGCAGATGCAATGATCAAGGACAGAAATAAATGAGACATTGAAAAAGATAAGCAGGGGGTGGCAAGCGGCACCATCAGGCAACTATCCACCCGTCAAAAAAAAAAAAGAAACGAAAAAAGAAACGAAAAAAAGCCCAGGCCAGGTACCCGTCCTGTCGCGGGGTGGCTCAGACACGAACAGAAAAGAAAAAAAAGGATGACGCCTTATCCGACTTACCGACAGCCCTGTCGTGCTTTCTTCTGAGTGAGGCGGATACGACGTCCACAAGTATCTTGCCCCGTGCGCAGCCTTTCCTCTCTCTCTGTCCAAAGACCCTTGCACCCTGGCTGGGTGGACTCTTCTTTAAGTGATTCGGTTTTTAATACCCTTCTTCTTGGTGCTCCATCGTGGATCAAAGGACACGCCCGGATATATCCGTAGGCTCAACTTTTTGCCCTGCTTGTTTAGTTGGTGTCCACTTGTGATAGGGTGACTTGTGTTTTATCAACATATCATGTTTCGTTTTTCATTTCTTGTCTATTCTCTGTAGAGGGCGTTGGGAAATTACAACAACGGGCGCATCGTCGTGGACAAAGGACTCGGCAGTTTGTGATGCGCGCTGTCAACCCTCAACGAGCATCATACAATGCGAGCTGTCAACAAGACTAACCCCAACACATGCCATGCCTGCGATGATCCTGGGCACAAAAAAAACATCCGTGAACGAGCTGCTATCAAAAAGACAAAGAGACAGAGGGCAAAAAAAGAAAAAGAAAAAAAAAGAGGACCCCTATGATTTCATCGCTGCCCCGCCCCGAATGACTCTTAATTTGGAACGTGCATCGATAGACGCATGCATGTGCTCACAGTAATTTAAATCCCATAATATTATATGCCCATGGGAGGCGGTCGAGTTATTTTTCTGGCGGGTAATGAATGCTCCGAAAAAAAGAAAGCACGAAAAAAGCACTTCTGTCAATCTCACTGCTTCTCAACATCACAGATGTCCCCACAGATGCCTGGTAGCACTGGCATGTTTTGGGGAGGAGCCTCTTGGATTGATGAGCATACCCCATGTTTTGTTGTAGGAGCTAGGACTGGCTGACAGCTTCATGAGCATCAACTCGCATGTCGAAACCGCCATGTGAGTCATTTGCCCAGCCGCGGTGTTGAAGCCCAATGATAGACGCCGCCGTACGCAGGGATGGGGTGGATTAGTTCCCTTTGAGCCTCACACACACAGAGAGTCACTGCTTGGCGGGCGAACCACTGGGCGGACGACTCAACCATCCCATTCCAGGTCGGTGGGAATTTGTCAACAACGTGGGAGGGTAAGGCTGCAGGATGTGTGAGTGAAACGGAACGCTACTGGCCAGTTCGACTGCGTGAACGAGTGACATGCGGCAGAGAAGGGCGACGGCACTTTGCCCAAGTACATATGCTTGTTGACGTGGTGCCTTTGGTGTGACGGGCCAAACATCTGGACACCGCATCGAAAATGCCACTAACACGGCCAACAAAGCACACCTCACTCTTTTTTTCTTTCTTGACCGTCAAAAAGTCCATGTCATCATCGACTCGTCTTTAGCTCGGTCTAGGAGCCTGGAGCCTGGGCGGTCACGAGCAACCCAGGCGGAACGGACGGTGGGGGGTGCGTCTTACACATGTTGCTCGTTACCAAAGCCTCGGGCGGCAGCATGAATTTTTTTTTTCTTTTTTTCTTTTTTTGCCCGGCCTGGTACCCCCATCATTGGTTTGATTCCCACAAGAGCGAAAACCCCCGATTGCCGACTTTCAACGTCAGTTGGCGCTTGACCGAGGCCTCGGCTCTGCATCGTCCCGCAATGCGGTGAGTGACGAACTAAGGCGCACGGAGCCCTGCCTCGAGTCGTGATACCAAGCAGCTAGTAATAGCGGTTTCGGTCTCTTACCGTAATGTCAAGTGCTGGTTTTGAAATTGGCGTCTTGCTTAAGGCGCGAGATGGAAAAAATGGAAGAGAAAAAGAACAAGCACGGACCTTTAGCCGCTTTTCTAGACAGATTTTTCATCGGGCTACATCTAGCACCGGCGATGCCATTAGCAAGACTGGTGCCCGCGAATATTGATGTAGTATACCGGTCTAAAGAGGAGCCCGGTGTAAGCGCCCACCGGCCTCAATGCTAAACTCGTAATGACAGACCCGGAGCTGCCAGTTAGACCAAGAGGAAGCACCGTTTCACTCCCATCAAAATGAGTTACAGCCAGGGTGTAAAACGTCCAGCATCCGAAGGGCAGCTGACGAGAGAAGACGTCTAAAAAGCTCCCGCCCCGCAAAATCGCGATCTGCTTCTGTGGCAGCCCTGCAGATCACCCAGAAAGAGAAGCAGGCATTCTCTCAGCAGTCTTTTTGTTGGCCCTCTGACGTCGTACTCGTACCATGCCAATCTACTCTACACCGTACCGCTGCATTGAGATTGAGAAGGGCCATCAAAAACCGGGGGAAATAAGACACCCCCAAAGATGTACACCGCATAGGGTCCATAATCGGGTATCAAAGAACGCTAGATGTTTTTTTTTCCTCCTCATGAGCTTCATAGCGCGGTTCCATCTTATCCACCGGCATTTTTCATGCAAAGCAGCTGTCTTTTTTTTTTTTTTCTTGCTAGCATTTTTTACCGCCTGGAATGGGATGCTATAATTCTGGCGGTCAACAAGAGGCGACTGCAGATATGCATCGGATTGCCGGACGGGGTCGGACTCTTGAATCGCAGGGGCCAAGACCGCCAAGCCCCGCCGAGAACTGGGGCGATTTTCCCTTGGAGAGGGCACCTGATCACTTTTTTGCTGGCCTTGTGTGTGATTGGCAATGTTGTAGAGTAGCTACGTCGGCTACGGTGTGTGAATCACACGCACACACACTCGCATTTTGAGAATAAATGACAAAAATACGGACAGCGAACAACTTGGGGTTTGTCAGTTGTTGTTCGGAGGAACCCCCCTGTCTTTGGTTTTGCCCTTTTTCCTTCCTCAGCTCTGCATGGTCTAGGCCACGATGCTACTGTTGCTGTTTTCGTAGTGCTGCTTGTGCAAATCCAATTTGAGAAAGTGGCCCTGCGCCGCCCCACGATTCTTGCGCCGCACCCTTATTCCGTATTCTGATGTAGCCCAGCTGGTCCTTGCGCCTGGCTGAAAACGAGGGTGAGATTGGAGCGAACGGTCCTGTGAAAATTAAGGACAGGATGAAACGTGCTAGAGCTCTTCTCCACAAAAAAGAGGTGGCAGGAAAAGGAAATGGAAGGGCTTCGGCGCTAGAAAGAGTCGGGCTTCCAGAAGGCTTCCATACGGTGGAGCCGAAATGGCGTCTGGGCGCTCCGTTAAGGAGAAAGGAAGGGAGCTTGGAAGCCGTCGAAAAGGCGAAAAACGGAGGCGAGTGGGCCGGGATTTGATGATATTCCTGGCCATGGCAAGGCAAGCGTCGAAGTTACGGAGAAGAGCGGCTAGTCCGTTTCCCAATCGGTTCGTACGCCCGGGCGAGGGCGCTTGGGAGAGTCGAGATTTCGTGGTCATATCCATTGTACAGAGGCAAAGTGACAAGTGGAAAAGGTACAGTACAGCAGTACTCGTACTCACGAATAAAGTACGAGTACGGCGCTACGCTACCAAGGTACGCTGCCTGCGTGCGTGGAGTTCAATTGCATCTACCGGCCGACAATGAGTCTTACAACTGGCCTGACTGACTGACTGACTGACTGGCTGCAACAGGCCAGTGTTGGAAAACGGAAAGGGGGGAGGGATACGTGTAAATGCGCTGTACGATATGTACTGCTACTGCTTGGCTGGCCGTGTTGTAGGCACCTTTGCGTTGTACTGGTAACATGGGATATGGGATGGGGGAATGGCGGGCGGCAGCGGTACCTGCAAACGATGGCAAATGCAGCCAAATTCCGGTGAGAGGTGGCAGCCGTTCGTGTACTTTGGGCTTGGCCGGGCCTGGGCTGGGCGGCGCAAGGCAAGGGAGGCTGCCAGCGCAATTTCGACGCGCAGAGGGCTCTGGTTGGCTGCTGGAGCGAGGCCAGGCCTATTGACCAGAATTAGAATTCGAGACGGACGGCATCGAATCAATCAATCAAAGGGCACTCACCGTTTTCTGGTTGCCTATCTCGGCACTGCTGGCTGAGACGGTAGAGTTACGAGTTACAGGCAACACAACTGCTAGTAGCTTCAGGCAGACCGTCTCTGGTGTGTGTGTCTCTCTCCAAAAGTCAATCCCATCAAGTCCAGTCCATCCCACCGCCCTCCCTGCATTCAATTGGCAGCAGGGATCAGGGCTCGACAGCGCCTCTCCCCCCCCTGTGCCTGTTTCAATTTCCTACCTAGCCCACGCTGGGCTGGCCGCTGCGTCACCAGCCAGGGTTGCATCAGCTGTGAGAAGCGCCCAGCGCACACGGGAAGGCCTGTGGGGGCTGCCATTTTGCGGTCTGGCTTTTCTGGGCACTAGAGCAGAGGGCAGAGGTACAAGCCCCGCTGGTACTCGCAATTCTGGGCTGACGTATGTGCAGCAATGCATGCCCGTCATGCTCAACAGGTACCCGCGTCGATTGTATCTCGTACTCTGCCACCCAATTCGCACACCCCCTCCCCCCCTGGTCGGATGCCTACTGCGACGCCCCCTGGGCTGCTGCGCTACGATACAAGTGCCCTCTCTCGTCAGATTCGCCTTTCCATTGCCTCTCCAAAATACATAAGGACACTTGCCCTCGCCTCTCCCCACGAACTGTCTACTCCCCAGATCATCAGAATCACAAAGCAACAACTTCTTGCACACCAAACCACTTAAACTACTCAAAGCCTCACACTTGAACTTGCTACTCTAGCACTCAAGCCAATCTACTCTCGACCACCATCAACTTACTTACACGGGACGCCGCCTTCTACCGTCGTCCACAACACCAAACTATCAAGCTCTCACAGCTTCAACAAACCCTCACAACCACAATGCCTGCTCAGCGACCTTCTCACCTTCCTCCCTGCCCGGGTCCCCCACCCAGCCGACCTCTTCCTCCTCTGCCCAAATGAGAGCCGCGCCCGCTCTGAGGAAGATATCTCGAGTATATCATAACACTCTCCAACTTTGAGACAATGGCTACACCTCTTCCTTGGCTAAGCTTTCTTGGCCATGGTTATCCGGATCTACTATACAAGGTTTCACAATTACTTCTTTTGCTTTGACCGCTACTGGTCGACGGCACATCGCGAGCAAATCTGCTATGCGGAAGCGGATCTGAGCTGCACGTCACCACTTCTGCTGCTACTCTATAACTCCGTACTACAAAGTCGTTCCAACCGCTGCGGGGCTGGACATGACACAATCTATATGCGACCTGCTCTCCCGAGCTGGACATGCATATTCGGGGTCATCTGCTTTCGCTGCGCTGCTCGCGGCCGAGACCCCCCCCTAACCAAACCGAGTGGGCGTGTCGACATCGAATCACCAACCCTGGCTCTCATCGGCTTCTCAATGGCAACCTGAGCAATTCTCTCAACAACAACAACCGTCATAGCCGCCAGCATTTGGACGATGCCCCACCAAATCTCTCAAACCGCCTGGCCACATGACAGGCTGCGTTTAATCTCTCTCCACACCGTCCTCGCTGGCTCGAGCGGGTACTTGCACTCATCTTTCGATCATCGACTTCGCTTGTGTTGTGTATGTGACGCAATCTCATACACACTCTTTTTTCTAATACTATGTAATATTTCTTATACCTTTTCTTCATTTTCTTTCTTCTTTTTTTCATTAGCAATCTCACTTTGGCGTCATGCATTATCAACGTCTATGAAAGGCGGCGGGGGGGGGGGGACACTCTACTGGCATTGGGAATTGGAAGGGAATCATGTACTACTACTACTACTACTGGAGCATTCGTGGGTTCGTCGCGGAATACCCTGGGATGTTGACGACTGGGTTTTGTTTTTTATTGGATTAGGTCGGGATACGATGGGCAGGAGATAACGATTGAAATGTGGGATTGAAACTACCATCTTGCCCCGTCTGGCGGTCATAGACACTACAATGAAACTTGGCATTTGCTGCTACTACTACTCTCTCTGTCTCTCTGTGCTTGCTCCCCTTGTAAAAAAGCGTGTCTTGGTGCTATGATCTTGTTGGGTGATCGTCCGATGGGCAAAGTGACCTATCGCCCACAATTTGAGACATTGTTATGGGGCATGTTTTATTAAACCAAACGAACGAGTGCTACGTTCCGCATTCATCTCGTGGCCGCTGCGCCTCCGGAATGCCAGGCCAGATGGCCAGGTTATGCGCACTTAACTTAGGCAGAGGGCTACAGAGTGCTACTGAGTCGGTGGCCCAGCCCATCTCCGGACAAGACCCCCTGGCCACGGCCGATACATGCACTTTGTTCTCTCTTTGTAAATCACTCAGATCATGCCAAGCCGCTGCCATCATTGCCGGTGCTCCGTGGACTTCCGCATACGCATTGGGGCAAAGGGAAAATACTCCGTACGCTGTCTGTCTCTGTTACAGTGCCGCCGCCGCGCCAAGATACGGCAGAAAAAGGCAGAGAAAAAAAGGGGAGGTTGTTGCGGAATTCTAGGCACTTCCGGACTCCGTACAATTTGCCCTTTCTTTGTCCGTCGGTGGGAACGCTGGGATGTGGGGAGAGAAAGTACTGGACGACTACAGTAAAAGGGCAAAAAAAAAAAAAAAGGGACGGGGACGACATCGACTGGTGACCGAGGCTATTCACGGGGAGGCCGCCATGGTCTGTTTTTTTTTTACTAAGGCGGCTCCATCTGCTTTCTTTCTTTGTCAAAACTTAAGATACAGTAATTACACCGAAGGAGAAATGATTGACTGCCGGCTTTTTGAGTTCAGCTTGCTTGGTGGACGCCATTCGGGCTGAACCGTGTCGGGATACCCATGTCTTGATTTTTTTTCTTTTTGGGATGTGGATGAGATTTGATGAGATGAGGGTACGATGCGATGCGGTGAACGTTGGGGCGGGCGGGCATCGTGGAGCAAAACTAGCACGTTGTCTAAAATGAAGCTATGTATCCATTGAATCGAAAAAAATTTCTTCTTTTCGGGCTTCTAGTGGGAGATGTAGTTTTCCCACACCCCTTCAATTGTTTTTTTTTTGCTTCTTGTATTTTTGCTCTAGACTGGCCGCTGATGGGTCTTGCCGCTAGGCCGAGGTGGCGGTGCTGTTGCTACCTTTCTCGTGGGCTAATTGGTAGCCTGTTTTTGAGTACGAAGGCGATGCTGGATGTATATTATTTTGGTATCTAGTGTAGTGTTCATGACTCGGGATTGACTGGATTTGGGGGCCATGTTGGCTGTGTTCAATCTAGGATGCTTATATATCAGCTGGCATCTTGCGGAGATGTGATATCTATTTGTGTGGATAATGATAGGAACTGCGGGTTCAATATTATTTTCTTAGCACGTGTATATACTATTAATGCACGTATTCATTACGACCTAAATGTAGCGTCGGTGGCAAAGGGAAAGCTCAATTAAAGTCGTATCGTCGTTGTTAAATTACATATGCACGATTTAAGGGGCGTTTTGTTCGATCGCACAATGTAATACCATGAGGCGACAAATCAAAACGCAGAGCCGTGCTTTGACGCAAGGGACTTTTCAGCATCAATTGTAAACACAACGCAATTACGTACGGACTCGGGGGTCCAAGGGTCCGATCTTCAGGGGTCCTCGAGAAGAAAGAAGATCAAATCGAAGCCCTGCGCCGATGCCAACATCAAATCATATCTGTGCTCATCGTACTCCGTACTGTAATATCCCTATGCACTGCACGAGCACGCTTTTGGCAGTGGATCTGGACTGGACTTGCAGCAGCACTCCGTACTCCGTACATACAGCCATAATTACCCCCTGTATCCCGTACGACTCTGCAGTGGCGATAACCGCTTCTGGCGACACCATCGTCAACTACAGCAGGAACCCGTCCATCTAGTGCCAGGGCTGTGGCGAATTGAATGTTTCAGAGTCTGGAGCCCCTTTGAGAGGCGCGCAGCCTGGCTGGGCGGAAAATCGGCCATGGGCTTGCTGTCAATAGTTTGGACGGAGACGCCGCCGATGCGATGCGATGCCTTATTAGCCCATTTTGCACAGGCAGCGTTTCAGGATGCTCAGCCAAGCGACGCGCATATTACGAGTATACGTGTATTACAATCCGTACTCGCACAGAGATTCAGAATTGCAAATGCATTGGTGTCTGCACCTTGTCTTGAGACGCAGGAGACGTCACGTGCCGTCGATCCTCGAATGTTTTCTGTGTTCCTTGTTCAACGAAGTGCGGCTGGACACCTGCCTGCCACGTATCAACGGGATCCCTGGCAGTCTAATATCGCGAAAGGCCAGGGGAGGCCGTCATGATCATCGTTGGCTGATGCCATCGGGCTCAGTAGGATGCTCGATCCATGTCGCCAGTGAGTCAACCGATGAACGAATGATTGACACGTTCCCTTGCTTGCGTTTCAGCTGGCAAGGGTGTGAGGGAAGAAGGCCATCGTGATGGGCTCGTACGAGTTACCAGAGCCGTGCTGTGCTTGTACTTGTGCCACATGACCTTGTCAGGATGTATTCGTAGAGTACGGCTGTGTTACTGGTTCCTTGGCGATGGATCGTCCGGCGAAGGCATCATGCAGTGTTACATACATGTACATTAGCCCTGATGCGGACACACAAAACATACGAGTACATACTTGCACAATACTTGTACGAGTACTCCTTGTGTTTTTCGACAACTACCCTAGCTGTGCGAACACAGGCAGCAAGCATGGCACAGACACCGCTTCTATATCAGGAATACTCGTACATACTAGCAGGCCTCTCGTCCAAGGCTTAAAATCTGCCTACAGCCAACATAGTCGTAGTGTCCATCTGCTTCTCTCGCTACTCCGTACTACTAGTAAGATTAAGATGTCTTGGCATCATGTCTTTGTGATAGGTAATATATCTCGACGTGTTTGCGGCCTCCATCTCTGCCAAGGGGTGCCCCGGATTTCCTTTCGCCCTATCAAGCCACTTCACATGCGAAATGAGGACTGCCACGCTTCTAGCTATTCTCGTCTGTCTGTCTTTCCAGCCGCACTTTACCATAGCCGAGGCCAAGCCCTCTAGTACGAGTATGAGTATGATAGACGCAAAGATGGTGCTAATTTGCGACAGCTTGCTGTTTCTGGAGTAGGATACACGTGTAGTCTCTCGGATGGAGTGAGGCGTGACTTTTGACGAGATTGGGTGACCTGCATGTACTCACCTCAGCTGATATGGCCAAGTCGATGACCTCACGAGCAGCGGGGACTGCTACCTTGTTCGACTCTGCCGATGGATAACTTGATGCCCCGCTGAATTGACTCACAGTTGTAAAGCACAGATGTATCTGCCCTGGCAACCACTTGGTAGATAAGAGAAGAAAGGCTTAACCGTTATGTTCTGTAAGAAACGGAGCTTGGATGCTCTACCGTGTAAAACTCGATGATGAGTGCTGCTGTAAACGCAATACTGTTGAATCATTATGGACGTTGAATACCATGATAGCAACAGTTGATAAATAGAATATTTATGCGTAGTAGTTTTAGTAAGCCGCTGGTTTTTCTATTTACACGCGTCAAGAGGAAATGAATGGCCTCCGCTACGACTCTAGTAGAGATTGAGTTTTATAGTGCTATGAGGTTGTACTTTGGCAAGCTCGTAAAGAGAGCCACCTCCGCCAACTCGGCAGTCAATTATTAGAAAACTCTCTTTCCTAGAGAAAAACTTTTAGAGCGAGTGAGATTAGAACGTGTATTGCTTGTTGAATACATGGAAGCTATATACCTGCCAGAGCAATGTCTCTGAGGCTGAAGACAGCATAATTATATGCCATACTCAGGTACTCTAATCCTAACAAAAGATGCTCTTGTAATGAGATCAAATTGGGCTGTGTGAATGCCGTCCTCATTATGCCATATATCGGTAGTTGTTCTTGGTTTGCTACGCTAGATCGTGGATAAATCGATGTATACCGAACGAGCTTTGAATGAGATTGAAGCCTTGTTCCTTTGACGAAATGCGATAATGATAAAACAACTGGAAGCTTTGAATGATGATTTTGCCATAAAAATATTTTTTTTTATTCTTCTCACAGATGTATAACTTCGAGACTACGCTCGTCTACCTCAAGATGTGACTAACCTACGATACTGAGCCTCAGTCTGTAACCACGAGGGATACATGTAAACTTTTTAGTCTACAACTAGATATTACCATTCAAACGTTCAGTATTACTATATTTGACATCGATTTGATTTAATTGTTGGATAACAAGTGCAAAGTGTTCGTGTCAAGCACTCAAGCATTGCCGTGTAGTTCCTGTGGTACATCTCAACATTAGTGGGGCACCTAAAATAGTGGGGTCGGTTGAACCTTTCTTGGGACTTGATACCTCTTCTCTCAGTCTTGGGCAATTTCTCAATCAACGACACTCTCAATCAACTCAGCATAGCAATTGTTTACGCTTCATCCAGTCTCATTTCACAGAGACTTTGACAACAAATCCAGCAAAAGCCTCATAATTCCATAAGCCGAGGTGATATTTTGTTGTCCTGCACCGACGTTGGTGTTGCCACAGAAGCACTTCTGTTGAAGCATTTCATGCCTGATTGAGATGCTGCATCTTCATGTCTGGGGCCCGGCCTTTGGCCTACCGTCCATTGATGCAGAGTGTTTGGCCATCATAACATATTTTCACAACGTACTACCCTCGTCATCATGGCGCCTCATCCCCAGCAACGATCCCGCCGTCAGCCCATCGAGTAAGTTTGTCAACTATGCATCAGGTGGCGAGGTGATATATACGGACCTGACCCTCGATTTCAGATCTTCTACCGGCATTACAGCATGAAGACAAATGGATAAGCGGATTCCAGCCTATTATAGAGTATCTAACCTCCGCAGCCATTTGTGACGGCCTGGACGAGACGCTCAGCCCGATTCAACGGGCAGACAGCGTCGCTTATAGCGCCTATCTGAGAGCTCACGCGGGACCTCTCGTTGATCTATCATTATATGTCTCTGCGGCAAATTGGGCTGCTACCACCAGGCCCGCCTATAGCTTGTTGCTGACTTTTCCCCTGACATGGACCGTTCCGACGTTGATCAGAGCGGAGGCTATCAAGCGCGCAGAGCATCTTGGCCTGGCCGAGCTGGACACCGATTTCGATCCCAATGGCGGCCTTCATCTCTCTGCGGGCAGAGATGCCCTCCCAGAGACCTTCCGGCGGCATATTCCTTTGATGACCAAGAAGACTGTGCACGAAGAGATGACGCCAGAGCAAGCTATAGCAATAAGGCTATTCGGTCTGACTGAAGATTGCCTTACCGTGCTGGATGATTTGATGAAAGGGGGGGATGAAGAGCATCCTCGATTCTTCACAGATGCTGCGGTCTCTTCGCTGGATTGTTTGGCTTTCGGGTACCTGGCTCTTATGCAGAAGCCAGCCGTTCCGCGATCTTTTCTCAAAGACTGGCTAGAGCCGAAAACCCCTAGATTACACAAATTCGTCGACTCCATGCTTGCCGCCATCACCGCACGCGGCGATCTTCCCTGGGCAACCTCCGAACCAACATCCGTCGCTCGCTTTGGCGGCCGCATTCTCGACTCCGTCTTGCGCCATATCCCTAACCTGGGAGAGCAGTATGCAGCTGAAATGCGCCATAGGGCCGAACACCAGAAGACAGGCTTGGACCAGCGAGCTCTCATGCTAATCATGGGCGTAGTCCTTACCGGCTTGGCCACGGGCTATGGATTCCAGGCCTACAGGGCGATGCAGCCGTTTGGAGCATCGACTCAGTCGTGGAAGCCTAGACGGTCGCGGACAAGATTGAGCGAGTTTGGACAGCTTGGGTCAATGTTGAGCAGCGCCATGGGGCCCTTTCAGCCTGTGCCGAGCGGCCTCGATGTGGGAGCTCGAGATCAAGGAGGGCCTAATGGAATGCTAGTAGAAGTCGATTCTGAAGTAGATTGAGAAAAACAAAAAAAGACAAATCAATTTCGGAATACAGAACTTTACGCCGTGGTAAATGCCACCTTTCCTGATAAGCCCGGTCTACCGCCATGGTATTTATACATTTTAATCCACCAAGGATATCATATTCAGTTTACATCTATTATTTAACTCCTGTGAGACAAAGCGCGTCCACTCTATATTTGCCGAATCTCCTTGCCCACCATCTCTGGTCGCTCAACTTCCCACTCATCTCTTAGGACTGCAAATGTCAAATCCGACACAAACAGACTCTGGCCTAAACTCCACACCAGGGTAATGGCATAAAAGAAGTTGGCATTGCCGCTACCGGCGTATATCCACAAATGGTAAAATGCAGGGCCGAGAAAGGTCGCGTAGAGCATGGTGGCAGAGGCGACGTAAGTGTATCGCATAATGGGGTATAAGTGTCGGAACAGTGCTAGCATGGCGAGGAACAAACTTGTGTCCGCGATGGACGGGTAGGGCTTAAAAACAGCAAAGATGCCTAGGAGGATCGTCAAGACGGCCAGAGGCTGAGTGCGCAGTCGGATCGAGAGGCCGCCGACGTATATTACAAGGTGTAGCCAGAAGACGGCAAGGAAAAACGCCCGGAAAGAATCGAATATTTCGATGAAAAAGTACCACCATAATCCGACGGTGGGAGTCAGGTCGGACAAGGTGAGCTGGATACCATATGTTCGAGCTAAAAAGTCCCACGAGTTGCCTGTGAGCGCAAATGACATGGCCAGCAGGAGGGAGATGCAGACAGCGGCAATGAGAATAGCCCTTATGGAGAATTGGATGGCGGAATCAACTCGTCGCTTTTCGGATTGGCGATCGTACGCGAGGAGAACTAGAGGTGGGAGGAGGAGAAGCGGGTACATGGAAAGGTAGGAAGCGAATGAGATGGCGACCATGGCATTGAAAGGAGAACCGGACAGAGCTTTTGCAATGGCGAAGAGAATTGCGCAGTTTGTGAATACGCTGGTCGATCGGCCAATACAAGTGGCTATGGTGTATGGGTTGAATAAGAAGCTATATGGCCTATAAGTTAGCAGCTGATTCCATGCTCTGTCAGCTTTTATAGAAGGGAAGCCTTACGCCGCAGCTACCAGAAGCCCTGATGATCTCTTGGCTCGCCGAGGAGATGCAAAGTGTTTCGACTGGCCGGCCTCTCCTGAATCTGCGATCACGAGGAGCGCATATGCGCTGAGAAGATCGACGAGGATATATAGCAAGGACGTGAAGATGGGCCAAGCCTCGACGTCTGGGAGTAGCGAGAAGAGAGGGAGGAGCAGCGGCGCCTGGTGGAAGACACCGCCGTCGTAGGGCCAGACATTGTGGCTATACAGGAACAATCCCTCCTGCACTAAGGAAACAGTCAGTGCACCGGACTCAATGCCGCCTCTCGGCTGGGGGAGTTGCGATGCGCCTTACATCGTTTGAAGCTCGTCACGGGGGTTGAGATCTCGACGCGGCCCGTCAGCAGATCCGGCAGGCTGGGGAAGGCGGTGGACAGGACGAGTCTCAGCAAGGCGGCGCCAGCGAAGACGCCGACCTTGCTCTGCAAAGTCATGTTGGTCGACATGGCATCTCCTAGGCCATATTGGAGGAGGATCTTTGGGATGGGCTCTGCTGAAGCTCGGCGGATTGGAGGGACCAGGATCGAGGCCACTTGGCCGCAGTTGAGCCTTGCTGGCCAATCACAGCAGTCGCCTGGCCAGAGCTGTGCCTGTTCTAATTGCAAGGTACAGGCAGTCTCGACAGTGGCTGGTGGGTGGCTCGTGAGTGGCTGAAAGTGGGCTGGGCGGTGAAGCACCACTGGGGCCGCTAGTCTCGTTATAGATAACGGCCTAGGCGGTGGCGCAGGGCATTAAAATTTCCGGCCTGGTAGCAAGAAAAAAAGTTCAAACAATTGGCGATTGATTTACTGCCCCGCGGATTTTTTCCACAGAGCATCAAAACCTTGCCATATAAATCGCCAACAGTCGACACAATGGCACGGATAAAGAAGAAGGGACAGGCCGGTGCGGCCAAGAACTTCGTGACGCGAAACCAGGCGATCCGAAAATTGCAGCTCAGTCTCCCCGATTTCCGAAAGCTTTGCATTTGGAAGGGCATCTATCCCCGAGAGCCTCGCAGCAAGAAGAAGGTTTCCAAGTCGTCCACTGCCTCGACCACCTTTTACTACACCAAGGACATTCAGTATCTTCTTCACGAGCCGCTGGTGCAAAAATTCCGCGACCACAAGGTTCTCGAGAAGAAGATTTCAAGAGCATTGGGCCGAGGAGATGTCAGCGATGCCGCTCGACTGGAGGGCAATGCCAGCCGACCAGACAAGACCGGAAAGCCGACCTACACTCTGGATCATGTTGTCCGCGAGCGCTACCCGACGTTTGTCGACGCATTGAGGGATCTGGATGACTGTCTCTCTATGCTCTTCCTCTTTGCCAACCTGCCCTCGACCTCCATGGTGCCCGCCAAGATGATTGCCCGCTGCGAGCGATTGTGCCTCGAGTTCCAGCACTATCTCATTGTTTCCAAGAGCCTCACAAAGTCCTTCTTGTCTATCAAGGGTATCTACTACCAGGCAAACATCCAGGGCGAGGAGGTTCTGTGGCTGGTTCCGTACAAGTTCAACCAGAGAATCGTCGGCGATGTCGACTTCCGCATCATGGGAACCTTTGTCGAGTTCTACATGACACTTCTCGGCTTTGTCAACTTCAGGCTTTATACCTCAATTGGCCTCAAGTACCCGCCCAAGTTCGATGCTGTCAAGGATGAGGATGCTGCCGAGCTTGGTGCCTTTACCCTGGAAGGCAAGACTCTGGTTGGCAGCGAAGAGCAGAGCAAGTTGGAGGACGTCGCCCACAAGCCAGACCCCAAGGTCCAGGCTGCTGTCAACAAGGTTCTTAAGAACATGACAAATGGTGCTGCTAATGACGACGCCTCAATGGCAGACACTCAGGAGGCAGATGAAGACGCCGCTGGTGCCATTGACAAGTTCGAGCCCGCTGCTCCTGGAGGCGATATCCTCCCCCAGCCATCATACACTGGCACTACCCCCAACAACCTCTTTTCAAACTTCACAATTTACCTGTCCCGTGAGACTCCCCGCCAGCCCCTAGAGTTCATCCTCAAGTCCTTCGGCTGCAAGCGTGTCGGCTGGGATGCCGTGCTCGGAGGTGGCGCTTTCACAACTGATGAGCTTGACCCATCAATCACTCACCAGATCGTCGACCGACCCCCGATACAAGCTTCAATGAATGAGGAGGGTGATGGCGAGGATAACCAGACGGCGCAAAAGCTGGCAGCCAACAGACGTGTGCCGGGCCGGATATACATCCAGCCTCAGTGGGTCTGGGACTCTGTCAACGATGGTGAGCTGAAAGAGCCTCATGTGTATGCGCCAGGTGCATCACTGCCCCCGCATCTGAGTCCCTTTGTCAGAAAGGTGCAGGGAGCCTACGATCCCACAATGTCTCTTGAGGAGCAGGAGACTGAGCGCGAAGCTCTCGAGGCTGGTGACGATGATGAAGAGGTTGATGCCGATGAGACTGTAGAGGGCATGGATGTTGCAGAGGATGATGAGGATGAAGATGAGGAAGAGGCCGAGGCCGACGAAGATGAAGCCGAGGAGGAAGAGGATGAAGATGAAGATGAGGACGCAGATGAGGCCCTACAGCGACAGATTGAGCTTGAAGCTGAGATGTCTGGCAAGACAGTCAATTCAAAGGCTGCTAACCCGAAGACCAAGGCCAAGGAGGATGCAAAGAAGGCCCTTGCCAAGAAGGCCCGTGAAGAGGCCGAAGACTTGGATCGAGCCAAGGGAATGCTGAGCAAGAAGAAGAGAAAGCTCTTTGAGCAGATGCAGTACACAAACAACAAGAAGAGCGCAGAGGATGCCAAGCTGCGGTCCAAGAGGAGAAAGCTGGAAAAGGAAAAGGCCAACGGCAAGGCGTAATTTTCGGGATGTACTGTTTAATACACTAGTAAATAGGATTCAACGGCGTATATGCGATGAAAATAAAATGGATTTCTCTTTAATACGAACATGTTTTGAGATTTAGAAACGGCGTAGTGATGCTTACGGGATTGATGTGACATGTGTGAGGGCGCTGTGTTAATGAGGACTACGGACTCGAAATTTTCCTAGCACGTGAACTTATACTTTTCACCACGGTCTTCAACCTCAACTTTTCATCAACATTGTCATTAAGCATTCATTTCATTTGCACGAAACCGATTAAAAACTTGTTCTATGATATTATTTAGGATTTAATTGTTCATACGCCTTACTTAACTCATTGATGCTACGAAGCAGCCGTCTGTCGATGGTGAGGTGATTGCCGGCCAAGGCATGGATCGAAGCTCTCCCGAATGGGATCTCGACAGCGACGAGATCGCATCCGTTACATCCCAAGATCTACACGATAACCGACCAAACCGATGGTCAGGAACCCAGAGAACATGGCAGCGCTTGACGGCGGAGGAGCGGCGGCTCTGGCAATCGATGGAGGCTGTCGAAGGTCAAGATTTGGCGATTCACTTGTATAACGCATATGCGTTGAAGAGGCGCGGAAGAGATTCTCAAACTGCGCAGGATGTTACGGTTACCTTGGTACGTTTCTCTTGCATCAATCTCATTGACTGACGCATCACCTGTCTCTTGACTCATGAGTGATGGCTAGAGCGCTGGACTGACATTGGGCGACAGGAAAACGGAGAGCAGGGCATATGGGCACCTCCTCGAGTTTGGACAGCGTGGCCGTTGAACGAAAGTCGTGTCCCGCAGCAGAAGCACATTCGGAGAGAAGATGAAGATGGGTATGGAAGATTTACATTTCGCAAGGCGGAGCGACGGATGCCTAGCTCTGAGCTGCATGAGGAGCTGGGAGCGACGATATTGAGGCTGGCTGGGGAGCGTTTTCACAAAAGCAAGGCGAGAGAGCAGAGAAAAACCGTGCTTGCTTCTATCGAAGCAGATGTGACGCCTTTGAATCAAGGCGAATCTCAGAGAGAAGGCCAAGACACATCCGGTGTATTAGGTCCATCTTCTGAGGATGAGAAAATGATGCTTGATGATGAGGGGGGCGAAGATGAGGCAGCACTACCAAAAAGAAAGAAGGAAGAGATACCAGGGACAAAGGAACCTGTTATGTCTTCCAACGACGATTTATCTTACGAAATCATTCGACCATCTGTTCGACACATACTTTCACAGCTAGACTCGACCTTACAGATCCTCCACAACGCCCGCATCGCCACCACAAACTATGCATCCGATTCTTCAGCAACCTCCGACTCGGAATCTGATGCCCTTTCCGGCCCCAAGCGTGGCCGTGGCCGCCCTCGCAGCACTCACCTCACAGGGACAGAAACCTCGCCTCATCCAGACGGCGCCATCACACCGAAAGCTAGCAAAAGAGGCCGTCCACGAAAAGTCCACATCCCTCACGAAGGCGAGACGCACGAAGAGATGCTTATTCGCATCGCACGCCAATCCCACAGAAGACTCCCGACAGTAGCACAAGACAGAGACGCAGCATTTGAGGAATGGCTTCGTCAGGGCGATGAGAGGCTGGCGCGCGAAGAGGCCCTCCTTAGAGAGGAGGAAGAGCTGGGCATCGAGCCGCAGGACAGCGCCCAAGAGAGGCGGCTTCGCAGGCTCGGTCTCCGCGACTGGAGCGACGTTGTTGGCGCCGCTGCCCTGGCAGGCTTCTCGCCTCAGGTCATTGCCCGGACGGCAAAGCGATGCGCTAATCTATTTGGCCAAGGCATGGTGATGAGGCGTCTGGACGAGGCGCCTGCCTCTAGAGCACCGGCCTTTCACACGATGGAGTACCGGCCGGAGAAGATCAAGCTCGGCTCGGACGAAGATTCAGATTCAGATAGCCAAGCGGGTGCCGCCACTGCTGCTTCATCTCGCAACACGCTCTCTCGCCAGGCGTCGCTGGCCCGCCTCTCAAGCCGCGGCCGTAGTTCGTCCCCTTTCCGCGGCTGCTCCTCGCCTCACTCAGCGTCCTCCGCCTTCGGTACACCTAGGAACGGAACGCCTAGGAATCGCTCGCAGTCAAAATCCCGATCGAGGTCCCGCTCCTCGGCAGGCTTCCACCTTTGCCCGGTCCCTACGTGCGAGCGCTCGGCTACGGGCTTCACGAGGAGACAGAATCTGCGGCGGCATATGCAGCTTGTGCATCCTGGGCGGGGAGACGAGGATGAGGAGTGGGATAGTGAGGACGAGATGCTCGGAGCGGTGCATGTGGATGGATTCTTGAAGCCGATTAATCCTGCTAGGGGGTGGAGGGAGAGCGTGGCAGCGAGTTCATTGGTAATTAGGAAAAGAGGGCGAGAGAGGCGGACGGGAGAAGATGACGATGACGACGACGATTATAATAGGGGATCTTGACCATGATGGTCGATTTGGAACATGATAGCTTGTAATAGCAAACTTCAAAGTCACAAGAATTCACACGAATGCACCAAGAAGACTACCTAGTAACCATTGGTTTTTGGCTAATTCTTAAAATTCGCTATTTGATTTGAATGCAATCCGTTCCATGACTTATGTCTATACCCAATGACGCCCTTGTAGTGTACAAAAGATCCCGACATCTCGCAGCCTTGAGGCGCTCAAACAGCCATGCTTACAGAATTGCGAGATGAATAAATAGCCCTAAACAAAAGAAAAAAAGAAAATAGAAAGGAGATAGAAGATAGGGAATATAGAGATAGGGATAGGGAATATAGATAGTCTCCTTATGTTCTCGTTATGTTATAAACCAGTAAAAGAAAAACCTGCTACCGCTTCGCTTCGCTCTTGTTTCTGGCATCAAATATGATCATCGCTTGTTTCGGCGTCTGTTTCGCCGGGCATTTCGTGCGCTACCTCAGTCTGTGTTTCGTACTCTGCTTCACTCTGTGATTTATGCTCTGCTTCACTTGGCGCCTCGCTTTCCGTCTCGCCCTCGGCAGTCCTCTTTCTCGCTTGCTCAAGCCTTTCTACCGCATTCCTGATGATTTCATACTGCTCACTCAACGTCGTCTGAACTGGTTCTCCGGACCCTTCTCTCCAAACATCAGAAGAATCTTCATTGCGGTTGAGCAAGTCACCCAGATATAGCTGAATATCCTTAAGCTCCTCAATCAGGGAGAGGAGATGAGAGATGGTGTTGGAGTACTGCGCATCCACCTTCTTCAGCAACACAATTTGCTCATCGAAATTGCGCGGCTCTTCCATGAAGCTTCCAATATAGGCCCAGATGGATGAGAGCAGCGAGTCGGGCTTGGCGGTTCTTGCTCCAGGGAGTTGTTCGGCTTGTTCGTTGATGACGCCCAGCTGTGTCTGGCTCTGGTGGAGGAGCAACAAGAGGGCTTTGCCTTCATCGAGGAGTTTTCCCAACCGTTCTTGAACGAGAGAGACATGTTCAGAGTATTTATCCAACAGAGCCCGATCATTTCCGGCTTGTTCTGATGTTCTGAATAGGCTCAGCGGCCGGATGGCCCAAGCTATGGCTGGAGGCAATGAGGGTGCCTCGGGTTCCATAGATAGGGAATTGATGTGGCGTAGGGTCCAACGGTTAATATTGATGATGGAATCAACGGTTGACCCAATGTGGATATAAAATGTCTGCAAATCCGAGCCTGCTCTGCCAACCTTTTCAATATAGCCGTTGAGCTCCAAAATGAAATCTTCTCTAGCGGCGATTTCGGTCTCTTTAAGGAGAGCTCTTAGGTTTCGGGTAGCCATCTCTGAACTCTTGAGCTCGAGGGGCATGGAGAGACCATATGCGCTCTTATCCAGCACACTCTCAAATCCAGATTGAACCTCCATAAGACTTGTAAAGTCGATAGAAGAAGCAGCAGCACGTTGAGATGTCTCGGCCTCGAAGAACGGAATTTGAAAGTTGGAAACACCCGGGATATCTTGTAGAGATGTAAATGAGAATGATTGGACCTTGTCGCGGGCGTCCTGGACAGATACGCCATTGATATGAAAGAGGTATGCAACCAGGACGATTGCGACGGGTATTATGGTGTAGCGGAAGACTTGAAGCAGTCTCTCGGAGGAACTGGATGCTGATGAGCCTGGTTTGGCGTGGCCCCAATTCAGCGAAGCCTCGTTTTGCTCCTTCAAAAGTCTGGCATATTCTCTTTCCTGGTCTTCGTGCCAATTGGCAGGGGCCTGCTCTCGCTCGGAATCCCACACGCTACCCTCTTCGCTATCATCATCGGTAGTTCTGGCAGTCCGTGAGGCTTCGCTCGCAACTAGATTATTGGCTTTAACGAGAGGCATTCGGAGTGGCATTTCGGGTTGCGGATAAGAAGCACGCTGCATCGATGTAGCAGCGCTTGAGGGAAGCGTAGGGCGGAACGGTTGTCGCAAGATGACGTCCTCGTCATTTTGGTAATTGGCAAAGTCACGAATGCTGTCCTGAGAGGCGAAGCTCATGTTGTTTTGACTCTGGGAGAAAGATTCCTGGGTGGGATACCCAGAAGAGGGCATGGCGCTTGACGGAGGGCTGAAGTCTTCACCGGGCAGAGGTTCAAGGATGCTTGTGTCGAAGCTGTCGTTTTCACCGTCGACGAGGCGCCATGATCCCTCGGCGGGGATTTCTCGTCGGCGCGGTGCCATATTGTGTCGGAAGTCGGGCGTGAGAAAAGAGGGAGAGGTCCAGTGGCGTGATCGTTGGGCGATAAGGAACGGTTATGTACTGTAGCTGCTTGTTGTGTTGATGGATCGAGGTGGCGGTGTTGGAGTTTGTTGATGGATACAATCAATCTCTCATCTCCGACCCAATCCTTCGAGATGTCGTGAATTATGTCGGAGGCTAGACGCCGCAATCCAATGCCGGCCGCGGGGCTTCCAGACAAAGCCCGAAGCGTGAATCGCGAGGCCGGGGTCGCAATCGCGCACGAGGCAGCAGCTGTTGATATAAAGTGCTTTTCGATGGACGTGACTTGGCGGGATCGCGTCGCGACGGGCAATGAGTCACACAGATGACGGCGAATTAGAAGAGCAGCGGCTCCAGGAAGAAGCGCAAGCGCAAGCACGAGCTCGAGCAGCGACTAGGCAGATGCGGCCGTTTGATGAATCAAGGAGATGGAGATGGTGGATTTGCAGTGATGAAGCTCCCGGTCCAGCTAGGCTGCATCGAAGGCGGGTCTGGCTGCTTTAGTGCGGTATGGAGAGCTGGAGAGTGTGGAGGGGCGGCACTTAGAAGATTAATGCCTGCACTGTTATTATTCTGCGACGTCGACCAATCCGATTCGTTGCTCGAGGGGTTCCAGAGTCTTCATGTCGCTTTTTGGATAGTACTTTGTCTGCATGGAAATATATATAGAAAGAGGGATCAAGGTTGTCAAGTGTCGAGCACCAGGCAAATCGAGATTTCGTATTGTTCCCAGTAGTATGTGAGACGGCTGTTGCTCACTGTGGACTTCATGCTTAACCTGGCGCGTAAATTATAGGTAGATCGAGGCACAACTTTGTCTCTCTCCTTGGACCGATGCAATGTTTCTTTGGTTTAACGCGGTAATCCTCTTGGCGGTCGCATCCAGTGAATTCCTAGGTTCAAAGATGACCACTCGTGGCAGAATGTATAGACGGTGATCCTTGTACAAGTTATTGTTCTTTGCAAGATGTAGGCTTCACTCGGATCCGAGGCGACTAGATATGATGGATTCTTGCTGCATTTTGTTGAATCTGGCCGTTTGTAAGCACTTATAGCCATGTGTCTGACTGGCACATGAAAAAGTCTTACCGGCCATGTGGTAATGCACCCGATCTCGTGCATCCTTGTGGCTGACTACTAAGGTGAGATGGTTGATTCAAGATGTTTTGTTTGTGTGCTTGGTCAGCACCATAAATAACCATGAGATGGCCTTTTTTTCAAGCGACAGATGAACCAGCATAAAAGAACATGAAACAGCAAACATGCATAAAAAGTTACGATATCATTTCCAAAGGATTTCCTCTCTAAAAACCCCGCGAGGAGGGGCCTTCATCTGCAAAAGCGTGTGGGTGGGATCTGCTGTCCACACCAATTCTCATATCGACACCATCCTACCCAAGAAGGCACCGCATCACATGACGAGCATTTGAGCGTTCGATTGCTTAGCTCGTGACCCTCTGGTACATCGTATATCATCAAACAGCAAAAACAGTAACTCGGAATACTACACAGTTCCAATCCATGTGCTTGCCCCGATGCCGGTTTAACTTCTAACCTAGGCATTGCCTTCAGTGCTAAATCACGGCTGGTGGGCCCGGCCTATCACCGAGATCCACGAGCCGAAGCCACCCCAGCTAGACCTCGGCTCGTCCGTCAGTCAGCTTTCATAATCGCATCTCGACATCTCTCAGCTGCATCGCGCTCAGCATGCAGTCTTGACACACGACCGATTCCACATCCACAGATTCAACACTCAATGCCGCCTCCATGAACGACTCGAGCTTCGTCCAAGCCCAACAGCGCGTCGCTGAGCGACGAGCGGCCCGCGAAGCCGAACAACGAGCCCGAATCGCGGCTCAGCGCGAATCGTCTCGCGTGAACAACCAGCTGCAGCGTCTACCATACCCCCTCAATCGCCTCGCCGGTGTCTGGGATGCAGCCGCGTCTATAGAGAGCACCCGGCCTGCGTTCCGCGTTGCGCAGGTTGATGCCGAGCTCCTGGATGAAGAGCTGCTGGAGCTCCTCAAGGGGCAGGTTGGCGACGCCCTCAGATACTATGCCGGCGGCCATCTCAAAGACGACTGGTCTTCCGAGATTCAGCTGGCGCTGAGGGCCATCCTGTTCAAACTGACAGTCTGGGATAACGATGCAACGTACGGAGCGGCTTTACAAAACCTCAAATACACCGACGCCAGAAAAGGGGGCCCCGTGCTGTCACCCCCGACGAGGCTACAAAAGTCACTATACGGCCTGGTAACGGTCTTTGGAAAATATGCCTGGACCAGGTGGGAGGACTGGCTCGTGGACCAGGACGATGGATACAGCGACCCTAGCCCTCGAGTCCAGAGGCTATCTCGATTAACAACCGCACTGACAACGGCGCACTCGGCTGCGGCATGCGTCTCCTTCCTGGTGTTCCTATTCCGCGGACAGTATCGCACACTTCTCGACCGTGTTCTACGCATGCGGCTGGCACCTCCTACAAGCCATGTCAGCCGCGAGGTTTCCTTTGAATACCTCAACCGACAGCTGGTGTGGCATGCTTTTACCGAATTCCTTCTATTCGTACTGCCCCTGATTGGGGTCAACCGCTGGCGACGATGGTTGAGCCGCACCTGGCGAAAAACAAAAGACATCATGAACACATCTCAAAAGGGTGATTCTTCAAACGGCGAGCTCGGCTTCTTGCCCGAGAGAACCTGTGCCATCTGCTATCAGGATCAGAACGCCGCCGCATCATCCGAGTCGGAAATCATGGCAGCGGCAGCATCTAGCGGCGTCATTGGGTCAGCGCAAACGGACGTTACCAATCCCTACGAGGCCATTCCATGCGGGTGCATCTACTGTTTTGTGTGTATCGCAACACGCTTAGACCGTGAAGAAGGTGAGGGCTGGACTTGTCTAAGGTGTGGAGAGCACGTCAAAGAATGCAAGCCGTGGAATGGAGATGTGCTCGAGCCGTCCCGCAAGTCAACATCGACAAAGACAGTGGCATTTTCAGACGATGTGATTGGAGGTTCTGACGACGGATCTGTCATTTCTATGGAATAAGCCCGTCGGGGCTGAGGTGCTGAGGTGAGACGCTGAGAGTCATGAAGGCATAGAGCTTCTATATCATGCCACGTCTTTATTGGATAGAGGAAAGACTTGGTCTGCGACTATTTATCTAAAAGGGTGTGCATCTGTTTTTGGGATTATTTTGTATTGTATAACATGATGTGTTGGGTTGATGGGACATACATTTTTTAGTTGGAAAGTTTGGTAACTGGGCGTGGCGCCTTAGAGAATTTGGACATATTTACAGCGTTATTACTGCTTGCTTCGCTATGTTCATGAACCAACTGCCTTGGGCAATAGGATTAATACCTTCATTCATAATAGACAAGGTGGGAAAACATAGAATGTTAATTAATTAACGAGAGAGTAGCGTGATGCACGGCAATTTATTTCTACATGAATCCTACATGCATACATGAACAACAGCTGCATATGGCATCCAATAGATAGCGTGGTGCCATCCATGGTACGGCAGCACGGACAGCTAATAGCAGATGGATGCCGTTTGTGCCACCAAAGATGGAGGTCATACAGTAGCGACATAGCTGCAAAGCTCCCGCTGCCAGTGATGTCATTGGCCGACACACCGCCTTTGTTTTTGTCTCTCAGTAGCTCTCGGTAGCTCCCAGTGGTTCCCAGTGGCTGCCCAGTGGCTTCAGGGGTCCTGGCGGCAACCGCGTCATTCTGCCGCAGCTGCGCAACAGCAGCACAGCACTGGGCTGGATCTGCTGGAATCTCAAGCTGCTGTAGTGCCGATTCTCCAGCATCTCAGGGACCCTCGCAATCCAACCAAAAGCGCCCGACGAGACCCGCGGCATCATGCAGATGCAGGGATGCCCCTCTGCGCACGAGACCCTGCTGTAGGTCATTTACGCTTCCACATGCCGGCTGGCCCTTTGTTCTCGTGCGAGCGAGTCGCATTCCATCTCTCCGGGGAGAGAAGAAAAACCTCAGCAGAGCAACACCTGAGCTGAGCTTGAGCTGGACTGGGCTGATCTGGGCTGTGGTTACAAACCAAAAAAGGACGGGACGAGCAGCAGGGACGAGCAGCGCTGCAGCTGTCGTCGCCTTGCATCTCTTGTCTTTGTCTTTGTCTTGTCTTGTCTTGTCTCGCTTCATCCTGCCTGCACTCAGCCGGAGGCAGCCATGCCCGCCTTCTTCCAGTTCACACAAGGCTCTGAATCGCGCGTCCGGCCTACAGATTCGTCGCCTTTGCTCGGTCGCTATCGAGCCGTGCCTCCTCGTCCTGGCATCGGACCACGTCGACCAAGCAGCCCTCTGGGACTGTTGTCTAACGGGCGCGACAGCATACACGTTGGCTATGGAGCGCTGATTGTGGCCGAGATCGAGGCGGGGCTTTTGAGCGACGGCTCTGGCGAGGATGACCGAGCTGTTGGCGACTCGAAGTGGGAGAGGCTGTGGCAGAGCTATTTCATCGACCTCTTTGTTGATCCAAGACCCTCGGCGGTGAAGCGCGTGGTGGACAGGTGGTGGAGTCGATATGGACTGCTCGTCTTCCTCCCCGCGGCGCTGGTACGTTTACTTTACGTTGTTATTCTTGGATGGTCATCAACATCTACGGGTGAGCGCTTTTGCACTAAGACGGAGGCTGACACATGTGCTCATTCAGGCCGTTGCGTGGTGTGCCGTGCCTTTCCCGCAGTACTCGTTCCCAGACGAAGGCGACGGCGGCGACAAAACGAATGACATCTGGCGGCGACTTATACGAACAACGGCGACATTCGATAGCAAGGTCCCCGGTCACGGAGCGGCCCGTGTGCAAGTCAACTTTTGGTTCTTCCTCTTCGTCTACTACGGCTTCTATAATCTCAGTGCTCTGATTTGGATCACCAAAGTATTCAATCTTTACAGGTTGAACTGGTATGCACATCTACCCCCTGTGTCATGTTTTATGTTGGCTTGACTGATTTTTTTTCCCTCACCAGGTGGCCGCAGTCTTTTGGATTCCCAATAACAATCTCTCTTCTGGCCATCCTATCTCTTGCTGTGCCCATTCCCGTATACTTCATACCTTCTACTCGCTTCCTCACCGCTCACAACACTGCATGGGTATCATGGACATTCATCGTCATGGCCATGCCAGTCGCCATCGCCTTTCTCATCCTAATGACAAACGAGCGTCATATTGGGTTACGGCACTCTCTCTCTGAGACGCAGCGCATCTTCACCACCTCGTGGTGGACAGGAGAGCCCGACTCGTTTCCTAACCGACACCGCCGGCGTCGCGATCTCCCCGAAGACCTCTGGGAGCAAGATGTTCTGAGAGTACTGCCTCCTTCTGGTGCATCTAGAGTATCACTGAGGCGACGGTGGCTGCCAGCAAGCTTTGTGAGGTTTCTGTGGTTCTGTGTCGCCCTGTTCATCGGGCTGATGGCGTATGTTTTGGGAGAAGCGTATGCTGAAATCTACCTCCGCACACTGCCTCACAACAACTTTGAAACTGTTGTATATGTGTACGGCTGGGTAGTGACTGTGCATTTACTGGATGCTTTGACCGGGTGGGTGCTGGGCATCAGGGAAGGCGAGCGCGTAGGAAGCTATCCTTTGAGCTGGGTCTTTAAGCTGTTTGTCTTTCCCCTTTATCTTTTCCAATTCAAACGAATCGCTGACTGTATAATCGCAGCTATTTTATGCTCACCTACCAGACCTACGTCCGAGCTCTATACGCCCGCCTTCGCTCACCATCCCAATTCGTTATTCTTCAAGTTCTCTCTTCCACAGGGCTGGTCATCATTTCACCCATCATGATGACTCGTTTATTCCACAAAATTCTCACCATCCTAGGCCTTAGTGGGCTAACATATGGCACATATCAAAAACTGCAAACTCGAAATCTCTTCATCCGCTTTCTGGCTGAAAACACATCCATGGCCACCTTTTTAGGAAGCATCCTGGTGCTTCACTTTGGCGCAAACAAGGAGGTGTACCCATACTTTGCCTTTGACAAGGCCGAGGACGAGACGCTGCAGTACGACTTTAACCTGACGTTTTACGCCTCCATGGTGACGTGGGGGTGCGAGCTGGTCGCGAGTCTCGTCGTGAGAGGGCTGATTGCCCTGTTTTTCAAAATCGACGTTGGGCTGGAGGGGAAATTGGATTTGGCCGTCTGGCCGGAGCTTTTGCCCACCAGCGTTGCTGTCATTCTCCACGTTTTGCAGAATATGCTCTTCTCTATTATACGTTTGCAGTTTCGTACATGAAACGAAAGAAAGGAGGCTGAGCCGACAAGGGGAACATGTCAACGAAACAGTTAGTTGACTTGTTGATGGAGAGACGCAACAAGACAAAGACAGTCTTGTTTCATACTTGCGTTCTCCTTGGTGACCCTTTTGAAAGATTTGTTTTGGTTTTGTCTATGCGCGTGATTTGATTTACAGTGGGATAGATCTTTTGCTGCGACCGCTTGAACTTTTCCCGTTGGCCTGTTCATACACCCATTTTCTCTCCTTTTTGATACGGCACTTTGAAGCAGTCTGATACCCCCCTACCGCCCACCATATCCATCATTGTTTTTCATGTCATTTATAGAGCTTTTGAGGCTTAGCATTAGATATCTAGATCCAATTGCAAGTGCTAGCGATTTTTTCTCCCGAGCAGCCAATGAATGGTACCGAACATCACGATATGGCTTTTGCAAATGCCATAACACAAACAAAGTCAACGGCATGTTACAGGCGGTCAAATCTGGCATAAATCATGCAGCAGATTTGGCCAATTGCCAATTGCCGGTCAGTTTGTCATGCATGTTTACTTTTACCCCGCAAGGCTTTCTCTCGAATGTTCCTCATCACACTCAGCGACTTGTTTCTATTCTCCTCAAGTTAGGCATCAATCACCCTTTCATACGTATCAACCAAACCAGGAAACCCAGCTTCACAATGGACGCAAGTTGTAACACCTGTAAGAAAGGACCACCCGAGGTCTCCCTAAAGCGATGCGCCAAATGCCATACAACACCATATTGCTCCCGAGACTGCCAAAAAGCCGACTGGAAAGCCCACAAGAAGATTTGCGCCAAGAATCAATCCACAAACTCTTCATCTGGGGCGTCAAATCCCACGAACACCCGTTTATCTCCCCCCAAGGGACTAGACAAACCCATTTCCAAGCCCTTCACCCGCCTCGACAAAGGCACATGGCTTCACGACCGCCCCGAGAAAGACGTATACAGGCTTCTCGTCGACGCCTACCGCCTCCGTGTGGAAGACACGTACACCATGGAAGGAGAAGTAATGGCGGGCAGTCTTTACGACGGGAGCACTGACGGGCTATATGGCTTCCAGGAGTTCTTGGAGATGGCGGCTGCTGTGCCTGGGTTGCTGCCTCCTTGGTGGAACGACGAGAAGCAGGAGGCGTGCGAGACGCTGTGTATGGATGACGAGTTTTCGAATCTGCGGTATCCTGTTGAGAAGAGCGATATTATCGAGCATTATGGGGACCGTGAGTTCCCGATGCAGTTGAGGATGTTTGCGGAGGCTGTTTATGGGTCGGTTGGTGGGAGTGATGGGACGGCGATGCGGAGGATGATGGTGGCGATGGAGGGGGGTGAACTGGGAGGCGATATATTTGGCTCTATGTCTTGACACTACGGCCTTGGGATTATCTGATATTTATGACATGACCTATGATTAGTTCGGTAATAATAGAAGCTTTTAAAATTAGCATCGTGATCTAATGGTAGCTATTTGTTCAAGATAGACACGTTTCTGGGACAAGTTTGAGTGGAAAGTATTGAATTCATCCAAGCCACAGCTACAGCTACAACTTAAAAGTACAGAAAGGTATCCGTCTATGAAAATTACATCTCGCTCCTCTTGACAGTATTAGTTCTTGAAAGTAACAGTCTTTGTTCTCACCCACTCGTCCAACCCGACGGATGAATTGAAGCGCCCAAATCCACTCGACTTGGTACCTCCATGCGGCAGAGCTGGTTCATCGTGAACTGTCATGTTGTTGATGTGAACGGCACCGCAATCAATCTCCCTCGCGAAACGGAGACCCCTCCTGAGATCTTCAGTGAAGACGGCCGATGTCAGGCCATAATCGGCGTCGTTTGCAAGCTCAATGGCCTCCTCCTCCGTCTCAACCTCGTAGAGAGACACTGTTGGGCCAAACGACTCCGTCTTGTATATATCCATATCAGGCGTAACCTTGTCGACAACAATGGGCCGCAACTCGGCGCTCCGGGATTCAAGAGCTTTGACATCCCCAATAATCACCGTTGCACCCTTAGAGGTCGCATTTTCGATGAGCGCCTTGTTACGCTTGACGGCCATTTCGTTGATGAGTATAGGAGCGGGCCCATCAGACGGGAACATGCCGTTGACGACCGCTTTCAGCTTCTCCTGGAACTGGCTCTTTACTTTCTTGTGGACAATGATCCTCTCCGTAGACATGCAGATCTGGCCACCATGAAGGAATGCGCCCAGCGCGCATTGCTGGGCTGCGGTATCTAGATCCGCATCCTCCCACACAATGGCCGGCGCTTTGCCGCCAAGCTCGAGGATGACTGGCTTCAGGTGCTCACCAGCGAGTCTTCCAATGACTCGTCCAACGTTGGTGCTGCCCGTGAAGTTGATCTTCCTGATGTGGGGATTGGCAATCAAAGACGATGTGATCTCAGCCGCAGTGTCCCGGTCGTGGGCAATCATGTTCAGGACACCTTTGGGCAGACCAGCCTCGTGAAAGGCGGATACAAGAGCCCTCATGCATTGTGGCGCAAACTCAGAGGCTTTGAGAATGACTGTGTTTCCTGCAGCAACAGGACCAACAATAGAACGAGTGGGTAGAATGTAGGGGGCGTTCCTAGTTGAAGTTGTGAGATGGAGTGGTTGAGAATGCAGAGTTACATGTGTAGTAGCTTACCAAGGAGCCACGGACAGAACAACCCCATAGGGCTCTCGCATAACGATGCCGCTAGTATTGGGATCCATCAAAGTAGGAAACGAACCTTCGATGGCAGAGGTTCGGCTGGCAGCGTCTCTGATGAGGTCTGCCGCCGTGTTGATGTTGAAGAGAGCCCAGGGAGTCGCAGCCCCTGTCTCATTTGACATGATCTCAGCCAACTCATCGGTCTTCTGCTGAATGATATGGGAGGCCTTGAGTAAAATATCTCGACGATAAGCAGGTGTTGACTTTCTCCATGTCTTGAAGGCCGCTGCAGCTGCATCGACAGCCGCGGTAGCATCTGCTACAGTTGCAGCACCGCAACGGTGTGATACTTTGCCCGTTACTGGAGATATGACATCAAATGATCTCTCTGGATGGTAGTCTTGGCCATTGATAATGAAAGGCACGACGTGCGCGTCCTTGGTCTCTCCTAGGAACATTTTATATGCGTTGGCCTGGTATTGTTGAAGCGAGGAAGAAAAACAAGAAAAGATGGCAAAGGAAAACCTGTAAGGCTTCCAAATGCTATCGAGGCCAAGAGGTTCTGCAACGAGTATCGCCAACGCTCTTTTGCCTTGATTGCAGCTATTTATCTTTCCCGGTGGGCTTGAGCAAGGAGTCTGTTCAACCCACTTTGTAGCCGAGCCGATGATAGAATTTGAGATGGCGATCTACCTTGGTCTGTGCGGGGTCGGAGCCAGATCCAATCCAGCACTACCTTAGTATGGAATTATTGATATAGCGTCGGCTCTGAGAAACGGCACTGTAGCATCAAGCACGGCAAAGAAGCTGTGGTGACCCCCCAAGCCTCGTGAGTAAGTTCTTTGTGAGCATTGAATCCCTTCATACCCCGGAAAGTCTCGCGTATCACGGCCAGTGATTACGAACCGGAGCCGAATTAGTCAGGTGGCTTCGGAGCTCAGACGCCAAGTGGTTGTAATTCCGGCCGAAAGCTCGTGAGTAAAGTCAATAAACCCGAGAGTCGTAATACTAATCAGATATCCTTTGTGTTTCATTTCCACTGCTCCAGCTTGTCCGGCTCCAGAAACGGTTGTGGCACTGAAGTGGTGTTGATTTGTATGGTTTCTGACAAGTCATGTAAGTGCTACTGTACGCTTTGGGATGGCGAGTCAGCGCAGCACCCACCTGGCTCCGGCAAAGAACCGGGAAGAGCAAATTGATGACTGGATTTTGTTTTGGAAGATTGCACCCGAATCCCACGATCGGGGACTGGTTTCAACACCCTTTTGAGGGGTGGTTGCGTTGGCGTGGCGTCCGTCATGATGACACTGCGTGTCACACAAATGCGCCGGATGGCAACAACCCACACAGAGAAAGGGACCAATAACAACGGAGAGAGTATGAACGGTTGACGCTGGATTCAATGCTCAAACAAGGATTGCTGATTCAGGAATCACTTGTAGATGAATGAAAACAGTTAAGGAAGACTGTAAGTTGGACCTTACCCCACGCTTCCAGAAAACGACAGAAGAATTGGGGCGCCAGCAAAGATACCCGGCTAGGAAAAGTGTCTGACGCTTCCCGATTGGCGACAAAGCTTATTCAAGCTAATCTCACGTCAGGCACAGAGCAATTGGATGATTGACTGGATGTCTAAGGCGGTGTCGAGATGGAGATGTGCCACGTTGGCTGATGAGACAGGCGATTCCGATTTGTCTCTGATAAGATGGAATGAGAGCAGCGGCCAGGGGCTAGCTCCAGCTGGCCGGCACTACGCCGTATCTGGCAGATGCAGCACGATCCACCGATGCCGAGGCTGGTCGCATATGATGAGTTGGTTTAGCTGAAGGGGGAGTCAGATATGTCGTGATGAGGTTTTGGGAAGAGGGCATTGATGACATGATGGGAGGATTCTGTTCTGGCTTTGGGAGGGTGAGGATGAGCCGTGTGCTTAGGTAAGGCAAACAGCATGGAAGAGAGATGCCATGTTGGTGTAGAGATACAAAACGGTTGCACTGCGAATTAGATGCTCAGAATGTAGCTTTTCATACATTGGTACCTCTAGATGCCAGCTAATATGAGGTATGAATCACGCTGCAGGAATGATACTAATGGCTGACTTTACTAAGACTAACATGGTAGAACGGCAAAACGGAAAACAGTCGCCCCTTGCACGGCTGGCTGGTGGCTGATATCACATGGAGCGTCGTACTTTGTAAGTGTACACAAGAGTCACAGATTGAGGCACTAGCAGCAGTTAGTAGTACTCGTAATAACAGGCCGTCATACGGAGCGCATTTGTTTGTGCTAGCTCGTGTGTGCTTTCTTGCGACGAAATGCTTCCTCGGCCGCCACCAAGGCACAAGTTGGCACAAGTAGCCACAAGTATTGGCCAAGTACCTGCTCTGGTGCAGACAAACTCAGTAGCTCCGCTGCGCACAGCGGCATTAGTGCTGCACCTTGCCATGAGACCGACGCCCTCCACCGCAGCCGGCCAATCAGCGGTCGCAATGGCGGAGGATTCCCACAGTCGCAGCTTGATGATACCCCGCTTCTGAATATTTTTTGGCCGCCTGTGATTGGTCCAAACTCAGAGCCAGCCTCCTCACGTGACATCCCATGCGGCGCAGAGCCAATCAGCGCTCGAGGACCCCACTGTGGCTGCCCTCGCCTCTTGGACTCCGCGCCTTGTGGGCTTTTTCTGGTGCAACGTCTGGGGGCCGTCTGGGCCATTTCTGGGTCTGTTTGGACACGGCCTGCAGCTGGGCGGCGCCGGCGATTGGCAGCCGCGAGCACTTGCATACAGAACAGCCAGCACGGAGCAGCGAATTGTGCAGTTTTTATTGGATTATTTTATGGTGATGCCCAAGTATCACTGGGGAAGTGATTCATATATATAGACACTTGGTAGATGTATAAAACAGAGAGGGGGAAACAACCAAACAAACAAACAAAGAACAGGCCAAGGACAAGGAACAAGGACAACCAATCAATTAATCCAGTAATTCGCCGGCGGTGCATTTGCTGTCACGGACGGACTTGATGTGACTGACGGCCGGAGCGCTGCAGCTAAGCAATTACGGAGTACCTGCGCTGTACTTCTCGACGGGGCCACTCCCCTAGTCACTTGGCGCCGCCGGCAGGTACCGTCTGGTTCCAGTCCAGCACATCGACTTTTTTGCCAGGCTGCGGGTGCTCCAGCTTTTTGGACTTTTCCCTCCGCCATCACCAAAAAAAAAAAGTTATCCTGGGCCATACCAGCATCATCGTCCGCACTCGGCCTCAGGACCAGCTAATCTGTCCTTACACATACCGGCCTCCATTGCATCCCGGGCCTCCGCCGCTGTTCCGCTGCGGCCTCGCGCGACCAGCCTCGGCCGCTCCAAAGCCGCCAGTCGACATCGCCTCCAAGCTGTAGCGTCGGCCCCCTCCATCGGCCTCGCACCGCAACAGCGTCTCCAACTGCGAACTGCTGCAGACGCCGCTGCCAAGCACCGTCTCTTGGCCAGCATAGAGGCGGAACACGTCGATTCAAAGCACACTCCAAAAACATCGGTATGGATGGCTCACCAGGTGTTAGCCGGGGGGCCCCTTCGATGAGCCCAACCAGCCCTGCCAGCTCTCGCCACGGGAACGGAATGCCCAAGCGCAAGAGAAGCGGTGGCATGGGCCTCGAGAGCAGCCCCGGCAGCATCAACGAAGATGATCACGGCGACCACCACGAGAACGGTGATCACGACAAGAAGCGCCAGCCCGGCGTCAAGCGCGCGTGCAACGAGTGTCGCCAGCAAAAGGTGAGTCAGCCCCTCCGACCCTGCCATGTCCCGATCCTCGCCTCCCCCACCATACCCGCCTACTATTTCCAGATGCTCGAGGGAGTTTTAGATGAGAGAGTTGATGCTTTTATTTCTCTGCTCTGCTCTGCCTTGCTCTGCTCTGATATATAAATGCCCTGCCCTCTTCTACCCCGTCCTGTCTCGTGTCCTCCCCGGCGCGGTCTGCAATTGATTGCCTTGTCATGGTGGCTAATTCGTGATTCAATTGTTGCGCAATAGTTGCGGTGTAATGTCGTTCAAGAACCATTCCAGAGCTGCTCACGATGCAACCGTCTAAAGCTCGAATGCAAGATTGAATCAAATTTCAAGCGCATTGGGAAGCGATCCAAGCATGCCGAGATGGAAAAAGAGATTGACCGTCTACGGCGCAACATCGCCCGCGCCCAGGCTCAAGGCTACCTACTCGACGACGACGACACTCTCAACTCTCCCATGGCGCCGAGCACCGCGACCTACTCTCACACGCGAAATCCTTCTCTGATGGGTTCTGACGAGGCTGTGTCGTCCCTACTGCACCTCAAGAGAGGAGGCTCGTATAGCATGCCGCGATTCTCTCACGAGTTGGAAGGGGTCCAGCTGACCGACGAAGCGGTCACCCACCTATTCAACGAATTCTTCGCATTCTACCACCCATTTCTTCCATTCTTAAATCCCCAGCAATCCCCAGACCAATATCACCAACAACACCCTCTCCTGTTTTGGTCCATTGTCGCTGTCGCTGCCCGTCGATTTAGCCCTGCCAATTGCGCCAACCTCATCTCCAACCTCTCTGGGCCATTGACCAGGTTCCTGTGGACCACCATCGGCGAAGTGCCTAGCAATTACTACGTCGTCAAGGCAATGTGCCTGCTCTGCGCCTGGCCATTACCCACCAGTACAACCACTTCTGACCCGACTCACATCCTCTGTGGTGTCATGATGAAGACGGCGACTGGAATCGGATTGCATCGCCCTAACCACATCCAAGACTTCTCTCGAACCTCAGTCGATCTGAATAAGGAGCAGCTTGCCGACCGTGTCACTACGTGGGCCGTGTGCAACATTGTGGCACAAAACATCGGCACAGGCTACGGCCAACCAGCTTCTTCCTTGTATGACTGGACTCTGGCCCTTCGACCCGGCGACGATCCGGCGTTGCATCTCTCTCCCGAATTGGAGGCCCGACTCCAAATTGAAAGATTCTGCGACAAAGTTTCCAAGGAAATGTATAGCAACGCAAGCGATCCCAGAGGTGTCGCCGGAGACGAGCACAGGGCAATGCTCATGAGAGTATACCGACGAGAGTATTCAGAGTTGTATGCGTCCATCATGTCTCAGCAGCTGGGTGCCGTCGTAAATCTGCACTTGCGTGCCGCTGCCCTTCACATGAGGCTGGCCGGATTTTTCGACTCCAGCAAGACGCCCGGCTACTTGGACGATCTGATGGGCTTGTGGCGGGCTACAGTCAGCTTCCTGGACGATCTCTTGGAGGTGGACAAGGTAACTTCTCCCCACGACAATATTGGGGGCACCTTTTTGCTCTACGCGACCAACTACATACAGCAGATGTTAGTAGCTGCTGCTTTTACCTTGCTCAAGTTGATGCGGTCCTTCTTCTCCAAGACGATTGACTTCCAACGCGGGCGAAACCTCTTCCACCGCTCCATCCAGGCCATCCGTGCCACCAGTGTGGTTACCAACGATTTGCAGTGGCGTTTGGCCGAACTAATGGTGCAGATGTGGAACGGTGCCCGGTTGGATCAGAAGAACTACAACCGCGAAGACGATTCTCCCATCCAAGTCGACGACAGCCTGCAACTTAAAGTACGATGTCGTCACAGTATGAGCCTTGTTTTCGACTCCGTTTGGAGATGGAGAGAGGAGTATCAAGCTTTGGGCAGAGGATCGCTCGAAGGTAAGCGATACAATTCGGCCTGTGGGTACACCAGCTGCACTTGAAACCTGCAGAATATTCCCCCTTTTCTTTTCTCTCTGCCTTGTCTCGACGAGAAGCGAGTGTGTTGTTTCGTTCTTCTCAATGGAAAGCTAACATTTGCCGTGCAGCTGCCTTGAAGCACCCTACGAATCCGGATTCGGCCAATGAGTCCTCAGCCGCGTCGTCGCAACTTGACAGCACGTTGATGCCATCACACAGTCTCCCCACGTCCAACAACATGCTTACTGCGAATGGTGTACTAACACCAGGCGCCCCAGGCTTGTCTGCCCCTCCACCCGCACCGACCAGCATAATTGGAAACATGAATTATGGCGACACCAACTATGATTTCTTCGATCCCCAGCACTGGATGCTGGACGGCCTTCTTGACTTCAACTATTCGTTTGTACCGCCTCTCGAAGGTGCATAGAATGCCCAGCAAACCTGTGAAGAACAACGTTCTGAATCTGATGGGGTCGGGAAACTAAATCCATGAGTCGGTTTCTTTCTTTCTTTCCCCTCCTCTACTCCTTAATCCTCCTTTTTTCTTGCTACCGGAGAGGCCCCAACCTAAATGGCAAGTTTGCAGAGACGACATTTCGAAAGACCGCTTGGATTAGATCGGTTGCATCCGGAATTTGACTTCGTGCTGTGAACAACAACGTGAAAATTATGTTACATGTGGAAAGGAGGAGGGGGTTTTTCATACGTGAGTTTTTGTTTTATACCAGAGTGCTTTTTTACTACGTTTGTTTGCGTATCGTTTTGCTTGGGAGCTGGGAATACCGCGTAGACGTCTCTCGCGGTCATTATACCTGGGTCATTTTCTTATGTTGGGCTTTGGGATTCACTATGTTTATACGTTGGCATGACTTTTCATACTTTTCTTTTTATTGTGCTGCCCGTGGGAAAATATATCTGGGGAAGGCAATGGGGCAGCTTTGGATTTACAATTTGGTTTCGTCTTTGCGCATCGGAAAAGGGGCTTGGGCTGTGATATACCGGTATACAGGCAAAATACGTAAGTAGTGTAATGAATAACTGTATATTGAATGAATCCTGCCGTGTTGTTATACGTCCTTGTTGAATGTCATCATCGCTGCGAGGCTTCATCTTCATCTTCGGCTTGCTACCCTAGAGCTGGTGGTATGTATTCCTCCACAGAATTTTTCAATGTATTTGATGAGAAACAAGAGGAATTCCTGATGTTTTTCGGAGTTGGCGATTAATTACTCATGTCTCAAATATTGTTACACCTTTTGCTTTCGGTTCGTTGTCTTTTTCTCTTTGGTAGTGAGTGACTCCTAACATGACGAGTTTTGCGAATGATACGCCACAGCAACAGTAAAAAGACATCCATGGATAGAATAACGCCAACATGATCAAAAGGAACAATACCAAAACAAATGTTACCGTTCTAGGTAGTATATCCCGACTCGAATATCCACACCAGTCTCCAGAATCATAGGAACGATAGCAGTGAATAGATGCTAGCGTCTAGTCAAGACAATCGTAATACAGCTCGTCCCAAAGAGCACCGCATCCACTTCAAATGAGACGAAATACTAATGTAAGACAATAAAAGATCATTGTGAAATGATGCTAAATGTTCTAGATCTATAGTTTGGAAGATCTTGATTCATTTTACTATTACGAAACATCAGACATAAGTAGTCTCCCATAAATGGTATGCACGCACGAGAAGATCACAGAGAACACCAAGATGAGAGTCTGCGTACTCACACATCCCATTCTACACAGACCCCAAAAATGAACTACATTTCCCCTCATCTAAAAAGAAACAAAGTCCCTGAAACTCAACTCAAAGTGAACACATACACTAAACTAGCATCGATGGGTGTCTCACGTCCAAAGAACGCCGAGACAAAAACTCAAAACTAACTACGTAGCGTAGTGGGCGATCCAGGGACCTGGAGGATGGATTTTGAACAAACTAAACAAGCAGCGCAATTGTCTCAGTCATCTCGAAATAAAACAATCTCACACTCCTTACGAACCACCCAGTAACAAAGCAAGGCAAAGCAGAAACACCGCCGCTTTGAAACCTCACACACTACTTTCAGCGACGGTAATTGACAGCCACAGCCATTCCAGCGGGGAGAGGCGGACAGGAGCAGCAAAAACACAGGATCCTGATCCTCCCCCTTCAAGGGTGTTAAACGAGATTCTCTTCTGCTGTTGGTCAGCCCCGGCCTCTCAAAAAAAGGGGAACAGTCGATAAAAAAAGAAAAAAAGAACCCCTCGCTTGTGTACGAATTTGTAGACAGCCGGCTTTAGTTCTCTTCCATTTTGCCCTGTCACCTCGCTTGGATCGAGTTGTGAATCCTACAACCAGGTTAAAGTCGTAAAAAGCCGGAAGCCACTCTTGAGATAGAAGCTCGTGCCTGTAAAATCGATCTCCTGGTCCAACAGCAGGTCTATCTCGTCGTTCAATATTGCATTTATCCGCCATCACCCGTCCTAATGCGGGTTATCTTGACCTTCCCCCCAGGTAAAAAGTAAAGAAAGCTACGGATGCATGTTGGTCGCAGGTCCCGATCGTTTCACCGTAGCGTAATGCACGTTCGTAACCCGTTTTTTGCCTCTCTCTCCATCTCTCTCTTCTTGCCGGGCAGTGTTGAGTCTGGCAGTGTTAGTCCTCTTGCCAACACCAAGATGGCGGGAAGAAGCGGATGAAGCCGCCAACAGAAAGGCATCTCCCATACTGCCCAGATGCCGTTGTGCCTAGTTGCCGCCTGTTCGCTTCATCCACAACAGCGCAAGTCTCACGAGGATCCTCTTATATGCTGGCTGTGCCGTGGCGTGTCGTCGCGCTTGGCCACCCGAAATGGCCGGGCCGAGGCCACAAAAGCGGCCCAAAAAGAGACCGCATATAACGACATCTGTTTGAAAAGATAGTCAACGTATAAAGAATGACGCATCTCGCAATTCGCTTCTCCTCATCTCAGATCAAATTCTGCCTTGGTTGAGGCGCGGATTTCCAGTCAATCACGCTCGAGCTGAATGACGATTCGGGGCCACAATTTGCTCATCCGCCATGGCTCGAATCAACACTAACCAGCACATCACTCCAATATCCGAGACCGGGGCGAAGAGCAAATTTGCCATTCGATCCAATACCGTCATCGAACGATGCCTACCAGCTCTCTAGTCGTCTCGTTGACTAGCCGTGACCCAAGACTGCACACCCCCCTCAGTCTAGAAGGAACCCTGCTAGATGTCTCCTCCGAGTTATCTTTCCCCAATCTCATACGGAGTACATCTTTCTCTGTAAACAAGCTAAGGAGAAAGCCTTGGCCACTCTTTGGTATTGACCACGAAGGCGAAGGCGAGCTTGATTTACCCAAGTGGGGAGACGGAAGCGGTGTTGGCGTTTCCCAAGTCTAAGAACGATCGAGGAAAAGTCCATGTTGGTCGACCAACAGCAAAATGGGGCCCTGCCTCCATTCCTGTCAGGACAGGGAAAAAGTAAGAAAAAGTAAGAAAAAGAAAAGAAAGAGCAAGAAAGAAGAAAAAGCCTAGGCGATCCGGGAGGGAACCAACACGAACCACGAGAGCTGTATGGTTCACCTTGGCCCGATCCTGCGGAGACTTTTGAGAGGCAAGAAGTCGCCGCCGTTTAATCAAACTATAGGTAGACTTCGTTGAGCGCGATCCATCCAGAGGCGCAGAGATCTACGCGAATTGACGGCGTTTGGTGTGGTGTCCCGGCCGCGCCCGTGGCCAGACTCTATGAGTTTGCGCCTATAGGTTATTGCTGGCATGAAACCTATGAGAGGAAGGTTAAGAAAATAATGTGGTGGCCACTGTGGATTTGAGATTCTTGATTCCTCATATGAGGAGCCGTGAATATTCCTTTGGCTCACAATCATCGAACAATGGAGAGCAATGGACAGAATTTCGCCCGAGATAACTGTAGAAGTAAGCGTCCTGCTCGCAGTGTGTTCTGAACTCTGATTTCCTTGGGGATAGGTGACTACTTACTGGCTCTGGACCGTCATTAATGTCACTTAACCTCTAAGCACTTCGCCCCTTTCGTCGACTTAGGGGAGTAGGCGATTACCTACTCGTATGATGAAACGAGTTGACGACCTTTTGTGGGAATATCCCCAGACAGAGCGCAGTGACAGGCACCCACAGACTATTCTGTCAACGGAAACGAGAAGAAAACGGGCCTTCTGGGCACGGCAGAGCAAATTTAGGCAGTGCACATGATTGGGGACTAGGAAACTATCCGCAATAGTCGATAGACTCGAAAGAAGCACTGTACACTTGGTGCTCCTTGACATGGAGAGCTCTTCTTCTCGCTTGGCACTTCCTTGATGGGATTAGGCTGCAAGCCTCATGAAGAATGCAAAAGCTCTCGAACGCCCTCTCTTCTCCCAACCCCCCTCCTCTAGATTCTCATACAATGCACGGAGGTGTAGATGGCCGGCAATTGACTGGTTTGGTTGATTGCTATGACCATGCCTCCTGTCTTAGTCTTGCTTTGGATTGCTTGTAGAGTGTCGGTGTGTGAGCGTCCAATGGTCGCCATCGAGAAGACGAGGTCCCCATGTGATAGGCACGAGCGCTGTTCTCGGCTTTGGTGACATCCGCCGAGATTATCAGGAAAAGAGCATGGCGCCTCTCGAAAGAAGCTAAGGCGTGCGGGTGATGTGCAATCGGGCTTTGGGCTAGACATCCGCTCCTGGAGCCGGCGTTTGTCACGGCCAAAGATGATCGTCTGTGATTTGCTCCATTGCTTTGAAAGCATAATTGGCATGGATGAGCTTCCACCCGTCCATCAGTGGAAGGGGAGGGCTCGAGTCAAGATGGATGGAGTAGTGTGTTTCTTGGAGTGCTATTGGCTGGCTGGGTCGAATGCTGCTCGTAATCATCTCATACGCTTGCATGAAAAGGGCTGGCACTGAGGCAAACTCGGCGGCACAATGGGCAATGCCGAGCCGTGAATTACACCGTGGGCTGTGGAGGTTGGCGCCAAGTGGGCAGCAACGGTGCGGCCTTGGCCCGTGAGCTCCGCGAGAAGCAAGAAGGACACGCCCCCAGAAGACAGCCCTGTAGCAGATTTGCAACCAGGGATAGGGTACAGAGCGAGCTGCGCTGGTATAAATGAGGATCAGGAGGAAGGGATCACGGATGGGGTCGGGATGGGGTCGGGATGGGGCATGATAGAAGCTATCCAGGGGGAGGGGGAGTTGCTTCTTCGAGTTCATCCTCCTAGTCCACATGTCAAGCATCGACCGTTGATCGGAGTGACAAAAGTACCAGAGCACTTATATCCCTGTTCTGTACAGATGGGCAAGACTCTGCGGAGTTCTTAGCGGTCAGATGAAGTTTAGATATCGTAGTAGAGTAGTCAAGAACGCTGGCAGGCATCATCCCATTTGCCAGTGTTTGCATGCGCATGGCCGTTGCAAACATGAACAACATAAGAGAACCAGGGGAAAAAGAAAGCAGTGGTGCCTTCATTCGGGCTCCTTCCGTTTATCCAGGCATAACCAAGCTGTGGATGGAAGGGGACCCGCATGCGCTGGGACTTTGGATTCGGGATCGATCATCTTTGTTCCTGAGCCTGATCGTTGCCTTCCATTCGACACTCTGTCAGGGCATAGGGCGGATCCGCCAGATCCAGCGGTTGTGTGGCAATTCTCGACATACTTGGGCCGTGTTATCCCGGGGAGAAAGGCTCTAGCGTGGCAAGACAAGTGGTCAGCGCTCTGACTCCTCATCCGAGCAGAAGCTAACATTTAGCTAATGGTGTGACTCGTCTCACCATAGAGTTCATAGGGAAAGCTACTTAGGCCATGAGCTCGTAACCGAATACTCTGGTCAAGAATCTTGAAATCTAGTTCGCATGAACGGTGTAACTCTTCAATAGGTAGGCATAACTGAATTCACCAGACGTGAGCGCATTCTGGAATGCGGAGCAAAGGGGAGATCGGGATTGGTCCAGAGCGGATGGTGTACGGTATCTTGCAGAGCGAAGCGTTGATGGATATTGGCCCTGTGCCTAGCTATCACTCAAGAAGATCAAGGATGGCTATGCTGGCTGATCGCGAAGGAGCGTTTGAATAGCGAAAGGGGCGGCTTGCAGATGGTGCACTGCAGGGGAAAGAGGAGAAGTGACGTAGTCAAGGTACATGATTCGATAGTGCAATCAAATGAGACTTGATTACGCGGCAGAATCTCCCCAAGTCGTTGAAGAGACACAGATTCGATGAGTAGATGTCGGCTATCTCATGCTTTAACGCCTTGCGGCGGACATCGTGGACGCATATTGTTTGATTTCTCAATCATGGTTCGTCAACCATCAAGAGCCAGCTAGCTGCCAGACCATTTGAGACGCAGACTCAGAAAAAATGGGCAAGGGAGATTGAAGACGAGTGTGTGAGTGGAGAAGCACGGGACAAAGGGCGAGAAGAGCCAGCCGAAACAAGGCCCAACAATCCGGTAGCGCCCAGTTTGCATACACTGAAGAAGCATCCAGATGGATTGCAATGTCACACAGAGCTAGAAAGTTGAAGACGGCACGCCGGCTTCTATTCTTTGGCGTATCATTCGATCGTTGGTCGCCTCGCGGCTAATGAGACGACTTGTTGACGCGGCTAGGGGTGTGAGATGCGGTGGGATCTTTGAAATATAACAGAAATGGGGCAGAGCCACTGCAGAAATGGCTGCAAAGTCGGCGCTTAGATGTGAACAAGAACAACGATCAGCAAACGTGAGGATCCGCCATCGTAATAGCCGCCGGTTAGGGCCACCTGATGAACGATGACAGCTAGGAACATGAAGCTCGCCCAGAGATCCGCAAACGGCGATAAAGCGAGAGGTGTAGAAAAAGCGGGAAATTTGCGCGCAAAGAAGAAAGCGGCGCGAAGGTGAGATATGCCTGGTGGTGCAGATACTTGTTGGCCGAGACACAACGTTCCATGCCTCTGACCTACAGCGACCAACAACACAGCGTGCAAATCACGCAAACAGGGACAAGGAGAGGTCAAGAGAGAGGCCAGGGGAAAGGCCATTGGTAGCAACCAAGATGTCCTGCTAGTGTTTACTTGCGCAGGTTGGCGAATAGAATGCGGGCAGTGGCATTTCTCAAACGACACCAAGCAAGGCTGTTGGATGGCTCAACTCAAGGCTGCCTTGATGGGTTTGCGTTTTGCAGAGGTCCCAGACTGCGGCGAGGCAGGGCAAGGTCGCTTCTTGAGGCCGCAGATCAAACAACAGTGCAGTAAATCTCGTAAGAGAGACTGGTTACATGTATTCGCGTGACAGAAGTACGACATACCCCGGAGAAACACCAAATGGCCCGAGGCTAAGATATTCATCGCAGGAGGCAAAGTACCAGCCCAGCGCTCAATGCGGCACCGAGAGCCCCCGACAGGAGTGGTGCACAGAAGGCAGGCATCCTGATACTAATCTGTCTCTTGGCCAACACATTTTTCTCTTGTGATGGATGGTTGTGTGTTGGCCGTGCAGGAGGGAAGTCTGTAGTTACAGCACAGGCTCGCTTATGGCGCTGTCGGTACCCAATGGCAGGCCCTTTCACAGCGGGTAGACGCGCGCGTATGTGTTCTGCTTCGGGCCTAGCGCGCCAGTCCGGAGCGGTCGCCCATTGGCCGGGCAGGGGCTGTGCGGGCAGTCGCAGGGATACCTGGCCCAGTGGAGGGGGCGTGCGTCACTGTCGTCCAATGCGAGTCGAATATATCCTTGCTAGCGCGTCCCGACGGCTCGGATCGCACTATGTTAGTATGCAGTAGCGCAGTGGAGCGCTGCGCCATCAGATGAGTGGCCAGACGCGGGGCCGAACTCTCTTGTTTCGTCCGCCTGAGCCAGCAGTGCGACTGAGAGAAAAAAAAATGCTGCCTTTCGGCCAGATTGCCCTCCCCCCTTACCCGGTCTCCAAGTCGGATCATACAGGCGCATGGGCTGGCCCATCAGTCTCGGCTTCTTTCTCCCTATTGATGGCCTTGGTTGGGCAAGTGATTCGTTCATCCCACTTCGGGTTTCCCCTCCGTCGTACTGCCACCACTCAAATGCGTGCAGATAAGGGCATGGGAGACGGTGTGGCGCCACCGCCCTACACTGTCGTCAGTCGGCGGTCATCTCTCCGACTCCCCATGTTGGCACTCCACATTTAGTGATGTGCCGTAATTGGACTTGCGGTGCGACTATTCTGGAAGTGCCGAGCTGTGCGCGCAGCCGGAGCCAGAAACAGCCTTGGCTAACGGGAGAGGTTTCGAGCGTTGGCACGATCGCGTCGGCAGTGCCATGAGTGCCATGAGTTGCCATGAGCCATGAGAGCCATGCCTCCTGTTGGTGAGCTCTACAGCGGAAGCAAGGAAAGGTAGGCTAACTGCTACCGTTTGGGGACTGTATGCATGGTCACGGAACTGCATATCCCAAGGCCAGGCATCTTCCTCGGTCACTGCCACAAAGAGCACCGTTGCTTCTCGGACGACGTCCGTATAGTTCCCCATACGGGCTGGCTTGTCGTGGCCTAGAACCAAAAGTCCATTACTCCGCCGCCGCGAGGGTTGAGAATGGTATGGTACGGTCCCGACAGCGTGGAAATTGAGGCATGGCCGCCGCGTTGATACAACTCTGGACGGGGGTATCGGACAGAACAAGTGCGACCTTTGAAATCTCGAGCAATATGTACGAGTAGGCCTCAATGAGCAGTCGTACCTATCCGAGAGACTTGTTCCTCTCGAGCACCAAGACTTGTCTGTTTGTCATGCCCCTCGCACCTAGGCCTTTCGCTTGACTCGGTCAATGATTGACAGGCTTAGCGTTTTCATAGGGCGGTTTAAACATGAACGCCGCACTGTCCTAAGTGGGACTTGAATATCTCACCAAGTGAACTAAGTAAGGAGCTGAACGCTAGCATCTCAGCAAGCAGCCATGTCTGAAACATGGTCTAGATGAGAGACAAAGGAATGTTATTGTACTCCTTATAAGCAAAGAATTGAAAAAATGCAAAAGAGGCAAAGGCAGGCAACAAAAACAGCAGAAGCAGCAGCAGCAGCTCGGTTATGCCGCTGGTGTTGAAGAACGGCTGACGTTTGGTATGAGATTTGATTGAGGAACAGTGCTGCGCTAGAGGCGTCAAGAGTAGATTGTGTGAAGCCGTGCGCCAGAGCACGGAGCGTGTCGTGGCAAGCTTCCACTGCGCTAATTAGCCTTGGTACCTATTGAAAATACACAATGGCCTAGACTAGCAGGCCATTGAATGGTGTGATGAAGTTAATTGAATGCCAAGTGGATGAGCGAGCGACAGACTTAGCATTCCCTTGACTACCAGTCACAATCCACCTGAAGGACACTGGACAGCTTATTTGATCAGCACTTTGATGCCGTCGTGCCCCTTTCAGGGGTATCCATCTCGATAGATATTGGTGACTCTCGTCATTTCACAGTTTGTGACTGGGCAAACCCACTGATCGGAGCTAGGCGGGGAAGAAGCATAAACAGCCGCACGCACGATAATCGTAGGCGGTAGATCAGATACGAGTACCTAGGTTGCCATGGACTAGGCATATGCCGCCGCCTTCCGAACATACGCGGCTGTCGTTCGTGACGGGTATTCGCTGGCTTCTATGATCGTCTGTCTTGTAAGTCGATAGCGGAAACATTGTACAGAGATTCTGTCGAGGGCATTCGTCTAGGCGGTCTAGCCATCGATGCTAGCTCATTGAACGTGGAGCAGAGGCTTTTGAGACTTTGTCGCTGAGATGGAACATGAGCGCTAGCGGCACTGTGAATCAGATGCTAGCCTGAGGAAATATCCAAGGGCACAGGACACAATCGAAAGCTAGCCGTGGCGTGGGACACCATGGCTTCCATTGTCGGATGGATCTTGCGCTCTAGTGCCACGTATTCTGACAGACCACTAGCAAGCAGCGTCGCAAATGGTTTGCGCGCAGCAGGCGCTGTATCAGAGCGTCTGCTACTCGTACAGTCCTAGGATACGGAATTTGTCGTAGGTCGTCAGTATCAATTCCATGGAAGCAAATGGGTCGCAGTTTGGGCCGCACTGTGGATGAACGTCCATGGCAGTGCTGAAGTGGTCTCTGGTCAAGGCAGACTGGAGGAGATTTGCGCTTTACTGCCTGCAGCAAAGGCAGGAGGCACTAAGGTACATGCACACGTACGAGGACTCGCACAGCAGTAAGGTACCACCGTACCCTGACTTTCTTTTCCCCGGTTGTCGCAATATGAAGCGGAGTCCGGAGCAAGGCAAGGTACCAGGTTCGTAGCAAGTACAGACAGGTGCGCTCCTGCTGTCAGGATGAGCTGTGGAATGAACGACCAGCATACGAGGTACTAGTGAATACTTCTGCTCGGGAATGCCATTGACTGAAGCCAGAGTACCCCAGGTGTACTGATACTACTACCTTGACCACCATTGGAAGGCAGGAGTGTGCGAAAGTAGAGACCAGAGACCCTTGAACCATTGCGTCCATTTTCGAGAGAAAGGGCGCTAGTCCTGTTGAGGAAGACACTTCAGCCAAAACAACCCTAAACTCGCCTGCTGAATTCTGATTTCCAATTCTCCACCCCCAAGCGGAGCCTGATCTCTGCCACTCCAAGCTATTGAGGCTCCCTCATTTTCTCTCCATCTGTCACATTCATGCTAACAGAGTGCTCGCTAGTACGATCTCGGCAATCGATGTGTCTCTCTTTTGCTCTGCCTCTGCCTCTGATGTGATGCGCTGGCCTTCTGCCCTATGCCGGGGCGTGATCTACCAGCCCACGAAGAACCTCCGCACCCTCACCAGCAAAATCTGCCTCCGGCTTGACGCTCGTGGCGGCTGCCTCTGCCTTGGATACGATTCTCCCCCCGCGTCATTTCGAATCTTCTTTGCCGCCTCTTTCAGTCCTGCCAAGATTTCGGAGAGATTAAGTTGATCTTTTGCTTCCCGCCGGCTGCATCGGGGTCCTAACTTGGGGAAAGACGCGGCTATCACCTCTCGCCGTTACTTTGGCGTGCCTGATGACACCTCATCCAGCTAGCCTCTACACGTATTCGTGATGCGGTCGAGTGCTGATGAGCCTGTTCTCAGAGGCAGGGTACGAGCCAGCTTCTACAGAAACCATTTGGTTGCAAACGCCTCGCGAGCTGTTGGGATTATATCTCGACCGGGTGTTTTGGGATTTGAGGGCGACTTGCCGGATACGTCAGTGGCACCTTGAATTGCTTTTTCCTCGTCTCAGCTGCTCAAGGTACCTTGCGCACGAGTATCTGCCTGCCTACCAAGTAGGTCGATATGTCTCTACAGTATCATCTGGCATTACCCCTCATGGCCCCCTTTTGTCTTGTGTGGGTTTTGCTGTGCCAGACACGCAGGCTTCCGTCATCCAAGCGCTGTGACCAGCGGCCATGATGCAACCAGAGACAGCAAATTAGGTCTGATATTGGGGCATATTGGCAATCACTCGCAGTTGCCCGTGCTCACTGATCGCCAGCCCGGGAGATGGCGAATTGATGACTGTCTAGTGTCCCCGCCGCTGCTATTGATTGTTCTCTGCCTTCATCTCCTCGGATTTGGCTGCTTATTACGTTGCTATTGTCATGTGTCCACCGTATACGCTTGATTTTACACTCGTCGCACTCGATGCAGAGGCACTCGGAGTCTCCTGGAGAACGCCCGCGCACGCCCCTACCGTTTCTCCAAACATGCCCTGGAGCCACATGCCCCCATCTCCAGTTCCGCACGCCTCGGCGGCTATCTCATGCACAACAGTGTCTCCCACTGTATGTACATTAACTACTGCCAGCCCTGTCCGTATCGACCGGGGACCCTGGTCCAAGCCATACGACTCCAACCACACTCCCCGAACCCCCTGGTCAACTAGGATCTGACGCTTGATCCCTGCGCCAGGTAGCACGCACTAGGCCACGGCTCGTATGTACTTGTACTGATTCCCGTGCTTGTCGACTCACGGCCCTGCAACCTTGGAGAGCTCACCCGGCTCTTGATCTGAGCCTCCATTTATACAAAGAGTCTTGCCATCTCTTCCTGTTTCCGACTTCCTCACAAGGCTCTCTTCTTCATCTGCCGTTTCTACACCTGTCCTGGCTTCCCCAGCTAGATCATCTCCAACTTTATCGTTATACCTTTGACCAACCACGGCCGCGGCCACGGTAGGCAGAATTCCTCAAATCTTTTGGCGGCTCATTGCTATTGCAAAACTGCCCACCCCTCCTTCACCTCCAATCGCCCTTTCTCAAATACATAAACGTGTCGCTCTACGGACTTGAAGCGACCACTTGTTTCTTCTCACAAGTCGCATATTCTTTCATTTTCCCATCTTATTTCCCAATTTCCTTCTTTGCTCCCCACTTGGCATACCGTTCAAGGTACAGGTAGGTCATCTACCATCAGTCATCGACTTTTGCGCCACCGCAGAGAATTGACTCTTGATAACGTCTACTTTGCAAGCTCTGCAGCTGCATTGCCGCCGCTACCCAACCGAATTGAGACCTTGGCTGTGTTTTTTAAACGCCCAAGGAGCCCTATCCAACGTGCCGCTTGCATGAACATGGTAGAGCAACAACAGTATATTCCTGCAGGTTTACCACACACAGGTGACCTGGCAGGATCCCACGGCTTGTCTGAAGCCAGATCCATCGCGCCTGCAGGCACTTCAGCCTATCCGGAAGTGGCCCCTTTCTCAGCAGTGAGTCTTGCACGCCTTTTCCCTTTTCACACAGCAAACCCCCCAAAAGAGATCAATGCTTGATCCTTTGCCTTCCTGTTTCTCCGTCTGCTCTCCCCTCACAGCTCCGGCCAGGGTTGTAAGCTTACCAATCGTCCGTTTTCGCAGGTTTCTTCGTTCAACATCCCTGCCCCGTGCGACTCTAGCCTTCTCACTCCCATCTCCACGACCAGCTCTCCCCCACTGCACCAGATCCGCAAATTGGCACCGCAGTATCCTCCTCCTCCGAGCACCCCTTATACCCAAGTGCCAACCCCGCCTGGAAGCTCCAAGATGTATCACCAGCCGTGGAACAACCAGTTCGACATGCACAACCAAAACGCGCCGAATGGCTCGCCCATGAACAGTCAGGTGCCGGTGACATCGGACTTCTACATACCTGAGGACCGCCGCACGCCCAACCCGCCAACAGAGCCCTACTACGGGTCCTTCAGCGTGTCTGAAGGCCCGGATACGCAGTCAATGCACAACCAGGGACAGCCCTCATACTACGTTCCCATAGAGATGGGCAACCAAAACTCCATGATGATACGTGAACCTCGTCAACTGCCCATGGAACCGCACCCCCGTGACAGCTCCCACCCAGCATCTCTGCTCGTGCAGTCTCACCCATCACACTACCACAACGTTCGACGGGCCAGCACAGATGACCGCAGCTACACCAGTCGCGCCGATACCGTTCGACGCTCCTCCAGCGGCTCTCCTCGTCGACGCTCTGCAACCCAGGGCAGCACACGAGTGAATAAGAAGTCGCGGTCGTCCAAGAGGGGCGGCGGTTCACTTCGCAGCCAGGCTGATCCTGGCGATGAGCACAAGAACTGCTATGGCCAAGAAATCCCTCCTCCCATCAAAAAGGGGTGCCCCGAAGAGGAGCGCTGCATCTTCGAGTCTAGGTGGCGGCATCGCTCCCAGAGGGGACAGGACATGTGGGACAGTATCCAGGCCGACTTTGAGAAAAAGTTCAACAAGAAGCACGGCAAAGAAATGCTCCAAATGAAATTCAAACGCGGTCGGTCCAAGTTCTATGATTGGCTTCCCGAAGATGTAAGTACAACTCCACCACGCCATCGCCTTTGAAAATGTAGGCAATGCTAACTACTGCGTTTCATCAAATAGTTAAGGATACTTCAAGCCGCTTTCAAGAGGGTCGAAAAGGAGAGATATCAAATCATCCTTGACCGCTTCCATGAGATGGGTGGCTCCCGGAACATGCTGCTGAGCGCCAGCGACATTGAGATTAAGATTGTCAACGATCTGAAGTGGGAAGAAGCCATATACATTGATGGCCTTGACGATTGCATCCGTCGCCGCCGCAAAACCATTGTCAAGAAACGGTCAAGTGGCCGAGGAGAACCGGGTGGCGATGTTCCTGTGAGCGACGATATGCTGCGAATTTCCCAGACGCCCCACAACGAGGACGACGTGATTAACCAAGTATACGGACGACAAGATCGCTGGGACGAAGACATGGCCTCTGTAAACGGCGAAATGATGGACTCATCAAACATATGGGAGAACCGGGCTCCCATGAAGATTGAGCCAGACACAGAGCACATGGCGCGGGTGCACAACGCAAACGGCCACCCCATCGGGATCCGACCAGTGCCAGTGTACCATCCAGCCCCAAAGGCACCTTGAAGGGGGCTCTTATATGGCTTGCATGGGAGATGGCACAGTAATGTCGGCGGGATAGGACAGCATGCATTGGATGGATGGATGGATGGAAGGCTTGGCTGGAGGATTGGCATGGGAATGCCCCATACGTTTCTTTTGTTTTGTTTCATTGCTTAGAATGCTTCAATCTTCTCGACGAAGAGTCATCACTCCCTCTTTGGTTACCCACATGTTCCTCTTCAAGATTTCTGTTATTGTCCTTGTCTACATTTTTCTCGTTCCCTCTTGTTTTCTACTCTCCATCTGGTACATTTAATCTCTCACCTTGTACTTTTTCTATTTCTGCCTTTTCTTCTTTTCCTTACTCTCATTGACGCTCAAATAACCGGGGAATTGGGGAAAAAACTCGGGATGGCTCAAGATGGATACAATCTCACGATATGCCTGGATGCATCATGTTGGCTCACTGACTTTATGTTGCCTTGCCCACAGGCACTCGGACCAAGGACAGAATAAACAAATGTATAGATATGATTAATCAATACAACTCTAAAGCTTCAATACCACCAAACAAAGACTGCAGTACCAATTAATTGAATACGTGTGAGATGAATTTTGCAAGATACCTAACTGCGGGTGGTATTGGTATCGGTGTTTACGCAGTCGGCGATAGAGAGCGGCTGAGTAACAGGTACCATGGCTTACCGCATCTACCTGTGCGAGTACAGTACCTTGTGCTACCTCTACCTGTATGGAGTGTATGGAGGACGTGTAGAAGGAAGCGCGTCCAACGTGTTCAAGGCGAACTTGTGGGCCGCATGCGGGTGTGGCATTGTCGCTGCAGATGACAACATGGAAGACTGCTAGCCAGCGGGGATGCTCCTACGTGGCCGTCCTTCAGCACCTTGAAACGGCGGAGGACGAAGCCCGAGCAAGACGAGCGCCTGGTCAGTGCAGGTCTGGATGTGCACTGTGTGATCTGCACTGTACATTGACAACGGGAACCCGTGGGATCCCGGCGTAACACCTTATCTCTCGCCCGTCATCACCCCTCCTGCAACACAACGACGCGGCTCTTCCTGAACCCTGGCCATTCACATTCGAGAAGACGACCGACGAAATGGCCTGTTGTTCCCGCAGCGCCACCGTCACCAGGCCCTTTTGTTGTCCTTTTTTTCCCTCTGTGCGAGCCACGCCCTCCAAACAGCAGAGGAAAGCGAGCAAAGAGAGGAAAAACGCAAGGGAGGGAGGGGGCCGACCAGGTTGCAGCATGTCGAACTTGCAGGGCCAGGTGAGATGGGCAAGGCATCTCGTCCATTCAGAGCTTCCAAGAGGCGCCGAGCGGACACCGTCAGGCAGGCAGGCATGCAGCTGCGGGCTGGCCAGCCAATTCGCTGCGAGACCACACCACCAGTTCCCAACTGTCGGGTTCGCGCCTTGCCTGACGCAGAAGAGGCTGCATCACGAACCCTGGAAGGGGGCAAAAGGACGACGAGGGGGAGGTGAGAGACGATGTCGCTGCCGCATGTTGTTGTAACTGGTACTGCAGACAGTACGAGGGATGGGGTGACGGCAAGGGATGGGAGGGAGCAGAAGCCAAACCAGGAAGAAGGAAAAAAAAGGTGCAAGGGAGATGCGGCTCTTTGCTTCTCTTTGCTTTTTCCTCTGCGGCTGAGATCGACTGAAGGTTTGTTTGCCTTTCCCTGCTGCTGAGGCGTCTTGATTTGTCTCAGAGTCTTTGGCCTTTTATTCGCCCAGTTGGAGTGGCTCGCTGCTGGTTCGGCTGGCCGCCTTTCAGCTGCTGCACAGTCCCCCATCCGCATGTGGCTCCGCTTTTGCACACTGTATCAGGTACTTTGCACATGCAGAGGTGCACATGCGCCTGCCCAGCGCCCAGCCAAACACAAGCCATGCCGCCTGCCTCCCCCGTTTGCACAGTACGAGATTTACGAGTCTGTTGATTCTTTCAGGCCGCGGCACTCTCTCTCGTACATCCGTGGTTCCCCTTGGCCTGCTCGCATCGCCCACTGTGCTTGTGCTCCATGCTACTGTACCTTGCTGCTTTTCTTCATCCTCGACTCCATTGGCAATGGCACGCTCTCGCCCCAAACTTGGATTGTGCCGTTTCTGCGTCAGGTTGATGTGCTGAACTGAATGGTGGTACGTTGTGCGTCTCTTCCTCCTTTTCCTCTTCGGGTGAAATGGCGCCAGCAGGTGGACAGAAAGTCCTGCCAGAGACGTGAATCCTACTTGCGTAGTAGTCCGGATATAGCAACCGGGCGGAGCAAAACAAAAGATACCCCAGGCACAGCGATTCCGGCCTCCGCGCGCTGTCCTGGTTCAGCTCATCACGACATGTCAATGCGAAATGCAAGATGATTTGCCACGAGGGTGGTCAGCACATGGATGGCCTGGAATCGCATCGCTTAGGAACTGGACCTGCTACGATCGCTGTAGACTTCCAGGTTTAGCAGTGGCAGTCCCTGGGCGTTGTCCGGGGCCAGTGAGCTCAGGAACAGCTGGGGCTGAGTCCGAGCTTGAGAAGCATGGATGGTCTGTTCAGATGCGCTAAGCGGAGGAAGCACAATTGCTCTGCTCAAACCCGGAATCTGGGGCGTCAAAGACGGCCGGCCCCGGTTCTTGGATTTACCATTCGCAATCTTTCTGCTATTTATTTGTCATGTTACGAGAGACCTGGTCACTCCTGGCACTTACGGCTGGGCACATGGCACGAGGATACAGAGAGATATGGTGCCAGATGTGCCCACACTGTCACGGCGGAGCTGCGATTCCGAGTCATCGATGCCGCTCGCTAGGACAACAGGTCGATCTGCCAACGGGTCCCGTAGACCTTTAGCCGCCGAAAGACAGTGGACTCGGACGCTGCAGTGCTACTTGCACGAGCAAGTGTCCTCGATGCGCATTTCCGCGCATTTCCACTCCGATGACCTTGTCTCCTTTCTTGCTGGCATTCTTCCTTCTGGTCTGCCTTTTTTGCCTGCATTTTCGGGCGGGTTTCGCGGATGACGGCACCCGCACTGTACGGAACACCCATGCCTTGTCCACCGCCCCTCCGTCCCGACAGTCTGGAAAATGACGCGGTGGAAAGTGGATTCGCAATTTGGGGTCCACGCCTCCCATGAAGCAGCAAAAACAAGAGAGAACGATTGGAGGACATGAATGACTGGGAGCAAGGGGGCTGCCCTTCTCCCTCGCTTCTCATTTTCCCTCCCCCCTTGACTCTCTGGGCTTCATTTTCCCTCGAGACAGCAGAAGAAACCAAGGTTTGGCGTGAGAGCATGGCGGCATGACTTTCGGAGGGCAAAATGGGCACTTCGGCTGGCGGCCGTGCGTTTTGCTCCTGTTAACGGCGCGCCCCGGCCGGTCGATCTACGGGTCACAATGCGGAGCCCGTGGCATCCTGGACGGAGTAGCGCTCCAAAAGGCCGAACATGGCCCTAAGCGGCGCTCCATCAACCAAGATGGTCCTACGCAACACTGGCCGGCAAGACTGCTTTGTCAATTTGTCCACCTGTCCAATTTGTCCATTTGTGGCCGCGTACGAGTACAAGCACAGCGACATGCAAGAGTACATATGGGCGGGGGCTGCGAGTGCAGCGTACAAGCATTGACGCAGCAGTTCTATTCGACGAGGTCCATGTCCATGAAAAAATATCATAATCTGCTAATGGGCGCCCTCGTATACAGAATCGCAGGGATTGCGAGGTCAGCGAAAGAGGCAGGCCAGTTTATCCACCTGCACACTCGCAGGATGATGCAAGCATGCGTGTACCATGTGTTACGTGACAAGCAGGCACCTCTCGAATATGGCACAGAGCCCGTGCCGAAGGCTGAAGATGGCGAACCGCCTGCCGCATGACAAAGTTTGGTGGAACGTGCGACAGACGCGAAAGTGCCGGCAACGCATCATCCATGCTTTCTGCCCTTTACCCGTACAATGCGGAGCAATTGCCCTAGAAGCAGGTCCAGGCAAATGTATTAAAGTGGCAAATATCGGATGAACGCAGGCGAGCGAATGCTACGGGGCCATGGCTACAGTACAGGGCCCTCGGAAGAAAAGGTAAAAAAGGGCAGACAGGAACAGGTTGCAGTGGCATGGCATCTGCAGCCTGCCCCGACTGTGCCGCTGCTGTTCGGGAGTTGTTTTGGGGGGACTTTGGTCTGAGTGGCCCCGGGTAGCAACGAGGTGCCGAGGCTGGGCGGAGAATGGTGCGATGTGCTGAGATTTGCGCAGAGCAAAAGGCGGTCCAAAAGCGACAGCCGTTGAATATCGGGCCTGGATGACGATGATCCACCCTGTTGTGTGCAGCACTGTGAGAAGGCAAGCTGAACCGGAACCCGAGGCGCAATTGGAATTGGATTTCAAAGCATTTGTTTTTCCAAAGCCGGCCTATTTGCGCTGCAGCTGTCCATATGCGACCTGCATGTCACTGGCAAGCCGACGATTTGAGCTCGGCAATAGTCCGCTTCGCAAGCGATGTTGTTGGCGCATGCTCATCTGCATCGCCGCCAATGAACGAGGCAGATTACGTGCCAACCGGAAGTCGCCTGAAGGGGAAATACATGGCGGGGACGTCACTTGTCACGGAGGAATGAAATGACGAGCTATTGCAACGCTGCTTACTCGGTACTCAAACAAGTATTGAGATGAGGTGGTTTGGAATGAACGGATGGATGCAATAGGATCCGTGACGTTTGGGGAGATTAGAATGAGTCTGACGCTATACTGGCTGTATATCCGTGGTTGTACGGATCTGCGCCACCTCCGCCCGTACGAGGACAGATCAGGCAGATGAACTGACTGGGTACCTTGACGATAACTTGCATGGCCTGTGTGGCATGTAGCCGTGCCTAGATGGTGCCCTTTTTGGTGCCTTTGATGTAGCATTCGGCCATGGAAGCTTGACTTGTTTTTGTCACTCAGGTATGCCCTCATCCAATCTCCCCAATCTCCCTAATCTCCAGAAAGGTGACAAAATAAGCAGTGCATTGTTCCATCCCTGTGATCTTCCTGCGCTAAGGGAAAAGGTGGCGCTGAGCGGGTAATTTTGATACCCCATGCTAGCTTTGGAGAGAAGGCTGAGAGAAGCGCTCACAGAGGACAAAATAAGCTGCGCATCTAGGCCCTGTGATTTCCCTGCGCTAACAGAGAATGAAACCGACTGGGTATTTGTGTCCCCCCATAGCAATCTGCATGAGGCGACAAAAGAGTTTGATGCTATTATTGCAGGTTCTCCTTACCTTACGCTACTAGGTACGCAAATCCCCCAGGCTAATACCACGGATGTCTGTTCCGTAGCGCATCGGCCAGCGGGAGAAAAGCCGGACGTTCATTTATCTTTTTGATCCTTGCATGGAATGGAATCCTGCTTCTATACAGAAAAAGAAGCAAGAAGTCACATCTCCTGTGCATACGGTGTTTGTTCGGCATTTTGACTCATCTCCTTTTTTTCCCTTCTCTCTTTTGACGTGGAACGAATCCTTCCGCCAGCCAAGAGAGAGCCCTAGACACAAGGTTAAGCCGAGAAAGGTGCTTCCATACCATTTGTAGCGAGCAAAGTTCTGGGTTCATGTTTTCATCTTGCTGCGCTTGTATTGGCGAAAACAGAGCAGAATCCTCCCTCCCCTCTCTCTTCTCTTTCGCACCCCCTCCCCCCTTGCATTTTGCAAAATCCGTAACCACCCCCCTCCTTTCAAAATCCGGCGCTTGTCCGTATTGAAGATGTGCCCAGCATGGGGGGGATCCTTTGTCTTGTCCAGTGTGCATTTGTGTGTAACGATTGCGGAAGTAGTTCGCACTGGGTAATACGAAGATAGGAAGGTGGATGTACAGACACTCCCCCCTTCTTCTTTTTTGGTGTCTGGGGAGGGGTACAGTACAGGCGTGTGGGAGTTTGTTTGTATCTTCTTTTTTTGCATTTTCAATGGTGAGGGTGCAGGGTTTATTAGTATCATTGTTTTTCTGTTTATTATTCTCGATATTTGTAATTTATTTTTCTATTTTTTGCTTGCATTTATGGCGTGTATTTATTTCTCTTTATTTCATTGAACAGCCTGCCATGCTGTGGTTGTGGGTTGGGAGGGGTGTGCGGACAGGGACCTCTTGTACTGTACCCTCTCACTGTAGGTGGACTGCTAATAGCCGACAACCGCCAGGCGCTGGAGGTTACTAGGGGTTTGATGGCAACGCTATGTATCAGCACCCTTTGAAGCTGAGAGAGATGAAAGCATACCGCAGAAGGATTCATTGCTATTAATGCATGAATGAGAATAATTAATTGGCAAAGCTGTCTCTTTATGCTAACTGATTGCACATATTGTTATGGTGTAAGTGGTTAATGCTGTAGGCGCATAGTAGAGGCATCTCGTCTGTGCAACACAAGACGTTATCCTATCAACGTTGAACGTCAGTATTATTTGAGCTTTAAGCACAACAAATTACACACAATGCTTAACTTTACTCTTTCCCCTCTTCAATACCAATATGTAAGGTACTTTCGTATTTTTCCAAGTCTGTAACACGAGAAATGGCTTGAATGATTAAGTCTCCGCGTATGTCCCCGTCGAGTCTAAGTCTGCTACCATCACGGCTACGAGCAGCAATCCCCCAAAAACTCTTTCCCTTTTTTTGCCACTTTAGGAAATGAGCAAACGCAGAAATGCATGTGGCTGTCTCCCTGAGGGGGGTCAACAAACGGACAATTGCCGTCCAGTTGGTCATCTGACAGTCCCCCATTCCTTCTCGGCACCCTGCTTGCTTTGCTTCCCAGGATTCCCTCCTCCTCAGATATACGAGGCAACTACCTAGGTACTATCCGGTACACAAGAGGGCTGTGTGCATTATCTTGCTTTTGCCGGGGGTAAATGAAGAAAGATCTTGGGGGCACTCGTGGGCTAATCAGATATTCCCCGACGAGAAAGTTACACCGTAGGGGAAATACATCGCGAGATTTGTTGGGGGGGCTGTTGCGTTTATGTGCCGAGTCGGCTTTTTTTTTTCTCTTCCCTTGTGTTACCCTGGCCCTTTGCAAAGGTGCTTCTATTTCCAAACTCGTACGATGTAGCATGCTTGTTTGACAAATAATGATGATCCTCGACACACACACCCCTTTCTTGACTTGGATAATCATCGCGGATCGCCAGGCTTGCTTTTGAAGGAAGCCGCCACAACGCGATATGCAGGTGAGGCGCTGAGTTGACCAACGCGGTGCCTAGATTAGTCTCGTTGCCTCCCCCCTTTCAGCACTACAGAATGAACTTTCCGCTAGTATTTCCACAAGGCTGAGTGGGTAGACTCGAGATGTAATGTTACAATACATGTACGAGTAGCGTTTATGCTGGTCAAACTACGCTGAGGAGGCTTTTCACCTATAGTACGCCTTGAACTTGACAAGATAAAACGGTGTAGACCTATCCGGCACCGTCTTCCCGCCAAACTAGAAGAGAAACGAACCGTTGAGATCCATTCTCGGGCGCACAATCCTGAAATGGGGCCGAGAATCAAGCAAGATCCGTCCTTTGCTAGTCGCCCATTGTCTTTTTTTACACACTCCCCCTACCAGACTTTACTGTAAATGAAGAAGAAGCGATCTAGCACCCACGAGGAGAGCCTTACAAGCTTCAGAGTTGCTCCGAGACCTCCGCTTTTGCCTTTTCAAAGCCCAAGTAATGGCGCTTTCTAGCGGGAGAATCGGTTTGCACGCTAGGGGGGGGGTTGGGGGTTGGGGGATGGGGGATGGGGGAACTTGGTCCGGCCCGGACTAAGAAAGGAGAAAACATACTGTAGCCACTTTCATGGAGGAGAAAACAATCAGGCGGCTTGGAGGGGGGGAAGTCTCTGGTGAACGAGTAGTACGAGTAACTGGCGAAGGCTGAAGGGTGAGCTTATAAGAAAAGAGTTCCTTTCTAGTTTAGTGTTGACAACCTTGTGGCGGCTTCGTTTCGATGAGGCCACGTGGGAATGGGAAAAACGATCAGGGCGGGCGGACGTTTGAGGCGTGGCTTTTTGCGTTAACAAAAGAGAGAACAATTGATACCCTTATTTTCCAGCATCGTCAGCAAGGCTCCATTGATGAGAGAGACATTCATCCATGAGAAGAAAGACGAAGCTGAGAGCTTTCGAGGCTCTCTATTCAACGGCCCCTCCCCCCCTTTGGGGTTTGGAACGGTAGAGGCGTGAGACATTTAGCGGCCACATCTTGCTTCTCCCTTCGGACGAGCTCGACTGTGGTTTTCATTTCCAGGCATCTCCACTGTGAGTGTCGGGGCAAATAACGTCGAACTCGCTCACGAGCTACACCAATGTAAAATCAATAACATGGATTCCAAGTCCTCGAGAATCCCGACTCCCCCGTATCCATTCCCACTTGGAAAACAACAACCCATGACGGCTTCCGTCCCCGGAAGAAGATTAGAAGGACAATTGACGATCTCGGATGTCTCAACAACTCGTACAAAGGCTCGCCAACTCTTGCGATTCGAAAAAGGGCCCTGTGTTTCACTACGAACAGCGCTAGGTCGATACCGGCCCTAAACGCCAGGCTTATTGTCCATCACCCGTCACTTCGCTGCATTGCGGATCCGATTTTAGCCCAATTGCTTTTTTCAATGGTTTGCAATTCGCTTCGAACGGAGCGAACGAGGGCTTGTTATTAGTGGCTTTATTATTATGGATTATTTTTTTCGTGGCTGCAGTAGTATAGTTTGCATGTTGCTCCGTTCCGTTTTACGCTTCGGGGGGCCGGTTCGGTGTAACTGGACGGGGGCAGAAATTAGATTCAAAGTGTGTCGTTGATCAGTTGCAAGGTACAGCAGTGCCGTCCATGACTCGACGACAATGGACCCTTATGCCGTTGCCGTTGCCGCTATCAAAAGATACTTCGGGGAGAGGACCATCCGTGGCGGAGAAAAAGGGGGTGAGATTCAGTACAGTAGTACGAGTACCCCCAAGATTAACCTGACCGTTGATGTACATGGACATGGACATGGACATGCTTCGGAGTGAGAAAGAACGGAAAAGCCTCTAACTAAGCCCTTTCTCTTCCCCACAAGATGATCACCAAACCCCCATAAAACAAGGGGAGCTGTCAAAAAAGCCAACAACGTGCTTCAACGTCTGTCACCGGCCAAGCTTGATTGCACGGCGTAAGAGTCTAGGCGCTTGACAGAAACGGTGTTGGAAGCCGGAGTACGATGCTCAGATGCAACGTCCGAATCTGGAAAGCTTTGCTGCTTGCATGATCCATCACCGTTCAGTTCTAGTCGATCCGAAAGGTTGCGGCTTGTCCGATATTCTCTCTCTGTCTCTGTCTCTCTGCGCGCAGCATCTACTGCACCTTTAGCACACAGGGCTGCATGACAATAACAACACAATACAAGTTGTCTGCGCAAATCCACTCTGCGGGTCATGTATCCCCTTCAGCCATACGGGATTGAAGCCATCTGTAAATGCTGTACAGAGTCTAGCCCTTCGCCTGGCAAGCAAAAGAGTAAAAGAGCCGAGTCGAGTCGAGGGTGTGCGTTGGCAGGCGACGCGGCAGCCCGGGATCTGGGCGTGGGCGCCACGAGCGTCTGGTGCGAATCACACAATCTCTCGTTTCTTTTCTTTTCTCGTCTTTTTTTATTTAACCCCCAAGTCGTTCTCCACCACCCTTTCGAGAAGGCTACATGGCCTATCAGCCATGTGATCTGGAGACGCCCGAATGTCGTTCGTCTCGCCAGATCCACACCCTGAACAAGAGACATCGGCGATTGCCAAAGAGGGAGAATTTTGTATGAACCACAATGGATGGACGGGTGTGTGTGTGTCGCAATTCATCGAGGTAGGGGAGGGGGCTTGCTCCGGACACACACAAGGCCAAGGACAACGTATGGAGTATCGGTAGTAGTACCACCCCTGGATGATCATGGAAGAGAAAAAAAATAAATGAAAAAAATCAACCAAAGACGACGATATCCGTAGGCGAGCGGAACGTGTCCGTTGGCGGGTTCATACTCGATCGGTCGACGTACAGATACAGATCCATCCCTCTTCGGCAGGGCCAGGCAGGCATCCGATCCCTTGTTGCGAATTGAAGCTTGTCGCGGAAGACGAAAAACTGGCGCCTCTTTCTGCGGGCAAGGGGTCTAGCCTTGCCATGCCATGCCATCATTTCACCGTCCTAGCCTGAGTCGGGGATAGATGGCGATGCTTTGGACTTGGACGAGTACCTATTCGTGCGTGGATGATCAGCCTTTCCGACCCCCCTCCCCCTTGCTGGCGCCCCATTGTGAGATGAGACTTGATCCCCTGACGGCTTTTCAACTAGCCAAGGGAACACAAGAGGATCCAAAGTACTCACAGTACGGATCTCAAACGTCGTGGACTGTGAGCGCTAATCTCGACTCCGGGGGTTCGAGAGGGACCTTGTTCAGATTGGGCTCTTCGCGCCGGCCACGGGCACAAGACAGCGCCAGCCAGCAAGCCAGAAAAGCAACAGCGATGGCGCGAACAATTTGACCGGCTGTCCTAGTGTGAGATGCTAGCACCAAAGATAATCTCCTAGTCCAGAGCCGTGCCACGGAAGAATGCGTGGAAGCCTTTTGGATTTGCTGCGAGCTAGGGCTAACGGGGAGAGGCATCCGGCGGGATAGTGGTTATTAGACCTGTACGATACTGTACCAAGCCAGGTTGCTCAATGTGATGTGCGAAACAAGTCCGTTTTGCGGAGTGCCAAGATGGCTTACTGCTGTATTTTGCGAAGAAGGGACATGGAGTGATGCGGTGATGCGAGAAACGGCTTACAGTAGTCGATACAGGAATGGATCAGAAACGCGCAAGTATCCACCAGCTGGCTCAACCAACACCTTTTACTGCAGGACTCTCTTCCTCTGTCTCTCTCGCTTTTCCTCGCTTCTTGTTGGAAAGGGCCCCTAAAGGCAAACTGAAAGGCGGAGTCGGCAGCGCCTGGAGATGGATCTCGGATGGGCAGTGTTGCGCATCGCCAGGCCCGTTATCGCGACCCGATTCACATAGATTCCACCAATCCATCCAAATAGAAAGCGAACCTGAATCAGCAGAATATCAGCCTTCCAGAAGCTGATGCTGACAGATTTAGCCCTATTCCATACATTGACATGCCGTAGCATCTACCGTACCTGGCCATTCCATTTGACCACCCATCCCCATGCAGGCACAAATGGCAGCCGGAGTGAGCCTCGCTCTTCGGACGAACCACCAAACGCCCCCCTCGGCAGCGCCCCAAATCCCAGAAGCCTCGTGGGCAATAAACCGACCGAAGTCCGCGTGGATATTTTGCCTTGGCCCTTGAAAGTCTCCATTGTACGAGCAGCACTCATTAACCCGGACAAAATACATGGGCTTTTTTTCTTTGTTCTATTTCCTAGCGCAGTGGGGATGGGAGGCCGGGGAGATGGCGGATTTGCAGTTCGTGACCAGGGGGTGGGAGATGCGGAAACGAAAAGCCTCACAGGGTCCGGGCTCGAATTAGCGCCGAGGAGAAAGGAAAAAAATTGGTGTTTTTTTGCCATGATTCTCTCAGCTGTGGGGGGACACGGAACGTACGTATCGCTACTCTTGTTGCTGGCCATGCATGTCCTGCTTGATACGCTCTACTTGGAGCAAGGCCGTGTGGGCTGGGCTTAGCTTGAGAGGAATGGGCTCGCTAGCAAGGTGATTCAAGGGAGTACAGCACATACAACTCTCGTAAGGATTCATCTGCTGTGCTGCGCTGATCTGAGCTGTGCTATAGACACACCTGTGGCATCATGGATGGGCAAGTCTCGATGCTAGAAGCAGAGCTCTGATCCCTGCTTGCTCGTCTGCTCTCGCAAGCTCGAGTAAGATTTTGGCCAGATCCCACGCAGTTTCTGGGCAAATTTGCCTGCCAATGTACTCGTACATGTCGTCTACGGATATCTACGTGCTGATACGAAATACGTTGTTGCTCTCGGACATCCAATGGAGATACACCGCGTGTTATTCGACTTTGTTGCAACCAACACTCGCAATCATGAGACGATACAACATCCAATGGGACATTTGTTCAGCGCGGCTATCGTCGTGAGGCCACTGGCGAGACCTTTCACAGCTCCTCCATGCCGCAGACGCTGTGTGTGCTGGCGCAGAAATAGACGCCCGTGGATGGCTGGGCTTAGCGCTCGTGTTACACACTCTTGAGATGATCCTCCAGGTTCCAGTTTCACACTCCCCGTTTTGCGAGCAGGGCTCTGATCCCTGCCTGTAGGCGTGCGATTTGGCCCTGTTGGTCATGCTTCATCAATCCTTTGCAGGCATCGAGGTTCCATATCTATCTGGAGAAAGTTGCCCAGCGGAAATGCCGAATACAGCATTTACACCAAGAACCGGGTACAGGCACCACGGCCTGGGGATAGTACTGTAGATCCGCAGCTGTTGGATCAATGCCGTCCAATCCGCCTCGCTGTAATCGAACGGAGTTCACTACCTGATAGTCATTGTACTCCGTAGGAATATAATACGGAAACAGAAACCGGCTTGCGAATATGCGTAGCGATAGACGCGCTGGGGGGGCGTGGACAATACCACCTCAGTTATCATGGAGCGAGCTGTAGCGATCCTCTATCTCTCGCTAGATGACTCAATGCTATATTGCCTCGAATCTCGCCAAAGGATCGTCTACGTCTAGTTAATGTAGTATCCCCGTCGGCTGATATATCATTTCGGGGAGATAACACCGGGAAGACATGCCGATGATTGTTCTTGAAGCTCGCATGAGATTGTTGACATCAAGACAGAAACGAAGCATCTACAGCGGAGATTTGGTAAGCAGCCTTACTGTGCTGTCCGAGTACGGATGAGATGCACTAGCCACACTTTCGCACTAGCCACGATTTGTCTCGTCCAACTTCCAAACAGCCCGATTCGCTGTGGCGCTGCGCAAAGATGACAGACAGCACATGGCGATCAAAGCCAGTCGACGACGGCGTTTGACGACGACTGCCAGAGAGCAAAATCCGCGAGTCCGTGCGAGCCGTCTAGTCTAGGGGCTCCTCCGCCGTGAGCAGCTCCATGCTGCCGCCTCTCTCCATCGCCTCTCTCCCCCAATGAGTCGCCTGGCACGTGCCAGCCTTCTCCGAACGGTTCTGCGGCCGCCTCACCAGCTCCCGAAACGCGGACACGGCCCGACATGATGCTGCCGATGGTCGCATTGCTATGGCTGGGCTGCTCGCTGCTGTGGCCGGTCGGCGCCATGCGCTCGGACTATCTGGCCCAGCTGCGGCAGGACACGGTGGACATGTTCTATCACGGGTATAGCAGCTATATGGAGCATGCCTTTCCCGAGGACGAGGTGGGTTATTTGTCATCAGACGTCGTGTACATATAGTAGAAAGGTAGCTGACCAGTATGCTTTTGTAAATGTATCTAGCTACGTCCAATATCGTGTGCTCCTCTGACGCGAGATCGAGATAATCCCGGGCGAATCAGCTTGAACGACGCTCTTGGCAACTACTCCTTGACTCTGATAGACAGCCTATCCACGCTTGCGATTCTGGCTGGTGGTCCGCAGGATGGCTCATACACTGGACCACAGGCTCTGAGCGACTTTCAAGATGGTGTGGCCGAGTTTGTGCGCCACTACGGAGATGGCAGAGGAGGACCTTCAGGTGCTGGGATACGTGCTAGAGGCTTCGACCTAGACAGCAAAGTGCAGGTGTTTGAGACTGTCATCCGTGGCGTAGGTGGGCTTTTGAGCGCACACTTGTTTGCCATCGGAGAGCTACCCATTACTGGGTACAACCCGAAGCCAGAGGGAATCGCAGGCGATGACCCCTTGGAGCTGCCTCCTATCTCGTGGCCGAACGGATTAAAGTACGACGGCCAGCTGCTAAGACTTGCCCTCGATCTTTCCGAACGACTGCTTCCTGCTTTTTATACCCCAACCGGTATCCCATATCCTCGGGTCAATCTCCGCAGCGGCATCCCCTTTTACGTCAACTCTCCTCTCAACCAAAACCTGGCGGAGGCAATGGAGGAGCAAAGCGGCCGTCCAGAGATTACCGAGACCTGTAGTGCTGGGGCTGGGAGCCTGGTACTTGAATTTACCGTCTTGAGTAGACTCACGGGGGACCCTAGGTTCGAACAAGCTGCCAAACGAGCCTTCTGGGAAGTCTGGCATCGCAGGAGCGAAATCGGCCTGATCGGTAACGGCATCGACGCCGAACGAGGGCTGTGGATTGGTCCTCATGCGGGCATTGGCGCAGGCATGGATAGCTTCTTTGAATATGCGCTCAAGAGTCACATCCTTCTCTCTGGCCTTGGCATGCCCAATGCTTCCACGTCTCGCAAACATAGTACGACCAGCTGGCTGGATCCAAACTCCCTTCACCCCCCTCTGCCGGCTGAGATGCACACGTCAGATGCCTTCCTCCAAGCATGGCATCAAGCTCACGCGTCGGTCAAGCGGTACTTGTACACCGACAGGAGCCATTTTCCCTATTATTCAAACAATCATCGTGCAACGGGTCAGCCATACGCTATGTGGATCGATAGTCTGGGTGCTTTCTATCCGGGGCTTCTAGCTTTGGCTGGTGAAGTCGAGGAGGCTATTGAAGCCAACCTTGTCTACACGGCCCTGTGGACGCGATATTCTGCATTACCTGAGCGCTGGTCAGTTCGCGAGGGTAATGTTGAGGCAGGCATCGGCTGGTGGCCCGGAAGACCCGAGTTTATCGAGTCCACATACCACATTTACCGTGCTACTAGAGATCCTTGGTACCTTCATGTCGGCGAGATGGTTCTCCGCGACATCATGCGTCGGTGCTACGCTGAATGCGGCTGGGCTGGGCTTCAGGATGTTCAGACGGGCGAGAAGCAAGACCGCATGGAGAGCTTCTTTTTGGGAGAAACGGCAAAGTACATGTACTTGCTATTTGATCCAGATCACCCGTTAAACAACATGGATGCCGCCTATGTCTTTACCACAGAAGGCCATCCGCTTATTATACCAAAAAGCAAGCGAGGGAGTCCTAACCGAGAAAATGCTCGCAAAGCGAAGAAGAGCAAAGACGTCGCAGTCTACACCTATTATGATGAAACTTTTACAAACTCTTGCCCTGCGCCAGCAGCACCTCTGGAGCACCATCTGATGAGTTCAGCCACCGCAGCCAGGCCAGACTTATTTGCCGTCTCTCGGTTCACAGATTTATATAGGACGCCCAACGTGCATGGCCCTCTCGAGTTGGTTGAGATGCGTGACAAGAAGAAAGGGCGAGTGGTCGGATACAGGGCCACTTCGAACCACACCATCTTTCCGTGGACTCTTCCACCGAGCATGTTGCCCGAGAACGGAACATGCGTTGCTCCTCCCGAGCGTATCATATCGCTGATAGAGTTTCCGGCCAACGATCTTACCAGCGGTATAGCATCGCGGTTCGGCACGCACCTTTCGTGGCAGACGCATTTAGGACCGACGGTCAACATGCTGGAAGGATTGAGACTCCAGCTCGAGCAAGTGTTGGACCAGACCTCAGGAGATTACAAGTGGAGGATCACGCACATTGGCAATACTCAGCTGGGCCGCTATGAAACCGTCTTCTTTCACGCCGAACACATTAAGCATCTCAAGGACGAGGTGTTTTCCTGCAGGAGAAGGAAAGACGCGGTGGAGATTGAGCTCCTCGTGGACAACCCAGAAATTAGCAACAGCACGCTTGACTCGTTCGAAGAACTACTCGACGAAGAGATGGATGACATGATGGACAACGACACGATCAACGCCGAAAACCTGGCCTCAAACTCGTTGTTTCAATCTCTGCTCCGCGCCGTGTCCTCCGTCTTTGAACCCGTCTACACAGCCATCCCGGCGTCAGACGCCAGCGAGGCCACCGCTAAGATATACAGCTACGACGCATACACATCGACTGGCCCCGGCGCGTATCCCATGCCGTCCATCCCGGACACTCCCATCACCGGCAACCCGTTTTACAATGCAAAATACCCGGCGTTCAACTTCCCCTGGTCGACCGTCTATCTCGCAGATCAGGCTTGTGACGGACCGCTCCCTGCTGCCGCACCGCGTGAGCATCAGGTTATCGTCATGCGCCGCGGAGGCTGCTCTTTCAGCCGCAAGCTGGACAACATTCCCAGCTTCTCGCCCCACGAGAAGTCGTTGCAGCTAGTCATCATCCTCGACGAGCCGCCTACGGACGCGGATAACGCCGATGAAGACGACGACGGCGTAGTCCGCGATAGGGGAGACCTCCCTCGGCCGCTGCTCGACAGGGAGCAGACCACGCCAAAGGGGATGAAGCGCCTACACGGCATCCCCATGGTCCTCATGAGGGCCGACCAGGGCGATTACGAGCGCTTTGGCAGGGCTATGGGCGTGGGCATGAGGAGAAAGTATCGGGTCGAGAGCCAGGGGCTCGTTGTGGAGAATGCCGCCGTCTTGTAGGGTGGCATTTAGGATATACAATACATGACTTGTTTATATATATATAAGGAACAATTAGTTACATATCACACGCATATAGTATCAGCATTTTTGCATAGATGGGTACGAGCGTTGCAGAGAATGGACTCGAAGAGGAGGAGTTTGCGGAGTTTGTTATCTGGAAAATAGGGTAACCTTGAACAAATTAGATAGAATATGTTAACGACATGATGAAGAAAGATACTTGACCATGTTCGTGACCTTGACCATACCTAAATCAAGAGTAAAAATCTCTGAAGAACTGTGGTGTAGGTGTAGTGAAGAGTTAAACTACTGTATCTACTATTAATGAGAATAAAGAACTTCTCAATAATATAAATGTTCATCCAAACCCGTTCTAATCTTTATCTTTTTGATGTCGTGAAATCAAGCATCAACGTACTAGCACCAGTCAAGAAGCGTCACAGGTAAATGCAACTACCGACATCATTATGCGTACCGGCTCGGAGCCATGTGGGAGCACCTCATTACACGTAAAATAAAAAGCAAAGAGATGAGTTTCATTGCACAAAGTCCCTAGCCGTGATTATTAAATATGCCCACCTTGATCCCAACAATTTTCCATCCCAACGTCTTTTTTTTCTTCTCTCCGTAAACCCACTCTCGTCCTCGTCATCGTCGAAGATTCGTTTCCTTTGGTTTCCCCTCCGTAAAATCCTTGGCAAGCGCAAGGTGGTCTATGTCATATGTATATATAAAACGTATAAGTAGGAATGAGGACAGAGCACGTCATCCAGTCGCCATTCCCGATGAGAGAAGAAACGCTTTCCATAGTCTATTGGTTTTTTGTTTGTAATTTGCAAAAGAAACCCCCATATTGGAAAAAAAGAAAAAAATATAAGAAAAACGGTAAGGAGATATATAAGATGATGTTTAGGAAAAAAAGTTTCAATAAGATCCAAGCAAACAACTTTTGATGTATATAAAAAGCGTGCCGATGATGAGGACTACAGGAGTCAGAATCACAGCCCCCCCAGCATGAGAAGAATCGTCCGTCGTTGCGCCTCGAGTCGATGTGGGGAAAAGCGCATCGAGAAGATGAGAATGTTTCGTCCGAGGAGAATGCTTCTAGTCGACGAGGGCTAGTGGTGTTGAGAAAATTGCTTTCCAATCATGTCGTCTGATGTGGGATGAGTGGCGCCGCTTATGGAGAGAATAGGACATGAGGGCTTTTTCTCGAGAAGGATTTATGGGTTCTCAATGAGGATAGTAGTAGGAGCGCTGAGCTTCTCGCGGCCGTTGAGGCCAGGAATCTCGAGAATGAAAAGGTAACCAATGACCTGACCCTTGAGCTGGTGAACAAGATCCGCTGCCGCTGCCGCCGAGCCACCTGTGTGCGAGTTAGCATCTTGATATCTGCGGGAGATGTGCCGAGGGAGGTAAAGGATTGGCGATGGGCGCACAATGCGTGCCAATGGGTTCATGAGATGTGGAATCGTGCAATGTGATCATGGATAGGATAGGATCGCAGGTGGAATCATAAATGCAACTTACCCGTCGCAATGATATCGTCAACAATCAACACCTTCTGCCCCTCCTTGATGGCGTCCTGCTGCATCTGGAACAGGTCCTTGCCGTACTCCTTGATATACTCGGCAGTGACGCAAGGGCCGGGCAGCTTGCCCTGCTTTCTCACAGCGGCAAAGGGAACACCGAGGCGCAGAGCCAGACCAGGGCCGAAGAGGAAGCCACGGGCGTCGAGGCCGACAATGACATCGGGCTTGCTGTCGCCAAAGGACTGGGAGATTTGCAGCTCGAGGGCCGACAGCAGGGTGGCATGGGCATCCGGGTTGGCGAAGAGGGGCATGATGTCGACGAAGTCAATCCCCGGGATGGGGAAGTCGGGGAACTCGCGCAGCGTCTTGCGCAGGCTTATCTGTGCACTGGCGAGTTGGGCGGCGGCGGAGGAGGCGGCGGAGGGCTGTCGTCCCGAGGCATCTTGGCTGTTGGAGGAGGAGGTGGTGATGTCCTGAGGCTCAGTGGAGGCGGACATGGTGAGGAGAAGGGAAAAAAAGAAGAAGAGAGGAGAAAGAAAGAAGAAGAGGAAAAGAGGAGGTGAGAGAGAGTCAGAGGAGGTTAGGCAGACAGGATGCAGACAGCAATAGGAGCAGACTTCTGGGGTGGTGTGAATTTTTTTGTTTTGGGGTGGCAGGATAAGCCGAGATAGCACGAAACGGGAATTGATTTTTTTTTTCTTTCTTTTTTTTTCGTCTACAGTAAGTACAGTATGGCGGGCAGCGCCGTGAACAGCGCGCGCAAAAAAGGAGGGGTGGTGTGTACTTTTTTTTTTTTTTTTTTGCCCTTTCCTTTCCTCTTTCTGGTGCTTGTGTCTCTCCTTCCTCCAGCATTTTTTGGTGGGGAAAACAAGTACAGTCCATGCAAAAAATACACAAAAATTCATTCACAGCTGGCAAGAGCAAAGCCCAGCGCAGATGGAGGGGGTGCACACAGCAACAGCACAGCAGCAGAGGGGAAGGTACGATACGATACGATGCAGTGGTTACTGCAGCTTGTGTATCAGAAACATCGAGCTACGGCTGCACCTGCTCCGTACCTTAGTCCAGATTACCCCGTCGGTACCTGCTCCATGCAAGCAAAAGCAATTGCCCATCAAGTCTCGGGCCGGTAGCCAAGCGCTGGGAGATGCCTGTCGCCTCCGAGAAAATATGGAGTACCGAGTACATTCGCTCAAAGCTCGGAGGAGCAACGTGGCCGTCACAAGCAAATGGAAATTGCCAAACAAGTTTCTCCCATGCTACTATAGGTTCTCGGTACGAGTAGGTTTGATGCTACTGTATCCGTACTCGTACCACGACCAGCTACAGCTACACCTATCCAGGTACCCGTTGGGCATGAGACGGTACCTGCTCTGGGCCGTTGTGGTGCACAAGTACATCCCCAACGCCGCAAGCTACCTACAAGCAAACCAACAGCCAATTTTCCCCAACTACTGCAAATGGACCGCCGGGCCGCCGCTCAGCTTCCAAGTCCCGTCAACTGTCGGTGTGTTTGCTTCGCTTTGCTGGGCTGGGCTGGAGCTTCAGTTTCATGTCCCTTTTGGCTCGCTGCTACTGCTAGCACTGACTGGCTCAGCCGCCCGGATAAAATCACTCAGGTTCCATCTGGGAACCAAGCATCGGGACTACTGTACGCACTCCTCCCCAAGCTGGCAAAGGCTGCGTGCGCGATAATCATCCTAGCACCTGGTAGCAATACTGTAGCAAGCAGTTCAGTCCATCGACCTGCTATACCGGGCATTGCCATGGATTGCCAGGTACCTGTGGTGCTGTGCTGTGCTGTGCTATGCTGTACTCGGTACCGTCGCGACAAAGATGAGGCTGGTCAGTCACTGCCGAGCCGGGCCGTTTTTTGTTGCAGCCCGATATGATGCTGGCGAGGATGAGCATCAATGCCCGGGACCTCCGTAAGATTAAGGTGGTAAGCCATGTTATGCTAATGCTATGCCATGCCATGCCATGCCATGCTTTGCTGTGACACTAGAGCAAGTTCCATATCTATGAGTATGCTACTGTACGAGCACAGCAGATGTGCTGGATGATGATAGTACTGCAATCCCGAGGCACGGAAAAGTCCAGTCCCATCTTTATCTTGCAGTATCTACCTATCTATCTCTCTACACCTACAGTATCTATCTGTATTATGGACCAGACAGACCATCAGGTCCTAGATCCGTCCAAGCACACGGCCGCTATTCCGATCCATCGCCCTCGCAGGCAAGCAAAGCAGCAAATGGCGGGCCAAGACGCCGCCCAGGCGTGAGATTCATTGGCCGCAGAGGCACCGCGCGAATGATATGCATGTACTCTGTATTACACCTTGCCTTGGAGCCCCATCGGCCGCTGCGTTAGCATGTAGCGAAAGACTGCTTTTCCTTTTGATCGATGGCTAGTAGAAAGAGTCTCTGCGTTTACCGTTTTCCACCTCGCTTCGCCCCTTGTTCCGCCCTGTTTCGCCCTGTGTCAACTTGCTTGTCTTGTCGCCGTATTATTATAAGTGATGATTGCTGGAGCAAGTGGGTGTGTTATGTAAGTATCTACTACTTGTGAATGAGCCCGAGCACAAAGCGACATGTCATGGTCTGGGTGGCTCCGTCCTCGGTTCATTCGTCACTCTTCTCTCATCCATCTCTTTCTTGGTGCATTGTATTCACCGTCTCATCAGCCGTGTGTCGGTCTGGAACTGGGCATTAGAGCTCTGTGCTGGCTGCAGCTCGCAAACACACACGCACATACTCACACACACACCTTTTCCTTCGCCGTCGCCGCGTCCAATATCAAGATAAGGCTGGCACATGTTGCGCAAAGCTTACCCACCTCCACAAACGCATCCGTGTCACCATCTTCCCGTCTCCCCGATGTGGCTTGTTCTCACAGGTTCGTGCTCCGTAGAAACATGGACAACAGCGACTGGCTATTGGCAACAAAGTTAGAACTTAAAGGCCCAGCGTCCGTCCTCCTTGTTCCCGTCCTCCGTTTTCCCACCCCTCCTTTTGTGGCACGTTCCTGTCGTAACCGTCGTACGCCTATTACACAATCGATGGCGTGAGGACCCCATGCCGTGCCTATTAGTGCTCCGGCCTTTTTTGTTCTTGGGTGCGACCGTGCCATGCTGGCCTTTTTGCTTTCTTTCTGGCGGCTATATGCTGTACTTGCATTCCTACTCGTATACTGAGAGAGAATGAATTATTATTACAGCATCAATGGTATAGTAGGTGCATGTCTCTGGGGAATCAGATCAAGCCGGAGCCTATGAGTCAACGCCCAGCTGCATTCGAAATGCAACCAGCCACGCCAAGGCCATGCTATTCTCCCTATACCAGACGCCCATTCGTCCATTCTCCATCCATCCCTCCATCCATCCAATTGATACTTTGCTCCTTGTGCTTTATACTTGCCAAGGTCCGCGTACCTCTCAAGTTCAACACAAAATCACAACTTCAGCACAGCCCACACAAGCGGTCCTGTTATAAATACCCATTCATACCTAGCTGCCTGTTCTCAGCATTGTGGAATCATCTCTCTGCAGCCTAAAAGCAAACCGTCTCATCTTACATTACATGGCCGTGTTTTACTCCATTCTTCCCCAACCCCAACACCCCGCCAGCGTTCTATCAGCGCCACAGCGCATTAGCCTCATCACCTCATTGCTCACTGGTCTGCAAACATCGCGCAAGGCGGTGAATTTTTCATCTCGGGAATTGACATTATATAATAGCATGTAGGCTAAGTAAGATTCATACATCAAGTGCCGAGGAAATCCATTTCCTTCCCCTTTCGTCTATGTAGGTTACAACATATTGATCGTAAAGACCAACTCGGAGCTCTTCATCAATATTCCTTATCGATAAGACATTATGTAATCAATCCTGCCGGGAAGGGAAATTTTGCTCCTCTCCCAAACCTCAAATCCCATCTCCAAAGCTGTGACGACATACAAAGCCCGAACAGCAATATCAAACCACCTCATTATCCACCTCCAAGCACCAAGGAACGAACCCTCACCCCATATTCTACCTCTCCTTTTTCAAAACAAAACACGAAAATAAAAAACAACCATGTCTTTCCTCGGAATCGGTCGTCCCCAGCCCACCTCAGAGCAAAAGATTGCTGCCGTCGAGGGCGAGATGCGCATGATGGCTGATACCTACAACCGGTAAAACTCTCTCTCTTCTTTTTTTCTCATGCGAATTGGAGAAAGAGCATTTACTAAATGTATCAAAAACGCAGCCTGCAAAAGACTTGCCAGAAAAAGTGCGTCCCCACCGACTACCGCGAGGGCGAGCTCAACAAGGGCGAGTCCGTCTGCCTCGACCGCTGCACCGCAAAGTTCCTCGACACGTCCATGAAGATTAGCGAAATCATGCAGCAGCAGGGCCAGGCCATGGGCGCGGGAGGACCTCAGGGCGGACTGTTCTAAAAAAGGGACAGTCCCCCAGTGTAAAGCTATAGAATACTCAAAAAAGGAAAACACAAGAAAGAGGGAGATCAATTGATATCGAACAATGTCTTCTTCCTGGCCGTGAAACATGGATGTCATGGGAATTTTTGTACGATTATATGGGGAGTTAGTTGCCTGAGTTTTAAAGGGGGGCATTGATGATATGATGGGATCATGGATATACATATGTCATGTCAAAGATGTATAAAGCTATCAAAGACTATACTGAGTGCTGTCCAGGGGGGCAGCTTCGTCATCGTGACGAGTCAACAAAACATCTCCTCTGCGAAAATGGTATCTATCCTCTTGCAAGAAAGACAATAAAGCGAAAAAGAGACATGGAAATGAGTAAAACGCCAATGTTCCATGTATGCCGTATGAATGTAATGATTTTCCAACTCCAGCCCAATTTTCCAGCAAACGATGATTAAGAATGATATAAGAACCAAGGAGTTCGAAGAAAAAGAAACACAACAACAAAGGAGCGAGAGAATAACACTCCAATACACAATATATATACTTGCATCATGATACAGACCTGGTGATATGGGGCCCGGTCCCCACGCCGGTCAAGGTTCTCACAAACCAATGCAGCCAGCTTTCCGTCTCGAGCTGCTTTCTCAGTTCGTCCGCTCGTCTTTCGACGTCTTCAACCTGTCTCTCAAAGTTTTGGATGCCGTCTTCCACGTCGTTGATTTTCTGCACCAAAGCGTTGATCTCGTAATCGAGGCGTGCCGTAAGAATTTCAATCTCCTTGACGCTCTCCGTCAGGCTTGCACGTTCTTCCGCTAGCATTTCGTCCGAATTGTACTTTACTCGATGATAGATCTCGCTGAGTTGATGGTGCAGATTCTGTATCTCCGCCTTGTCTCTGCTATATTTGTCGTCAAGCAGTTGGACGAACTTGATCTTGTCGTTGACCCAGGGTTCGATGCCATATACAATGTTATCAATGTATTGAGCGAGATGACGAGCGTGCACAGCTCGGGCTTCAGCCTCATCTTCATCATCTGTCTCGTCCATTAAGTCGACGAGTTCATCCCAAGACAAGACAGCCTCTTCAGCATCGCCAAACGACATTCGACGTGCCCACCTATTCTCATCGAGTACTCTCCTTGAGCATAGCTCTGCCACATCACAACTGCGGCGTCTTGATAGTGCCAGCTGCCGTAAATCTGATCTTTCCCTAATACCAGGACAGATGATTTCGATATCGCTCTCATCACCGATTGATGGTACGGCCGAGGCGGTCCGGCGGTGCGAGTACTGGTACATGTCCGGACCGAGATTTTCCAACGACCTATCCGATTCTCTTGGTTTCCTCTCATATTCGAGCAGCCTCGAAGCTTTCAAGTCCGCCGTTGACGAGGGCGAAGACACCGCCACAAGTCCAGGCAAAGCGTCAGGGTCTCCCCTCTTGATAGCAGAGAGATATTCTTCCGGCTTCGTCTTCCAAGTAAAGGCTCGGCTAACCACAGCGGCAGGGCTCGGCGGAATGCTAAGAGTCTGATAGTTGGCAGATCCGTTTCCGTTTTCCAAGACATCCTCCTTAGTTGAGATGGACAGCCGCGTTCCATGGCCTCGTCCCCTAGCACCAACCACATCTTTAAAACGCCCAAAGCCTGATCGAGCATCGCTCATTTTCCCGGCAACGCTCTTGAACACAGTTTTGTGTAGCGCGTCTCTTTCTCCTGGGCCCTCCAGCATGCTCATAGTTGGTCGAAGAGTAGTCCCAACATCTGGAGAAAGCAGCTCATCTTTCCGCTTCATTTCCAACTCATCCTCCACTGGTAAGGAGTGCGTTCGTTTTCCGGGCTGGCTGCTTGCTTCCGTCTTTGGTAGCGGCGGAACTACATCTTGATCTTGGTCATGATGTTCAAGAGGTGTCCGGCGCGGTTTGCCATGCCAAAGCCACTTTGGCCTTTCGCCATATGCCAAGCTGGCAAATTTGACAATGTCCACGGTTTCAATATCGGCAAGACCACCCTTGTCTTTTCCAGACACCATGTCGATAACAATCTCTCCCCTTTTACCTCCAATTTCTGTAACCGTCGACTTGATGGCCTTTTGCACACCCCAGTCTTCTTTGACCGCCGCTTTCGTGGTTGCCGTGTGCAATTTGAAGAGTGTTTGCTGGTCTAATCGCCGTGTCCTTTCGAGCTTCAGGGCCTTTTGAAAGTAGGAAATGCCCCGTTTGGTGCTCTCGAGATCAAAGACGTCCTTTGTTACAGGAGCACCTTGGGAATGCAGCCGGTTCCTCGCGCCCAATAGCATCCCTAACAGAGCTGCAACTGTCGATGGCCCTAAAATCCCATCTGTCGGTTCATAGTTGTAGTGTTCAGCCCCAACCTCGGTCCACCAGTTGCTAATCGCCTTCTCCGTGACATCGCAAAGCAGACCGTCGATGTATGCGTGATCCAACTTGTCGAACATGAACAAGGCCACCTGGCAAAGCTTGATGAGTTCCACCACCGACTGATTGAATGGGATTCGATCACTGGTTCTGTACAGCTGCTGGAATTTGGACTGCGTCGCTTCGGTGGGTTCCGTAAGCGTGAGACCAGATCGCCCTGAACATCCCAGCCGTTTCAAATCTTCATTCACAATAAACAAGTGACGGTGCTTCCGAAGATCTCCATCAGGCACTGCGATGACGGTGAGCGACGAAGGGAAACTGCTGAGGTTCGTGATCATGAGCTCTCCTAGCTCGGTATTCTTTGGTCGCGCATGGTTTTGCTCCGTCTTCTTTAGGTATAATCGGACTTCTTCGGACAATAGGCTCTCGTCTGCCGGCACCGCCAGCACCCCAACCACGATGGAATCCTTGTCGTTACCGGTGTAGGTCGCTATAACCAGAGTCGGTGGTTTCCTGGAGCAGGCCCACTGCTCGACAAGATACAGGTCGTAGCCGCAGAGGACGCTTCGTCGCTGGACCACTTCCACGCACGGGTCGTTTTCGAGATACCTGGGGTCAAAGACAGTCAGCGGCGCTGCAACATGCAACCTGTAATCCTGGACCCTCGTCGAAACTTACTTGAAAGCGATCGGATCTGGGAAAACCAGGTGTCGCTGCGGCACTGCGGAACTGGACGCCATGGGCCTCGAGTCTACCAGTTGTATCTCAGGGAGCGTCGAGATGCCCTCTGACGGAAGAGGTCGAGTGGTTCGGCGATCCAGCTTGGACGTCCCGGAGAAGTCTTCGTCTCGGTAGACCCTCCCGTCCTGGGAGAAGGACGGCATGAAGGACATTGTGGAGTTGGCCAGCCCCTGGAGGCAAGCTAATCAAGGAGCATCTTTGAAGGCAGCAAGATCCAGAACCAAAACCAGGATCTGGGCCGGGCTGGCGATCCTGGAATTATGGCGCCTGCACGTTCGCTGTGGCTTAGTACGTGTATTCCAGCTGGAAGCGGCATGTGATGTAAGGTGGCAGCGCACTATTAACCACTACTCCAGACTCGAGACCTTGGTGCCTTGATTGATGCATCTTGAAGCTGCAGCTAAAGAGCAGCGGCCTGCTTCCGGCTCCAGAGCGGGGCACGCCTGCTCCTTAACGGGGTTCACCGCTGATCCGAGGCTGCTAGTGAGGCCTCTCAATCATGCTCGTCATTTCGGTTTGTCTGCTCCGTACTGGGTACCTACCAAGAAGTAATATACATGGGATGAGGTGGTGACAGTAACATGAACCATATCAAACTTCATTTTGCATGACCAAAGGGTTGAATCATGACAGCTAGTATTACTACCATCCATTGCAGGTATGTAAAACCTGACACAATGTATGAATCACTACTAGATGCCAATGTAAGGTACCTGGAACCTGTATTATGGAGCACCAACCTGCATAAGGTCGTTGTGCTTATTTGCATAACTCGACAAGGGCATTCCTCCGCTATCCTAATCCTGTGTTGGCTTGGTACCAAGCTATCGATAAGCTTCCGGCGGTACTTAGATGACAACCTCCAACCGACCGCCATCGGTCAACTTGACACTTGACCTAACAAAAGACTTCTTGGAGATCCTGTTTACAGGGCAAACTTTCCCTCGTTCACATCCCGATGACTTAGTTTACGAGCTTAACGAACGACTCCATCCAGTAGAATTCCACATTGCTTCACAATCAAGACATTCTGCGAGTGACCATGGCTGCGTTGGGCGGCGACATTACCTCGCCGTTTGGCCCGCTGCAGGCCGAGCTTTCTCGTATGAGAAGGTCGAATCTTACAGCCGCCATCCAAGATGTTGACAAGATTATCGATTACCTCGTGGCGGCCAGAGAGCAGGTTGCTGCTGGTGTGTGATCCCCTCACTTCACTACAATGACTCTGGGCTGTAGCTAACATGTCTTATCTCGGAAGCGGACGCCGACTCTCATCGAATTAGCATGGCAATGACTACACTTCAAAATCCCGTCAAGGATCGCCTCGATGCCATCACCAATGATCTCAAAGATGTAACAAAGGCACAGCGGAGCTTCGGAAAGGCCCTAGACAAGGTACGCGTCCAAATACATCAACCTCCTACATGGCTTGCATGTAAAATGCTGACTTTAATCGTTTCTCCAAAGGCCCTGCCGCATAGAGAACTACCGATGGAAACAGACGCCATGGCCGATCACGCCGGACTCATAAATCGCGCTATCGCCATGCATCTCGTTCGGGAGGGCCAGTTTTCCGTTGCATCGACCTTTGTACGCGAGTCACGAGACCAACCCCTCCATTCATTAGACGCCGCCTGGTCTCCTCGGACGGCAAGGACGGACGAAGATGGCGATGACGATATGATACAAGAAGACGGAGTGGGAGAGGAAGGCGGCGGGCACGGAGCCAACGATTATCCCGAAGACCTACAAGGGCAGTTTGCTGAAATGTACAGCCTCCTTTCGGAACTGAGAAACAGGAATCTGGGCCCGGCGATCAAGTGGGCGCGCCAAAACAACAGCAGACTGGAGGCGACGGGAAGCAACCTAGAATTCGAACTGTGCAAGCTGCAATTTGTCTGGCTGTTCAAGGGCCCAGAGGTGAATGGCCTTCCGGACGATGAGAATAATGGGCAAATGGGCGCGCTGAGATATGCAAGAGAGAACTTTGCTCGCTTCCAGACAAGGCATCTGAAGGATATCCAACAGCTGTGCGGAGCTATGGTTTTTGCGCCCAATATTGAATCATCCCCGTACCGTCACATCTTTCAGATCGACTCGGCCTTTGAAGACGTCTCCGCCTCTTTCACCAGAGAATTCTGCTCTCTCTTGGGCTTGTCGGCAGAATCACCGCTATATGTCGCCGTCACGGCTGGGTCCATCGCCCTCCCACGGCTCATCAAGTACACAACCTACATGAAGGAAAAGAAGACGGAATGGACGACGGAGAACGAACTGGCCTTTGAAACACCACTCCCGCCGTCTATGATCTACCACTCCATCTTTGTGTGCCCCGTCAGCAAGGAACAGACGACAGAGCAGAACCCTGCAATGATGATACCGTGCGGACATGTCATTTGCAGAGAGAGTTTGCACAACATGGCAAAGGGCTCGAGATACAAGTGCCCCTACTGCCCGACAGAAGGCCATTTGAAGGATGCAATTAAAATCACCCTTTGAATTCGCCTCACTGTCCATCATTGTCTTCCTCTGCAACGATGACACGACAAAGATCTGGCATCTTTTCTCTCTTCCTCTCTCTCTCTCTTTTTCTCTTTGGCAGGGTCTTTCACGGTGACCATCTTATATTATGACCTCCATCCCCGTGTTCATATCATTACTTTCGTCTTATTGTTATTTTGGCTTACCAAAGCGAGGATCATACATTCTTTGGGAGTAATTGGGCTTTTTTACGATAACTCGGTATCGCTTATGCTTTTTTCTTTTCTCTTCTTTCTTATTGGGTGGGAGCAAGTCAACAAGGTTGGATTGGTAATACTCTTTCATGTTCTTTTCGTTTTAGCTCGGTTTCAGATGAGAAACAACAAAATCTCGAATAAACAACGTAGCATCACACAAAAAATAAGCCTCATCTCGTAACCATTTCAAGTCACATGGATTTTTTGTTTTTTATTGGAGGCGTAACTCAGTTTATTCACACAAATGAAAATAAAAGAAAGTAGAGAAAGTATCAACGAGAGATTCATCACATTAAAGGAAACAATAGATAAAAAGTTTTTTTGTTTTTTAAGAAAAAGAAGAAAAAACAAAAAGTAGTCGAGGAGTGACACGGGTCATCTATAAGTCACCCTTTATATATCCTTCGATATGATGATCACGGGTATCCAAACAAAACTCCCCGCTGTCTTCGGTGGTATGCGAAGTACAGATCCAACGCCCTTCATTGCTGAGCCTACTTGACGAAGCAAACAAACAGAAAAGAAAAGAAAAAAAAAGCAAGAAACTGACAAAGCAAAAAATTGGTATCCATTTAATTTACGGGATGTTATCAAAATATCCCCATCCAGCATAGCCTTTCAGAGTTAGCCATTGTTATGAGCCTACATGTGGCGGCTCAATTGAGAAAAAAGGGGGCCATCCCGTTCCCTTTCGTAAATTCGTTTCTTTGTACATTCCCATCTCCGCGCAGCGCTTATTATTTTTTATCTTCCCTCTCCACTTTGTGCAAGTGACTCCCTTAATCGATGGTCATGCGGTTTGCCATGGGAGTCTTGACATCGTTCATGCCAAATGAGTTGATGTCGCTCTTCTCGTCAACTCGGCGTGGGGCCATCAAGTGGGCCTTGAGGCCGGAGCCGAAGTTGTGCATGCAGATGATGGCGTTGATGATGGTCATGATGATGAGCAGAATGGTGATGACGGCGAACGCTGTGAGAGATTTTCGGACGGCCATGTAGGACTGAGCGCGGCTGGGTTCGTAGATACGGAAAAGCTTGAAGATAAAGTATGACAGGCCGCCAAAGTAAAGGACGATGACGACAATCATGCCGGGCTTGTTTTCGCGCTGGGTGAAGAATGCAGCAGCAATCAGAATGGCAATCGTGACGGGGATAGTTGCAATCGTGAGAGCGAATTCGGGATCCGTCTTTTGAGCGACGACGACAACAAACTGAATGATGAAACCCAAGAAGAAGAAGAAATCGAACTTGAGCAGGGCGATGTAAATCTGGCAATCATGTTAGTCTAAAGCTTCGTCTTGTGAAATACACCGCCAGAGGATTCATACCTGGTAGTGAAGGAATCGCTTCTTCATGCGATAATCAGCACCGATGTTCTTGAGAATGTCCCAGGCAAATTGCTGGTAGAGCTTCCAGGCAACATAGACCATGCCAATGGTGGCAACGGCAATGATGACAGGTGAGGCAATCAGGTAAGCCTTGATATCATCCCAGAGCATAGCTGAGGTGATGCCCTGCTCCAATGAGCCGTGGTCTTCCAGGATTCCAAGGGCGACCTGAATCTGCTCAATCTGGAGGGCCGCATAAACCAAGAGAGCCAGGTTGGCGATACAGACACCGATGATCTGAATGGTGTTCTTCATACGTAGCGCATCCAGGACGATGATCAACTCGTAAAGGAAACCGAAAATGAATAGAGTAAGAAAGGTAGGGATTGTCTTGTATTGAGATTGAACCTGGGGATCGGAGATGTAGTCACCCAAGCTCAGCTGAAATTTGCCGAAAACATAGCTGTGAGAGTCTTAGTATCTGGCGCATTGTTGTGACATGAAAAAAAAGGAAAGGGGGCAATGTCAACATACGCTTCAAATGCCAGGTTAATGAGAGCCTGGATACCGGTGATGGCCAGAAAGGCTGTGGGCCATCTGCCTTTTAGGAAAGCAAATTTCTTGCCAGTGCTGCCAGCAGCACCGACTGTATCTGGGTCTTGATGAAGGCTCGTGTTTTCGGCGTATGTAGGCTGCGCATAGGGTGCCTGTGTTAATGATGCCTGGGGATAGGCCTGGCCGTATTCAGCGCCATAATCGCCGCTCTGGCTGACGGATCGGTGGTGATACTGGGCGCCATTCTGGTCGAAAGCTGGGTCGCCTCGGAGTAGGGAGTTCTGAGCTTCTTGTGTGGCCGCCACGATGGGCAACTGGTTGACTCCTACCGGGAGTCTGCGGGAAGCGATGAATAGACAACGAAGTGCTGCAGGTGCCCCAAAGAACCGGAGCCGACTAATTCATTCCCAAGCTCAAAATACGCTCGGGTGGGCTGTCTCGATACCGATGATGAATGAAATGTCGTCGATCGAAGGATGGTTGGTGAAAGGAAAAAGTCGAGTAAGGGGAGAGAGAGAGAGTCGAAGAGTCGATAAGAAAAAGGAATAAATGAATCGGTAGTGAGTAAAGATGCGGGAAGAAGAAGAAAGAAATCTATCGGGCTGATAGAGTTCACTTAATCGGTCGACAAAAAGGCCGACGACGGAAACATGGAACAAACGAGAGACTGGAACAAAGATAGCAGGCGGTTTGAGGAAGAAAGGGAAAATAACACGGAAAGCGGAGGCGGCGAGAAATGCAAAGGCTGCACTGGACTGCGCTGAACTAAAAGTCGAGAGATTCTGGGTAGGAGCGCCAGGGGGCAACTTCTGGTCGGGACGAGGGTTAGATGGGTCAAGGTGAAACGCACTTTCGCGAGGCAGGGGAGACCATGGCGATTTGAGCTTGGCCGTCTGGGCAGCTACCCGTACTTATGTGTACCTCTTGCCTTCAAGGTTGGCCGCGGGTGTGTACCAGGCCGTACCCTTATTGCCTTAGTACCTCTTTGAGCAGCCTAAGGATTAGCCTCGTCGCATCGACTGCATCTGTTCTACGACCCGTTGACACTGCACTACGACCTAGGGAGTATCTTTTGCCGGTTATTCTCGTGACGGCGCAAATGCAGGCCCGGTGCTGTACTGCACTGTACTGTACAGCCTAGAAGTTACGATGTGACACTACAGTACAGCAAATGTACCTAAGGTACTCCATGCTAACTATCGCGCATGTACACTCGCCGGGATCAAAATGGGACGGACATGGGGGGCAGGGCATGGAAAGCAGCAAAAGCAAAGCACAGCACAGCAAAAGCACAGCACAGCGGCAAGGGGGGGCCACTCCCGGGAGCCATGCATGCCTAGGCTGGGCTGACTGGGCGGAGCCTTAGAGCGACGTTAGCAGCTGTTGGCGTGCGATCAGCGCTGGAGCCCGGTGATTAGAATGGTGAGACATGTGTTTAATACGGGAGTACGAAGTACACACCAACATACCTCATACGAGTGCCCCCGAGGACACACTCGGCCATGTGCCTTGTGAGCAGTCTAATATTAATTGATCAATGTGAATTGGGTAATGTTAGTGAATAGTAGCAGCAGGGCTACAGTACCAGCACGTTATACGCGTAGTACCAGCATTTGGTTCATCCATTTGGTCGTATCGTGTCGTATGGAACAACGACGACGGCGATGACGGCAAACTGCAGCGATCCATCCATCCATACGAGCACTCGCTCCCCTAGATCAGCGAAGCGGGCCAGTGAGCACGATGCATCTTTGTCTGCAGCACATGCATCCATGGCAAGTCAATCCCACCATCTGCCTAGCTAGAGCCGGACGGGAGTGCAGAGTGCCGTTCTTGAACATGGAGGCTGTGTCGACGGCTTAGTTGCCATTCGATCCCCCCTACCGAGGCCATGATTTTAAAGTGACGATGATCGCTGTCTAAAAAAGCACCCGAGACAGAAAAAAATTAAATAAATTGTTGGACACCAAACCGGTTTATTTGTCGTAGTCTCATCTCATCTCCACGGGAGAAAAATCGTGGCGTCAGCCGACCGCACCTTGGTAGGTATTTTTGGAATGGATCCTGCAGTCAGCTATCGAGCACCACAGCGTGCTATTTTAATCCAGTTGCAAGAAGCTTTTGCTGGCTTGAGGTTCTTCAGGTACCCTCCCGACCGCCACAACCCTCCATGGCGTGAGGACAATCCCCTTAGTGTGCTTTGTTTTGCAAGCCACGGAATCAAGAAGCCGTGCCGATGTTCCCACGCACTGCCCGAACCTGTGCGACATAAAATTTGTGGCCATTGACCCTTTTGATTGAGTCGATTTGGCGTGTTAAGTCAGACCACACACTAGTCGGCCACACAGGCTAGTCGGCCACCGCTTTTTTCCCCTTAACACCATCATCCTACATCAACCTACATTATTGCAATTGTAATTTCTTAATGAATTGTTGGCCAATTTTAATTCTAATTGAATTTTTGGAAAGGCAATGACCGAATTTATTGAAAATGCTATTCTTTCTGTATTAAAAGACGTCTAAAACGGCATTTCTTAACGAAAGGCTGTATAACGCTGGGGTGTCACGACCCAACACTTATGGTCGCGACAATGGGCCAACCGACCAGGTGCGACCGGATTAACCATAATCCGAGTAGCCAATCAGGCCCCGCTCGTCTTACTCGTTCGACGAGCTCAGCGAGCTTATACTCTTCATGCTCGTCTCACGAGCCATACGAGCCCAGAACTAACTGGATATATAAGTTTACTTTATAACACTTATTAGAATAGTTTAGATAGCCAGTTGTGAATATAGAATAACGCTTAATTATACCTATAAAGTATTATCTACTAGTTGTGTAAATAAACCCCTTTTATCCTTGTTAATTACCTGCTAGTCTAGCCTAGCCTATCCGCTAACATAAACCTAGCATAAGGTTTGTCCCTTAGGAATTCCTCTTATACTAACACTATAGGAGCTTAGCTTATTATACGTTTATAACTCTTATTCGGAGGTTACCTTAGACCACGGGTAATATTATTATAAGGATACTAAATGGTTGAATTCTATGTACTAGACGTAGGAATAGATTAAGAAAGCGAAGTCTAGAGTACATACGGAAGCAACATTAAAATTTCGGACTTATTTAAAGAAACTACTGAAATAATAAATTCTAATATAGAAGGAATCACGACCCCTCAACCACCGGCCAACGATGCTAAAGCACGACAGCGCTTCCTAGACCTTAAAGCCTTAGTTACCTATATGGAATAAACTATCAGGGACTAATAAAACACCATCAACACGCTCAATAGACGACTTAACGCTTAATAACAACAACAAGGGCAACTACCCGTGGCTTAAGGCCAGCAGGGAGGTCCCCGCGAGAAGGAACCAGGTAAGATCATCAAGCTACCTCTGCTAATACTATTTGATAGAGACTTATGAAAAATCGAGGGATTCCTCACGGATATGAGGTCCTATTTCAGGTACTTTCTAACCACTATAGCCCCGCCGGAACAACGAGTCAGCGTTGCAGGAAGCCGACTTATTAAAGGACCTAAGAATTGGTTTAAACTATACCTCTGAGACTTCAAGCAATACGACCGAGCTGAAAGAAAGGCTACTACTAACGCACTCTTCGACAGATATAAAGAATTCAAAGACTAACTTAAGGCGCTATTCGGCCAGATCGACGAAAAGAAGGAAGCAGAAAACGCACTGCTAAAACTCCGACAACAAGGCGTATGTACTAAATACACTACCGAGTTTATTTAAATCTGCGCTAAAACAGACCTTGAAGATGCAGCTAAGAAGATATTATACTATTAA